CTTCATCTTTCATCAAATGAACCTTTCCTCTTCCATAAAAGAAACCTAACACTTTTCTATTTCCGAGTCAATCTCGAATATTGAGACTAGGCAATATAGCAGAAAAGCGCTCTTACAATCTTGAATCTGGGGGGAAACACGTGGGATTGTCCATTCGGAGGTTTCCTCGACTCGACGGCGCTCTTTTGTATTGAGTGATGATTGGACTGTGTGTAGTGAGTGTGAGAATTGCTAGGTCGATTCAAAGCTGTTTCTTTTCGTTTATCTCCTTATACCTGTGAGAGTTCAACGAGTATGATAAGATTGAAGATGAAGAAGTGAAGTAAAATTGAAGTGAAGGTGCTCCGATATTGAAGAATGCTATTTCTGAGAAAGTCTTCAGTACATTTTTGTTCATTCCCCTCATCTATTGCACAGAGATACAGAACCACATGTTTATTGATAAGAAAACATTTACTTCATTATGAGAGAGTATTTGAAGGATTTCTTTGGTGATCCTGCATTTATAGATGTGCAACACAGCTCGCTGAAGGATAATGGGCTGTCGACAGAAGAAATGATATTGCTAGTGAATAAAGCGAAATTTAGTGAAGCGAACTTACCGAAGTGAAGTTCGGCATAATTCCAAAACAGTTACTTCTATATGCTTCAAAAAAGGGAAGAAGAAAGACAAAGATTTTGATTCTTGTTCTCCTCATCAAGTTCAAATTCAAATCCAAAATATGAAGCTTTTCATTTTGGTGCGAGAGGCCATTTTCAAGAGGTATCGTGAGATCTATATTTTGTAGATATGCAACAAAAGTTTTGATATCTGAGAGACGCGATTTGATTGGAAGACTAGTGAGTATAAGAGGAAGCGAGTTTGCAGTGAATTTGAAGTGAAGTTGACTTAGAGTGAAGTGAATTTAGAGTGAAGTCGCTAAAGTGAAACTTTGTACAGAAAAAAATATCAGTTTCATCATTCAGTTGAATGCACGTGTGGGTTCAATGCTCTCTATCTTTGTACCCTGTGGTAGTTCAAGGTGTGAATTATGAGAGAGGGGAAGAGTAGGAGATGGGACGGGATATGATGGGATGGGATGGGATAGTGAATATATGAGATTGGTATCAGATTTGGTTTGGTGGAATAAGATCGAAGATTCTCGGCTGAATATGTAGATGAAGTTGAATAGCTGCCTATGAGACTCTTCAAATGTGAAAGGATGTTGATTAGGGAAGCTTGTACAAGATATTTGAATTAGATGGGTCTAATCAGGTGAAGGCTTCCTAACATTGATGTTGGCAGGCAACTTCCCACCTGGATAATCCAGTAGGAAGGCATGATCACGCTCAGAGTGATGAGCCTCCCTCCTTCCATTTCAGCCATGGTAGTCATGTATCCTCCTCGTTCACAAATCTCTCGAAACATCTCCCATTCTCTGTACTCCTCAACCACCACTGAAATCTCTTTCTCGATTGCAAAACATAATTTCACACTACTATATAAAACTACACCCATCGTTAGATGAATCTGATCACTTCAACGTGATACTCATCACTAGGCAATTTCCGGTCACCCAGATTCCACACTGGTAATACGTACACCCACTAGGTTAAGTACAAAGCCATTATTTCGGGAGTTCAGCTTGACTCAAGGAAATGGGTATTGGAAGTTTTCATAATCCTGAGGAGGAGGGAAACATCGGGGCGCCTTCACAAGCTAGTCAAGAGTCAACTACTCCAATGAACTCGGTCCCTGATCAAAGCAATCAATGGCTCGACAACACGAACTCAGTTGTACTCAAGTCTGCTGGCGATTCTGATGCATTTTTGGAAAGTGTTGGATCCGTAAATAAACTGATTGCTCAATCTTCATTGAATATGGACAAAGTTATGCTCAATAGCTCTAGAGATGAGTCTCAGAATAAAACTTATAATGATGAGATACTACCCTCGTATTGAATCAGGTTTGGATATCTATTACAAGATGGATAAGATGAAAGACATCAGGAAGATCACAAGACTTTGGATTAAAGAGGTCCCTGGTACGCGTCTCTACTCAATTAGATCAGGATTCTAGAAAAAGAAATGTGACTCATGGTGGTTCTTCCTCTCTGAGCATAGCACCGAAAAGTTCAAGCTTGAGACATGGATAGAAGCTAGAATTCAAAGCGTGTTTATAATTCTGGAAAAGGACAGGGATCTAATTAGGTAGCTAAAAGACAAATGGCTGTATGGAAGAGAGACGTGCTCTCATTCAAGAAAATGGTTCTGATTACTTTATTACACTCAAAGTCTCCACAGTCCACAGTAAGTCGATAATGGAATTGTTGGGGATTTGATCTTGGATGCTTTTTGTATATCGAAAACGCTAAAATGTTGGATGGGCTTGTTACTAGTTCACTTGGCTGTTGATAATTCCACGTTATTCGATTCACCTCCACCTCTCTTCTCGTCCCAGTGCACTCAAAAAGATGTATTTTCCTTCAACTTTTGCGTCAGCGTCTCCTTATCGACCACTTACCCCCATGACCAATCGCTCTAGGTGATTGATAATATTAACTCTGACTTGTAACAACCCTAATGTAATTCATTCGAATTCAATAATTAATATTAGATCGAAGTTATCAAATAGTCCGGACTGCAGTTCAACAACCAAGAGATTTGAAACCTTCAACCCCTTTCAGATATTGATACTTTTCTGATAACTTGATAGCTGGAATGGGATGGAAAGAGGGAAAACAGGTCTACTTCGTGGCAATAACAACACTGGCCACGAAGTTTAGTTGTGCTCTTCCCCCGACCAGCTGCTTGAAGTCGTCTGTTTTCCTCAAGACCTCCTCGACGATTTCGATCGCCTCGTTCCAATTATCCTCATCTGACTTGATCCAGCAACCTTCTGTTGTGCCTCCAATAAAGCGCCAAAGCACTGTATCAGGCAGAGCCTACAAGTTCAGTAGTTGTGCACATGGTATCTTTTGGCTAAAGTATTCTTTTCCTTCTCTTTTCCCACCACATTGCATGCAAAAGTCTGCTCTTGGCCTTGCCATTTGCAGCGAATAACTAGCATCTTATTTGGTCAATGTCTTCAGTAGATCTGTATATAACCATGCATCCCTGTGGTCACCTTGATATCTAGCACGTTTTCGATATTATTCGGTTGAGTGAGCCCACGCGCTTAACTGTCCGACGGAGAGAGTCCATGTATGGCGATTGTTATGGGTAGCCCTGCTGCTGTCAGTCTAAGACGCCCAAGTACCATATCGAAACTATGATGTCGAGCTACTGGCCAAGAGCCATCGATGTCTTGGGCTTAGAATCCTGTTTTAGGTGATGAAGACGAGAGAAACTTGCTCAAGTCAATATCAGTATCTATAGAGGCAAGAACGGGGTCTGATCAAACAAAAGCCATGATGGTAATCTCTCATCGGAAAATCCCATGTGCAGTTCTAGATTCTAGGATCCCGCTTTGTCTGAACTATATAGATCGTATTTCATTTACAAAATATCGCAAAGAGCACCTAGGCCCAATTGTAAAGGACAACTATACTCGGAACGAGAATAATGACCGAACACTCTTATGATATATAACACTTCTGTAAAGATCAACGAAGCCTTAAGCGCATTAAGTTTCAGGCATCAAGAGAAATAGCCAATCCAATCACTGGACCATTTTGAAAATCAATAGTGTTCGTTAATTCACCTATTATTATAGATAAACTTGGTTATACCGGACTGAAATTTTCGACCAATCAAATCCGATATATCCATGATTCCGGTATAAAAAATAATGGTCCAAACTTCCTAACCAAAATTTATATCCAATTTCAACTCTAAACCCTAATATTTTCGAAAAAATATTATATAATAATAGTCAATTAAGTTTACTCATTCAAAATACAACTTATTCAGCTAAATCTATTACTAAAATTTATATCAGATTCGTGAAAAAAGTGTCCGGTATATTAGTTTTAATCGGAATTCCGGTATTCATATACAAATTTCAGAAAAATTACTAAAAAAGTCTAGTATATCCAAGATTCCGGTATATCCCAGTCCGGTATAGCCAAGTTTATCTGTAACCTTAGCCGGAAAATGGTATTTCCGATCCGATGGCGGGTTCCAGTAGCGTTGTTGAATCCCTCCATTTCATCATCACCTCTGTTTTCCTCCATCTCTTCATTTCCATCACACGATAATACCATCTTTCTGTCGCCATCCTTTTGTCGCTTTATCTCCATCGCAAAACATTTATTACGAATACACGACCACTATCGTCGTATCATTACTCACATCGCTTTTACTCTCCATCGCAAAACATTTATTACGAATACACGACCACTATCATCGTATCATTACCCTCAAATCGCTTTACCTCTATCATATAACATCTATTACAACTATACAAGCACAACTTCCAGTCAAATTGCTCCTATATTGTGTTGTGTACAAGAGTCTTACAGCCTCTGCTGCTTAGAACAACCCTGGTGGCGGTTACGTCCTTATAGCACCTACTGCTAGAACAACTCTGGCGGCGGTTACGTCCTTGCAGCATCTGCTGTTTAGAACAACCCTGGCGGCGGTTACGTCCTTATAGCACCTACTGTTAGAACAACTCTGGCGGCGGTTACGTCCTTGCAGCATCTGCTGTTTAGAACAACCCTGGCGGCGGTTACGTCCTTACAGCATCTGCTATCTAGAACAACCCTGGCGGCAGTTACGTCCTTACAGCATCTGCTATCTAGAACAACCCTGGCGGCGGTTACGTCCTTACAGCATCTGCTATCTAGAACAACCCTGGCGGCGGTTATGTCCTTACAGCACCTACTGTTTAGAAGAACTTCAACACAATTCATATAGTAGCTTTTCTTGATCACTTCTACGTCTCATTTTATTCGAAGAGTCAAGGCTGCTCTATAGCCTGGGTGGGTGGGAAGCACACAGAGTGTGGGCTAGCATTTTTTCAAATGCAAGTATTCTTTAACTACGTTTTATTGCTAATTATAATCATAGGACTCAATATGTCGATATCGGTTCCGATCGAAAAACTCCAGCTAGAAAAACTTCTTGATGAGAGGGTATTCGTGAAATGGGTTAATGAATCAGGAACAACATTGACACTAGGTTCTTGCTTGCATGACAACAAGCAGACACCTGGTTTCTTTATGACTGTATATCGTGGTATAGAAGGACGGATTCATATTCATTTCAAGCTTCAGGTGTTTATTAAGCTTGCTGGCAAGAAACAACAGATAGATTTATTATTAGTTGTTCCTCCAGATGCCGATTTTGCGAATGCCTCGACACCTTATCCAATATCGAGTATTGATTTATCTCACGACGTTTCTGCTATTCACGAAGCCGGTTTAAGCAATGCACAGCATGTTTTCCTTCTACAATTCAATCTCACCACGAAGGGATTTGTCGTTACAAAGAAGAAAACTACTACAATCAGACCTCACACCACGACTACAAACATGTTGATTCGTAGCCTTGAGTCTCTGTCTAATACTACAATTTTCAGTGTATATATCAGGCCAAGTACGTATGCGAAAGTGCACCTGGAACAACTTCGTATGCATGTTAGTGAAACTGCAACCAATACCTACAAAACTAACTTGAAGGAAATGTATTTTCAACAAGGGGCTATTTTACTAGAATGGGATAAATTCGTATATAAGGAGCAACAACGTCCAATACCACCACCATACGCTCAGCCATCTCCGGCACAGAGTCCTCGGTCACCGTCACCATACGCTCAGCCATGTCCAGAAGTACAAGTTCCTCGGTCACCACCACCATACGCTCAACCATCTCCGGCACAGAGTCCTCGGTCACCGTCACCATACGCTCAGCCATGTCCAGAAGTACAAGTTCCTCGGTCACCGCCACCATACGCTCAGCTATCTCCAGATGCGCAGGTTTCTCAGTCATCACTCGTCATTCTTAAAGAAATGATTGAAGAGACACCGCCTCGATTCCCAGCTAGTCCCAACTCTACATCGGTACATGGCATTTTTTCTGGCTGTGAAGAGTCATCAGATAGCGAAGTGAACTTGGACGATATCGAAAAGCCTATCAGTATAGACTTCGATGTGGATTCGGATGAAGAAGAGCTTGCCAAAGAACAGTTTGCCAACTTGAATCCCCGAGAACCAAATCATCAAGTCGATTATGATTTAGAAACGTCACAGATGCTTAAATCGAAGTTGGAGAACTGGATAGAAACAGTACTACCGATAAACTTCAATATTCACCATCACACACGTTTAAGTACTAAGTTATCAATTCTTGGTAATTGTATTCGTATATCAAATACTAATGTATTTGATGTTACTTTACTTTGGTGTTCTGCATTGTTTTTCTACGATCCATATGACTCTGATTCTGATAATGCTTTTGGATTATGGGGAAGGAGAAATTCATGGCTCATCCGAGATATAGTGGAACAGATTCAATGGACTAATAAAATGTGTAATAGTACTGAATTAAGCTCGGAATTATTAGAGCAGTTCATAAAGCTGGGTCAAGCTGCTCGTACTCTTGCTCTAGACATTTTGTACAATAAAGGCGTTTATTTCAAGCAGAAAAGTGTTTTTATCGCTTATGTATTAGCGGAGTTTAGCAAGCCGAGTAGGAAGCCTGTTTCTCGAAAAAGATTGGAGATTGATGGTAGTGCATCTAAGCGGGTGAAGATGTAATTAGCAATAAGTACTCGAGACAATGTTCTATATCAAGAGAATAAGCACTTGCAGGAAAATAGATCTATGTGAAAAAATGGCTTACCGTAATGGAGGCCCTCTCTATGGCGTTGCTCTTCGGTCAAGTTAGGGTAGTAGTAGTCCAGATACCTATGACGTCGAACACGTTTCTGGTCACCAAACAAGTCAGTAATGCCATCCACGTTATAGCTTGGAGGAATGGTGCGTATGTAACAATGAAGTTCATGATAAACTGAAGGCTCTGCAAGGTAACTCGAACCCTCTGCGAGTGCGATTGAGTCTTCGTCAACAAGTTCTAGTTCTTTCTTTGATATTTTGATGCTGATTGGAGTTATTAGTACCTATCATGTCTTGAATCATTGATGGGACGAGTTAATTGAACGGCCACTTACGCCATGGGAGGCGAGCCCAAGCAGCATCGTGTGCTAGATGGGGAGCTCCAGTGTAAGCATTGGCATCAGTCTCGCTCACCAGTCATTGTGTCTTGTAGTGATAGGCTCCGGCGGTTTTGGCGGGAGCTTTGATAGTATATCCTCGAATGAAGATGGGAACGGGAAAAGAAAATTGGTCTCACGGCATGCCGGGAGAGGACGAACGCAGTCAGTAAATGTCGGCTTTTTCTTTCACCATAGTGCTATGACTCCCAAGTTCGAAGTTAAAGGCAGAATTGAAAGTAGATATATGAGGGGGGACGCTTTGCTTCCAAACAAACGCTTCTCCTCTGGAATGGAAGCTATGTCCTCAAAAAAACTGCTAGTCTGCTACAGGAACATTGGTGATCGCCATCCTCTGAAGCTCCAAGGGTCGACTCTGAATTTTGTGGTAAAAGATTGGAATATTCTTTGGTATCCTTGCAAACGGATACTATATCGGAAGTTGAAGAAATGAATCTGACCGATTTGAACTGCTCCGGAGCTTACTCAACCTCAATTATTCGTGCACGTGAAAATAATCATTGAATTCTAGACCACTAGGTAAGCTCGGAGGACACCTGTTTGTTGCCCCGAGATCAACCCTGGAAGGATTACGAAGGCAATTGTTCGACAAGAGCGCTTAGGGTGTTTATCTTATTTGGGCTACAGGTGAGGGGGGTAATACCATGTCTAGTACCTCGCCTCGAGCTCGCATGAGGATAAAGCAGGGATCTATAGTGCATTTTCTCACCTAATCCGAGGAAACCAACACAGTCTCGTAATCGCAGCCGGTTCTGTGATATCAATGGTGTATAAACCTATTCTGAACGCAGTATGTTGTGAATTCTGAAAAACTGAGAATCAAGAACCAACCTCAAAATGGCCTCATCCCACCAAGAGCTCATTATTCCCCTTTTAATTGATGGAAAAGAAGATGTGGGCAGCGAGTTATTTGACGTTGTGAGTCCAAAAACTGGAAAAGTATGCTGGAGAGCAGTATCCTCGAGCTCTGAAGATGCAACTCGCGCGGTCGAAGCAGCACAGAGATCCTTCCCCTCCTGGTCGAAGACAAAGCCGCAACAGAAGCAAAAGATTCTTTTCAAAGCCGCGGATATTCTGGAGAGTCGGATCACAGAATATGGTGGTATTATGGAGACTGAAATGGGAGGAGATGTGGGTCCGGTACACTTTTGGGTGCTTCCAACTGCAGTGCGATTCCTCAGAGATATCGCCAGTCACATACCGTTGATAACAGGAGGTATACCCACCGTTGAAGACCAAGGGACCAGTGCTATGATTTGGAAAGAGCCCTATGGAGTTATCTTGGGAATATCGCCTTGGTAAGTTTCACATTGACTAAAGACAAGCATCTCAACTAAGTTAATACAGGAACGCTCCATTTGCACTAGGAATGCGAGCAGCAGCCACAGCCATTGCCACGGGAAACACAACAGTGATCAAAGGATCGGAATTAACACCTCGATGTTACTGGGCACTAGGACAAGTTTTCCAAGACGCAGGTCTGCCAGCAGGTGTCTTGAATATCATTTACTGCAAAACTTCCGACGGAGCAACAGTTACCAATACCATAATCAGACATCCAGCAGTGAAGAAAATTAATTTTACGGGAAGCACAGATGTTGGCCGAAAGATCGCTCGTACCTGTGGAGAAAACCTCAAGCCTTGTTTGATGGAGCTCGGAGGTAAGAACAATGCGATTGTATGCGCGGATGCCGACCTGCAGAAAGCGGCCAAGGAGTGCATAGTTGGAGCCGTATTGCATGTAAGGATCGATCCGTCTGAATCTTGACAAGCCTGCTAATATTTGCACTCATCACAGTCCGGGCAAATATGCATGTCAACAGACCGCATTATAATACACGCGGACATTGCCGAACAATTTTTAGAGATCTTAAAGGCTACTATTATCAACCTCGCATCATCAGTATCTGCTCCGCCATATCTTGTTAACGCCGCTGCAAAATCTCGGCTACAGGGGGTAGTCTCAAAAGCCCTATCTGAAGGAGCTTCCAGTTTTGTTGGAGACATTGAGCAACTCCATCCAAGAGAAGGCGACGGAGCTACTCCTGTCATTTTTGCACCCATGATAATTGGAGATATTCAGGATGAGATGGCGTTGTGGCAAGATGAAAATTTCGGACCTGTTGCCGCATACAGAATTGCCAAATCCGATGAAGAAGCTATAGCTATTGCAAACAATACTGAGTTTGGACTAGTTGCAGCTGTGTTTACTAAAGACCTTCGCAAGGGTTTTGCCATTGCAAAGCAGCTGGAGGCCGGGTGAGTTAGATCCGAGAAAACCTGCTTCTAGAAGGTGCACTAACGACCTTCTCTTTTTAGAGCTATTCACATCAATAGCATGAGCGTCCGCGATGAACCTGCATTACCAATGGGTGGGGTGAAGAATAGTGGCTGGGGTAGATTCAACACCATGCTCGGGATGGAGGAGTTCTTGGTCGCGAAATCAGTAACATGGGATGATTGAGCAAGAGGGTAGCAAACTGGAATGGGCGGATATTCGCCAACACTAGTTCGTAAGAAATCGAGAGCTCTATCTTCGACTTCAGATTTTCAATCTTACAATCGATAGTATCAGCTGCACTGTGCCTCTTACGTAGACAAACTGTTGCCCCTTTGCATGCATAATGCACATAGGGTTGTGCCTTATCATATACTATACCTGGATCTGCAGAAGAGTGTTAATTCAAATACATCCTCCGATATTAGGTAGAAGTAGGACGCACTGTCACGTTACGTCACGTCACCGCCCCTCCACCCGCAACTGTAGACTCAAACCAACTGTTTTCAATAGAAAATCGCGAATTGTAATTCATCAGGCTGGAATTCTGGATACCCTCGTTCAAAGTGCAACAATCGGTCAAACAAAGTCCCCACTGTACGTGGAGTGTGGAACTACCAACTGCTATCAGATAACACAAACCTCGCAAGCAACCCCAAAATTCAAAATCTGTGATCTAGAACATGGATGGCGGTATTGTACACTGTACCATTTCGGCTGCTCACTCGTACTGGAACAGCATAGTAAGTGTAGCCCCTGCCAATATGTAAACTTGCCAACCCCCACTACTGAGCGGGAAACGTTAGACGGACCGTGCCATATTCGTGCATAATAGCTAAGAGGGGGCACCTAGCTAGCTTCCTACCCCTGCTTGTTACCAACCATTTCCATGATACGAGGCTACGAATGTTCAAAATTGCAAGACATCGGACGCATTTCTGTATCTATTCAGGACGTAGAATCTATTTGTGTGGCACAGGAATTGGTCAGCAAGTTAGATTTTGCAGCAGTAATGTATTGGTAGTATTGATTGGATTGCGGTGCGTCAAAAGACTCCGAGAAAAATTCACATCGGTGTGAACGTGTCTCCATGTATGTAGAGCTAACATTTCAATCTTACATAAAATGTGTTGGAAATCTTGCAGATATCAATGTATGATGCAGAGATGCCTTCCAACAGTAGCACCGCGCAGTCTGTTATGTGACTGTTTTTAGACTTCAATTTTTTGATATTGTCCGCGAAACATATATCAGACGATTGCCCATAACTACCATTCTATCTAACCAGGAATTTTTCGGGAATACACTTCTCTCGCATCATCTATTTCACAACAATAAGGTGTACCATACATTATCTCGTATTTCAAAGATGCAAATTTCCAAGTAGCAATCGTTTATGGGGCTCGTCGCCTTGAGTTTAGGAGCAGCTCTATCATTTCTTGAAAGTGAGTAGCCAGCAAGTGGCAAAAAATTCGGCTAATCCACCGACCCTATCATACAGAGCGAGCAGACCCCGATGACTTGATCGGTAACAGCTGGAGTCAGATCTCCGAGGTGGAAATTTTGCCATCATCTGGTATCATTGAACCCTCCGACTAGACGGTCTTGCCCTCCATTTTCGGGATTTCATCTCGCTGCTACCAGCGCGACATGCATGATGGAGGCCGTTGTGAGTCATGGAAGCAGATCCAAATCTTGATGGAAGATTTGGTTCCAGGCGAAGAGGTAGACATTTGACTTTTGAGTTCGTCTTACATTGTCATTACCGGTATTTATTTCTGTGATCAGAACTTCAAAGATATGTGACTTTGAGGCTCAGTATCTATCTGTCAATTTTACCGAGATAGGGCTTTATTGTGTGGTAGCTTTGAAGATAGGCTATTACACGATAACCCCTCCGTATTGACCTTTCGGGAGCGATTGAAATGGCAACACGATGATTGTACTCCAAGCCTAATGGGGAACCACGGAAAATTCAAAAACTGTTGAAAACACTTAATTGAAAGCTATGGTTTATATCCAACGCAACACGTAGCAAGTAAATACTATAATAACTTTCTTTTCAATTAAATCAGTTATCTAGACTAATATAAGGGTTTCAAAATTTCTTATAACTTAATAATTAAAGGTCTTTAACTAGGCTCTATTCTAATATGCATAATTTAAAATATATTTTAAAACTAGAAGCCAATTAATCTAAAAAGTATACTAGTCGGAGAAAAAGAGTTTTCAGACTGCGGGTTCGTAGAATTTATTTTTTTCTTATTATTATGATAATTTTGAAATCCTACATAGTCTTGAGATTATTTTTTCCCTAACGACTAGTATTAACGTGAAAATCTAAGATGTGAAATGCAAAATTCCAATTCTAATTCTACTTCTAAGCCTGATTTAAAATTTAATAATATTAAATATACATGGGGGCCAACTCCTAATCCCCCGATCCTCGCTACGCTCGAGTTGAAACTACTACACTCAATTTTATAACTAGCTTCCAAAACGTAATTTTATGGTCTCACAATCTTTTTGATGAAAACAATTAATAATAAAATCCCAACTTTATTAATATAATTTCAAAATCAAAAATCTCTATACTAAATAAAAGCAATCAATTGATTCAATTATTATTCAAAATTTGAAGCGATTCAGATTTATATTGATTGATTGATAGGTGGTTTAAAATAATGTGATATTTCGAAGGTTTTAATAAACAAAATAGATTAATTATAACTAGCTTCCATTCAGTTTTTAGATTTTCGTTCTGAAATTTCAATTTCAATCAATATGATTTAGAATCAAACGAAATTTAGATAAATAATAGAGTCAATCATTCTCTATTATATGATACTATACTTATTCAAATCGAAGCCAGATTGATAAAGTTGTTGTGGATTGAAATATCGAAATGTAATATTGAGGTGTTTTTAACGAAGCACAGAAAAGTCACGTTTTGGAAGCTAGTTATGAAATTGGGTGTAACCGATGTGTAACAAAAACTATTAGGAATTATGAGGCTCTTTTCAAGAGTATCGCGAAAGAATTATTGAGGTGGCAATGAAGGAATTAGATGACTGGGATGATTGTTTCGAGCAGGAGAACTGAAATCTTAACTGTGGCGAGGCAAACAACTTTTGGAATTTGTCCTCTTGTTTCAACCTGTCTTAGCAATTGTCGTATTGTGCTTACGTATGTCTCAACAGTGGTAAGTCACAGACCAAAGATTGTTTGACTATCTTGAATCTTATATGAAATCTATTCCTCTTTTGATACTTAAAGGTTGCAAATAGTTTTGCCTAAATGCACGATCATTCCCTCATTCCATTGTTGTTGCATAATCGGGCGCAAGTTCACAGGGGTTAAATCGAATCGTGAGGATTGTCAAGGGCTGGCATAATGTGACCAGAACTTGCAGATTCAGCCTTCTCGTGCATAGAAAAGTTTAGAATTTATTCTTATAGTGAGACACATATCCCGTAATCTTCTTTGAACTATCTTTCTTCATAAATCGTTACCATGGCAAGTTTTTCACGAGCTTCTACTCTGATTGGCGAAGATAATTTAGCTAGCAAAAAGGGAGAAAATGAACTTGTAGGCGAAAATGTGTGTTTTTTAATATAATGCTGTGCAATCGGAAGCCAGGTGATTTTTTTATAGCTACTGATGATATTGCCTGCAGGACTCTGTACCAAATCTCTGGCATCAGGCATATGAACGACTGGGCGAAAACGAAAAAGAGGGACTCAAATTTACACAACACAATGGTCAATTGAACTTTACAGAGCAGTCCTCCACATTGGTGCAAATGGTTATAGAGAGGAAGGAAGAGTGTGAAAAACGACAATGGAAGCTTTATACCAAAAAGAATGGAGATAGAATCATGGTCCGAGATCTATTTGTGAAGATTAGCGAGTGGATCAATAAGTTTAAGGAGGTGGGAGACGCTGCTGTCCAGTACGATCCCGGACACGCAGCCTTACCTTGGGCGGCCGTTCGTTTCTTCCTCCAGGTGAGACTGAATATGCGCCATTGCAAATTGTACACTGACGAGTACTTGAGGTCGCGATAAACGATTCTCAGATATACTGCGGGATGATATCTAGTATAGAGGAAGTCTCGAGGATCATCGCATTATATACAGAGCTTGAGATGAGGGTTCTTGTCAGACAATCTGTCCAAACAAGATTGCTATCCGATGCCGTTGTTAGGCTGTACACTGCTATCCTGCGATTCCTCATCCAGGCATATAACTACTACGGAAAACGCACACTGAGTAAGTTTCAAACAGATCTAGTACTCTGGCGATTTGAAATTTATTGTTATACTAAATAAATTCATATAGCAAGGGTTTTGGAAAGCTCCCTTAAAGGCGCCAAGTCGGTTTTAGTTGAGCCGAATCTAGCCATAGAGGACCTCGAACACAAGGCTTATGAACTAGTCAGACTTGTTCAACACGAATGCTTAACTGCATCTCTCGATGGCATCATAGCAAACCTAGCGCAGAACAATAAAGGGCCCAAGCTATCAAACGAAGACAGACGCAGACGTATATCTGCCTGGATCAACGGTATCGAGACGTAGAATACTTATAAGATAGCGCTCCAGAATCGCCATGAGGGAACTTGCGAGTGGGTTCTAAAGTTGGAAGACTTCGAGGCTTGGGCAACCCCGCAAATACCTCAAGGAAAGCTTCTTTGGTTGCATGGACCCCCAGGTTTTGGCAAAACCTTCATGTCGGCAAGGATTATTGAACATCTAGTAGAAAGAGATCAAGGGCCGGTGGCATACTTCTTCTGTGTAGCTGAGAACCAACAAACTCGAGATCCTTATTATATCCTTAAGTCATGGTTGTCTCAGCTGCTGGAGCAGGACGAAACGATGATCTCGCTAATGGAGGCTGTTTTGGCGAACAGAACCGGCAAGGATTAATCATTGACACGAAATGAACTATGGCAACTTTTTGTTGCGGTTGGGGAAACCATAACTGGATGTAACTTTGTGGTGGATGGGTTTGACGAATGCACTGACATCAATTCTGGGGTTGGCTATCACACTAAAGATCCACGAAACGAGTTTCTGCGTGACCTAGTCGAAAATTTATCTGCAACAAATCTCGGGCTCTTGTAGTCAGCAGAGATGTTGCAGACATTAGAGAATTCGTAGGCAAAATTTCAGACTCCCCTGGCATCGAAAGATATGAATATCAGATCACTGCGCAAAATACATCAAGTGATGTAGAAGCATTCTCTTCAAGTGTAGTGAAGAAAAAATTTCCACGGAAACCTGAAAAGGATAGAGATGAGATTGCAAAAAAAAGCGGCAAAGCGTAGTGAGGGAATGTTTTTGTGGATAAAGCTATTAGAAAACGAAATCTCGAGAACAAAGAGTCAACAGCGACTCAGAGAGATCGTAGAAAAAATGCCACTTGGAATAGGCGATGCGTATGAAAGAGAAGTGGAGAAAATTATAAAAAACCCTAGAATTGAAGAAAGGAACGAGGCAATCATGATTTTGAGATGGGTCCTTTTTGCCGTGAGACCTCTTCAGGTCAAACAGCTGGCTGAAGCTCTGATCGTTTCCGATGATAAGGTGTCGGAGAGATACCCAGAGGAATATCTACCAGATAATTGGAAAGAATCTTTTGTTGATGTAGATTATGTGCAAGAGATAATTCTCAGACCGTGCGGATCTCTATTACAACTACGCTCCGGCAAAGAAGATGAAATACTAGCGAATAAAACAGTTCATTTTGTGCACTTTTCAGTCAAAGAGTATCTTTCTAGCCTAACGAACGAAAGTGTTATAGGTAGAGCTCTTGGATTACTTGATACTCGTACAGAGGAACTTCGATTGCCTAGAATATGCTTGCGCTATCTCACACTGAACGTGTTTGAAGAGATGTCTGCAAGTAGTGATAACACTACGTACCCATTCCTGGAATATGCGGCATGGGCTTGGTTCTTTCACGGGTTTGACCGAAACTTTGCACCTCCGAACAAATTTGGCCATTTAACCAAAAGGGTATTCAAGCCATCATCATCAAGCTGGAGGATATGTGGTACCTTTCTAGAAAATGAATTTGATGACTCGGCCGAATCGAAATCTGCACAGGAAAACCTTCATTTTGAAGACCACCCTGGAGAGTCTGGTGCGGGGTCAACAGAGGATAGCTGGATAGATGATGAGACAATAGACGATGGAAGCACTGGTGATTTATCAGTATCACAATCTAGCTTTCACGAAGTGCAAAACCCTGCGTACTACGCTTCACTTTTGGGCCTTCAAGATGTCATCACATGGCTCGAAGAACAAGGAATTGACTGCAGTTGTGAGGGAGGTCGTTTTGGTTACCCACTACAGGCAGCAGTTGTGAGAAAACAAAAAGAATTAATCATCCACTTTCTCAGCCGGGGAATCGATCCGTCCCAGAAAGGTGGGCTTTATGCATGTGCCATCATTGCAGCGGCTGCTGTGTCAACCTCAGAAATTCTGAATATCCTTCTTGATAAAGGCGCGAACGTAATGGCTAAAGATGCTCAAGGTTGGACGGCACTACACCATGCTGCACGCCGAGGCAATGTCGACATTGTACACATTTTGATCAATCATCCTGAGTGTGATAAAGATGCTGTAACGACGGGCAACACACCTAAGACCGCTCTGAGCTTGGCTTGTGAATATGGAAACGAAGACGTCGCGTCCGCTCTCCTGAATCAAGGCGCAACAGGCTTGCAAACCGCACTACCACAGAATGGTGATATGCCTCTTCACTATGCCATCACATACGGCCATCATAAGTTGGCTTGCAGATTACTAGACGCCGGAGCTCTATTTGAGACTAAAACAAGGACAGGAATGACTCCTCTGTTAATCGCAATCATTGAAAATGCTCCCAAGGTTGTCAAAAAGCTTCTCGAGAAAAATGCAAGAGTCGATTTGATTTACGAGGATTGGACAATGCTCCAATATGCGTCATCCGGGGCAGATCCTGAAATTGTAAAACTACTAATTGCCTCAGGTGCGGATGTTAATCAGTGTGGAGGCAATATCCAGTCCGAAGCTTCATCGCTGCTTATAGCAACCTCTCGTAATCGAACAGATGTTATTTCGATTTTACTTGAGCATGGTGCAGCAACAGAGCGAGCGGCATACTTCGCAGTTCTATATGGACACGAGTCGGCGATGAGCTTGCTGTTAGACCACGGCGCATCAATTACGTGCATTGAAGAAACATCGCAGGAAACACTGTTTGATTTATCCCTAAGGATGAAACGGGATAATATTTCACAAGACTTAGTGAGGCGCGGAAGCTTCCACCCTGTGGTAGCAAAGTTAATACCTATATACGAAAAAAATATCAGTATAAATCCCCATACTAATATTTAATACATACATTACAGAATTCAAACTTTTTTCGTCCTTGACGAAATATATATTTCATCAGCCACGAATCTTTCCTATTCAAAATGAGCACCGTTTATTATTGAATTTTAATAAATATGAAGAAAATAAAGGCCCTTCAGCTAAAGAACCTTAGAAAAGGTAAACAGAAGGGGAGCAAACATAAAAGCTAGAAAGAAGAGAGGAATGAGCAGGGGAACTAAAGGGTAGGAAGGGAAGCGAGCGGGGAGCTAAAGAAAAAGGGGAGCAAGCGGGAGAACTAAAGGATGGGAACTGGTATTAACCGAAAATCTAAAAAAGGGTCTATTCACAGATCACTCACTTCACTTTCGATTTATTCTTCAATCAAAAGCTTTACCACTATACTATACAATACAGAATGTACTGTTTAAACAAGAATGCTATTCAACTCTAATCTATATAGTTATAATTTAATAATTGATTATTAATCAATTATTAATCGAATTCAATACAAATAAACTTTTTTACTTGTAAATAGCTTCAAGCTAAAACTTTCGAAAATCAAGAAATTTTGAAAAATCGAAAAATTTCGAAAATTTCTCTAAGTCCCCTTAAAGTAAAATTTTCTAATCATATACATATATAAAAATCAATCACATTAATACTATATAACCTATTTTTTCAATATAATATTGATTATTGAAATTTTTGATACAATTGACGAAATGATTTATTCGTTAACCACGGATTCTGCCACCACAGGGCCGAAAGAGCTTGAGAACCACAGAAGAATACTTGAAGAGCATTGAAAAAGGCTGTGATCATGACCTAGCGATTTTGACTTTCCTTGGTGATGCCAGAAAAGTTGAAAGTCTCTTCAAAGAACCTGTCTTCATTAGTCAAGATGATCTAAACGAAGCATTTCATATTGCGGCCGCGCGTGGTTTTCTGGACATATTAAAGATGTGTATACAAAAAGGGGCCTCTGTCAATAGTAGGGAGCTTACAAGGAGAACCGCGCTCCACGCTGCCGCATTCCACAACTATGAGGAAATAACGGAAGCCCTTGTCGTCAATGGTGCGAGTTGGTTCCTAGAAGACAGCATTGGCTCTACACCAATAGACTTGGCTGTAAGACATGGGCTAAAGGCGCTGAACTTAGTACAACGATACATTTCCGACTACAGTTTCGTTATTCGAAAAAGACCATCACTCCTCGAGGACACAAGCAGGAATAAAAGTGCAGCTACCGCGCAGAAGATTAGAAAGGCTCTTTCTGGACGGTGGGAAGGTTCATATGAGTACTTGAGCTGGTTCAAGGGGAGAATTGATGAGTTCGCGATTGAGATCTCTGAACCGGAGCTGGTCTTGGCCTCATCAACTACGTTCGAAGAGGAAAACTATGATATCGCGGGAGCCTTTAAGATCATGGGGTTTGTCGATGAAAAAGGTATCGTTTGGTTTGTAAAGCTATACGAAAGACACGGATGGCTGTACCGCGGCCAATTGGATGAAAGCCTGAAAACTTTCAAAGGTACTTGGGGCAAGAATCGAAAGCTTTGGCAAGGAACTTTCGTCCTGCATCTTGTTTCATGATTTGAAGAATTGATAAGAATGAGTAATTATCAACAATAGAACCCTTATATATGAGAGAGAAAGTGGTCCCTTAATAATCTCTTTCCTCTGTAGCTTTCTAACTCTAGTTATTTCACCTCTGTTAATATACTCTAGTATATGATCGTGACAAAAATCTTGTACAACTTACGCTGCCCCTTTTAATCTTCAACCCGTCCCCAGCAATCATCTCATCCACTGTTCTGCCAATTGCCTGATATCTTTATGCTAACCTTCTGGCCTGTTATTCTTATTCTCGGTGCAGTAATGGTTACCTCGAGCATCATGTCAGCCTCCAATCTGTTTCCTTGCTCTAAGCACTTCGGTCTGCTGATTCGCAAGTCAATCTAGGACAAACCTACGAGTACAAAGGATGCTGGTCTTCTCGATAAATCAGGATCGGAATGGCTTGGAATCTTTGCAGGGCATGAACTGACGCTGGGATCAACCATCCTAACCTCAGGTATCTTAGCGAGGTTAAGGAACTCAGCATTCTGATCTCGGCGTTGGATCTCAATGAAGAGGGCGATGTTTTTGGCAATTTCGTATACGGGAAGTCGGAAACTTACAAGCCACAAATGTATATGAACATCTTCTCATTGTGTGTGGGATCAGCAGCTTTTCTATGATCATAAGAAAACCTTCATAAGAGAGACATGTACACAAATAAACCATTTTCTTGGTCTAGTTTTGTGTCACGTAAGGAGTACAAAATTTAAACTTTCCTCCGCATCCGATTGTGCCGACTTGATTTGAATTCAATAGCAGATAGGCTCTTAGTGGTGAATTTCAGATGCCCTTGAGTTCTCACTACTTCAAGGTAATGTTGCTGATTTCTTCGATGCCCTTCCAGTTCATTGTTCAAACATTTCCTTCGGTAGAACGGTCTGCGCAACAAAAGTTTAAAAATGAAGGCCCAATATTTAGCGAAAGATTTGCCCTACAGTTTGGATTCTTTGGGACGTGATGGCACAGGAGTGGGGATATCACCGATAGATCCGATGTACATATATTGGTGAAGGCAGGCTGTCAGCATTCTGCAGATGCTTCTCCACAGTTCTGCAGCTTGCAGACATCATAACGTTTTTCGGCCGAAGGATATCTTCCAAGTACTCTTGGAGCCAGTATCAAGATATTGATAAATGGTGCTAAGTTCTGGCAATTTTCTCAATTCTTTCCAAACAACAATTTACTTTTCTAAAAATGTAAGTGGAAGGCTTTTGGCATCTCATCTACATCTATCCCCTAGAGTGCCAGAGATGGGCTCCGTCGCTTAACAGGGATCTTATCAACCAATTAAACCATTAGGATTTCCTGAATTTGATTCAATATTCATATTTATTCTTTAATATAAAATTCAATTAATATTATTTCTATATCAAAATTTTGAATGTTATTATATATGATAACTCTCAATCTTTATTCTTTTTTCAAATTATAAAAAATCGAAATTTGAAATCAAGATTCTATATTATAAATAACGTGACTGAAAAACCATTAAAATATCCATTCTATCCAATCAGGCTTTATCATTCAAGGTATATCGCACAGACCACTTTCGGAGCCCATCTCTGGCACTCTAGGGGATAGAAATTGACTAATTTGTTGATAGCCAAACCAAACACAAAGATTTCCCTGCAAATTCCAAAATGTCTGCGCCAAAATCTATCATCATCTCAGGTGGCTCGAAAGAAGATGGAAGCACTGTCAAAGTCGGCGCTACTTTCACCGGAGACGTCTGGCTCGACTTGATCCACGCCGACGTCGATCTCGCTCTTGCCAATGTAACTTTCACGCCTTGCGCACGGACTCATTGGCACACGCACGAGAAAGGCCAGATGATTTCTGTCACTCAAGGAAATGGGTGGTTGTGTGACAAGGGAGATATAGCTAGACCTATTAAGAAGGGAGATGTAATCTGGGCGCCAGCTGGAACTACCCACTGGCACGGTGCTGACGACGGAACTCTGATGTCCCATTTTGTTGTTGGCTTGGGAGAGACAAGATGGCATGAGGCTGTTACTGATACAGAGTACAAGAATAGAGTGGCCTAGATTCTATATTTTTTCTGTCTTAGTAGTGGCCGAACGAGTACCAGTATATAATGAAGCACTGGTTCAATTTTTTGATAACAATTCATGATTGTGAAATTGTTCTGTTAGATTTCAACCATATTGCCCGAAATCACATTATATAACAGTTGCTTCGCCCCACTACACCCAATTTAATAACGTGTTTCCAGAAAAAAAAGCACTTTTTCGAATATCATCTAATCGAATTCCGAAAATCAAAAACTTCAACTTTATCAATATAACTTTAAATTGAAAAAACTTTGTATAGAAATATAAATCTCAATTGATAGAATTAAGAAATAAAATGTGAATAATATTGATTGAAAATTCATTGAATTAAAGGTGGTTAAATGAAATTATAATTTTTGGAGTAGTTTTTAGATTTTTGAATTTTCGAAATTCAATTTTCATTCAATCATTTTCAATTCAATGAATTTTTGATCAATTCAATTCAAATTTTTTTTATAGATTTTATTAATTGAAATATATATTATGATATAGAGTTTTTTCAATTTGAAATTGTATTGATTGAATTAAAAGTAATTGAATTATTTTAATATAGAATTTAACAAAAAGTTGATTAGATCAAAAAAGTCACATTTTGGAAATATGTTATTAAATCGAGTGTATAAGTTAGTTCTTGATGTATAATGCAAATTATTTCGTTTATCATGTTGGTACGATAGATGCTTCGCCGCACGATTCGAATCATGTCAGACCAACAGATAGCCAGCCAATCGAATTTATCGTATGAATCGTCTTCGCTCGCAATTTTGCAGGCAGAATTGCTGTGGAAACGGCAAATGGAGAGCGATGAGGCAAAGCAATAGACCCCGGGGACATTTTGAAAAGCGAAATGAACGTCGAAGAACCCCCTGAACTGTATCTTATCGAGTTAAATACATTATCAGATACTGCTTCCCTTCCCATTAAGGAAGGTTGCAATGACACATGTTACTCTATATACTTCTTATGGTACTAGTACTCTATGTTCCTGATCATGCTTCAATCTTTTCTATTATCCGCTAGTTTGACTTTTTTTTTAAGATTTCAAGTCGAAATGAGTAGCTCCAAAATGGCCAGCTCTTCAGAGGAAGATATCGGTATCACTGACCTGGGAACTGGCTCTGTTCATGAAACTGCATTGAAGATAGGATCTTTAAACGTAGAAAACTCTACCGAGCACAAACCAACCGCGCCGAGACAAGAGATCACGTATATCCAAGGATGGAGGTTCCATCTTCTAAGTTTTGCGTGAGTGAAGAGAACTATCTCCAAAGGAGAGAATGTTCTAATGAATGTGATACAACATAGGATTGGGTTGTGTGTATTTCTGGTAAATATGGAAGTCTCCATTGTGAGCACTTCACTCGTATCCATGACAAACGAGTTTCACGGTTTCGATGAATCCACTTGGGTTATAACGGCATATCTCGCCACTTACACAGGTGAGTCAACTTTCTTAGCACTTATTTAAGAGGATACAGCCTGGCATTCGTCATCGAACGGGTTCTAAAAAACAAGACAAGGAACATTCCCCTCCGTATACCATGAATAATAACATTTTGGATTCTAGGATTTCTGATCATATGGGGAAGACTCAGTGATGTGTTTGGTCGAAAATGGACCTATGTTGCAACAAACTTCATATTCCTTGCCTTTTCAGCTGGCTGTGGAGCGGCCCAATCTATGTTACAATTGTAGGCCTTCACTATCCCTTACCAGCAGTATCTGCGTACATCCATTTATACCAACTATCTCTGATTTAGGATTATCTGTCGTGCATTCCAAGGCTTGGGTGCCTCTGGTGCATTTTCTGTCTCCTTGACAATCTTCTACGAATTTATCCCACCACCAAAGTACCCATTGTACGGGAGCTTTATATCCTTGCTAAGTACTGTTGGTGCTCTTGTTGGTCCCTTAGTAGGTGGTGCAATTGATACCACTTCTACGTGGAGATGGGTATTCTTTTTGAAGTACGCATTTTATGACCACTTCATTTCACTTCACTAATATTAAGAACAGTGTCTTTGGAACAACGATCATACTTGGATTGGTTATCTTTTTGCTACCTGGAAAATTCCCATATCACGGATCATCTGCATCGTCAGCGAATGTCCCCTGGCAATCTTTGCTGAAAAGGGTTGATTTCGTAGGCGCTTTCTTACTTTTAAGTGCTTCAGTCCTTGTCATTACAGCATTACTCGAGGTCTCCACGGTCTTCACATGGTCTTCGGCTGCCACTGTATGTCTCTTGACAATATCCGGTTTGATTTGGGTAGGATTTATCGTGTGGGAGTGGTTTGTTGGAAGCAGCAAGGACATTCAAGAACCAATGTTCCCTCGAGTTTTACTTGAGAATCGAACGTGGATGGGAATAGCTTTGTAAGTCAAACAGATGATCACATGGTGACTTAAACTGGATTGGCATGTAAGATCCAGTGGCTGACAATTATCTGATCGTCAAGGACATCCTTCCTCGTCGGTATTCCATCTCAAATCATTACCATTGAAATTCCCCAGAAAGCACAAGCCGTGTACGGAGACTCCCCTTGGCAAGCCGGATATCGACTAATAGCTTACACCCTTGCTGTTCCTGTTGGCAGCATTGTTGCAAATACGATCATTGGCAAAACCAAAATACCTCCTATCTATCTCCTCTTCTGCGGTACTGCCATCCAAGTGCTTGGCGTTGGATTGTTACTGACAGCCCCGGCCTCTGGAATTGTTCCCGGGCAAATTCATTTTTTCGAGGCGCTTATTGCTTTTGGAGTTGGCAGCTCTTTCGCCATACTTCTGATATTAAATCCGCATTGCATTGAGAGACAATATATCGGTACGTTTGATCTTAACTCACTCATAATTTCTTCTCAAAAGAGATAAACCCATAACATATGCTGCATTATAGCCACTGCCTCTGGCGCAGTCGTCCAATTCCGTATGACAGGAAGTACACTCGGTCTAGCGTCCGTTACCACAGCCCTCAACAATCATCTATCAGGCCATCTCCCAAAGATCCTCAATGATACTCAACTCAAAAGTGTTCTATCATCTACTTCTGCAATATCTTCTCTGGAAGAACCTTTGAAAGCTCAGGTACAAGAGGTGTTTGGACAGGGGTACGATTTGCAATTAAAGATTCTGATTGGATTTACGGCGGCACAATTCTTGACTTTGTTATTGATTTGGAATTGGAAAAGGCCACAGATGAGTATACATAAGACTGAGGGGCATTAGGAAGTGAGTGAGGATTAGCTGGGCTAGTGATAAGTCGCCATATTCATGCTTCTCATGGTATGTGAGAAGGTATATCTTGTAAACATCAATGAGCAGCCTGGGAGGCACCTGGGGAATGAGGAATGAAGTTCATCTGAATTCCCGATGTATAAAATATGGGGCGTGATAAGGCTTATGAGAGAGTTATGTACTCCGTAAATAGCTGATATATTCAATAATAAGTGTCGAAGGAACGATGATCATGTCTCATGTGCCAGAAAGAGTCTTCTTACATGTTTGCCCAAAACCGTTCAAGTCGACCTGCAACGGATCACATACATATTAGCCATACTAGACTCTGGAGATCCTTATAAATTCATTTGAGTTCCTACCTACTAGATATATCTCTGCTCTCGATAAGTCTTTTCAAAGTCTATGCCGCATATTAGTATCGGTATGGATAAGATACAACTACTTACTTTGTATGTTTCCAAGTACTGCGTGCAGAGCCGGATCACCGCGTGAATAGAAACAGCTTGACCTCTTATTCGTCAACTTCAGGCTTCTCTCTCTACTTTGTACAGAGGTTGGAAGGGTAATTAATGTAAACCCCACTTTTACTAAAATCTTGCTGTTTTTATAGATTTTGCTGCTGCTTTAAGCAATTCGAATAGATATTGAACTATTTTCTTCAAAATTCAATCTTTGAAGCTTTTATTTGCTTTTTATCAATTCTAATAGTTTTTTAATATTTAAAGTATTTGAAGGTTTTTATAGATTCTAAATAGATTTAGGATAAGAATTCGAATTTGAAATTCAATCAAAATTATTGATTTCAATAAAAAATAAATAATTTTGAATAAAATATGACTTTTATAATACTTTTATTACCTAAAGTTTACTATATAAATTTTCAATTAATATAATATTATAATTAGCTAAAGTTTCTAAATATAGAGAAAAGCACAATCGGTTTTTGATGGGTTTTACATTACTTACCCATCCAACCTCTGTATAATATTATCATAAGAGTCTTTTCTTCTATTGTAGTCAACATCGATCAATAATGAATCCGTGCTCTCTCATTCAAATTCGTGGCCCCCCTTTCTTGATTTAAAATAGCCCTGTGTATTACCCCAATCGCATCATCAGTAACATTATCCACTTTTGTTAAAAGTGAGGATATATTATATTCTAGAGATGATGTATACAACAATACCAGGGCTTGTGGTTTAGTGGTATAATGTTCCCTTAGCATGGGAGAGGTCCGGCGTTCGATTCGCCGCTAGTCCAAGATCAACAATGATTTCGATCGTTTTCTTTTGCCATTTTTGAGGTTTGAGGTCGAAGACGGTGAGGTGTTGTGAGTTTTGGCGTTGGAGCACAGTTTTTTGTTTGAAGAGATGTGGAGTGGAGCGAGTGCTTACCTACAAGAAGAAAGACTCTTCGGCATGCAAGATTTTTCGCCGGATAGAGAGTTGTACAAATGTCCATGGGTACGGATGGTAAGTGGATAAAGAGAAGAGGGAGAGCGGGGTATTAGAAGAGACGAAGAATTTTACCCGAACTTGTTTGCACGTGATCTTTGAATCGGCTCTCCAAATTGACACTCAGGATGCAATTGTTTTCCTAGAAGAGATTACTAGAATTAGATATGGTAAATGTATATGAAATTGTACAGAATGGTTCTCAATCTCTTGAAATTGAAAATTCCCTTTTGCTCATTACATATGGATACTCATTACATATGGATACTCATTACATATGGATACTCATTACATATGGATAGGAGAAGAGAATAATGATGATCCATTCAAAACTGATACCTGGTCATATTGACCCCGCTTCCTCATTTGAGTGCCCCACTTTCTCACTCCCTTTTTCATTCTCTTGCTCCACCCATACACAGCAAAAGAGATTCTCCAAAGACGCAATGTAAAATATTTTCCTCTCTCTTTAACAAACGTAAACAAATGTAGAAAAAAAAATGCAAAAAGAAAGTCTCTCAGGCGTGAGTCGAACACGCGACATCCAGATCACGTGAGCAATTACAGTCTGACGTCATAAACCAACTAGACGACCGAGAGTTGTTCGAGTAGACTCGAATGGTCACATTTTGTTGTGTTTGTTGGGAGGGATGTCAAATTTAAATTATATATTGTCAACAAAATATAATGTGGGGGTGTGGCTAATTCGTTTGTGGCTTCTAGGCGGGGACTCCCGAGGTCACGCTACTTGTCAAATCCATCTACTCAAGGACCCATAACAACTCCCTCAAGCAAAGCAAAATTCCACAATCATAGGTACTTCTATGAGATGCGATAGACAGCAGAGTTAGAATGTTTCACCCTCAGTCATTCTCTCTGAGACTCGGGTAAAGTTCGGTATTTGGAAACCTATTGCCTTCTACCACAGACAAAGAACAGATCAAAACTCCATGGGATCGGAGTTCCGATATTGTAGTGGTAGTAAAAGGCTTGTCCCTTAGTTCACGGAATGATACATTATTGCTGATACATTATTGCTAAACTCAGGGTGGTCATAATTGGATATTGTAGTCAATACAAGTTATGAAGCAGGAAGCAGGTTGTTCAAATTATTGGGGTCAGGGTATTCAATATTCCGGACTGTAGTTCAATAATATAAGGATTTAAATATCTAAAAGCAATTGGAAATCCGAAAATAAATTAATACTCTAATCAATTTCAATATCTCAAATGATTTGAATATTCTGATTGATTTGGGAATTTGAATAATCTTTATCGTTGGACTGCAGTCTGGACTATTGAATATCCTGGTTGGGGCTGAAGAAAGAAGTTACATGGGATGGGCTATATTTCGAAATAATTGTCGAAGAGATTTCTCTCTCCCAAAATCAATGGAATCGGCTTCAAATCTGATCAAGAGTTTTTCTTTAAGAAGAAATGCGTGTCGGAAAAATAGCTATATTTGTTACTTTTCCGAAACTGACCCCAATACAACTGCTAGCAGTCTTTCTACAAACCAAAAACCTAACCGGAAGGAGGAACCAAGAAAACAAGAACAAAATCCAAAAGTCAAACTACCAAGCACTAAACATTCCTCCTCCTCAACATCCACGACCTCACACCTGCCATGATTGACATTCAATCATCATCACCTCTCCCAAGCAACTCATTTAATGCTGAACATCAATCGCAAAGAAGTGCACCTCAGACTTGCTATTTCCTTGGTTATAGTTACCAGCCTTGAAGTAGCTCTTTGGGCTATCCAATTGATAAGTGTCCAATGTCTTTGCTGCACCCCCATTAATAGCCACACTCAACTTGCCTCCCTCATAAGCAATTTCATAAGAAAACTTAGATCCAACAGCCACACTACCAACTTGGGTAACAATTTCATTACCACCATCTCTGGTTTGTTCAACACCCATCGAAATAACTCCCTTGGAGTTATAAAACAATTCACAAACAGGCTTGGAAGAAACACTATCATCGATATGGATTTGACCAATAACCGTTCCATGTGAAGAATCATCAGCGGCAATTACTTGAAGAGTAGCACTGAGTTTATTGCTTGCAGAACTTGGACTCCAGGAACTAGGACTAGCTTCGCGAAGCTCAGTGCGGCAATGCTTGGAGTTGGCGGTGGTGACACAACCGGTTGATACGCCGCCCGGTACCTTCATGACAATTGATCCGTCGGTGTTGGTGTAGAAATAATCTTTCGATGCGTATCCGCTGCACCCGGCGAGCTTGGAGCCGGTAACGGAATCAGGATGTCCTTGGGTACCGCTGGGGAGTTGGAGAGTCCATTTTGAGAGATCGATGTTCCCGCCCGGAGCGCAGGTCGGCTTCAAATTGCCGGAGGAGAGACCGGTGCCAAGAGCTGCAGAGGTAGAAGTGGCTGTTGCAGATGTTGCTTTGGTAGTAGACTTTTGAGCTGGGGCAGCAATGGCGAGGCCGAGGAAGGGGAGGAGAACGAGGAGTTGGGGAATGGTGAATTTGGAAGACATTTTGATGATAGGTTTTAGATGGTTTTTGATATAGAGAATGGTAAGATTAATCAAGAAATAGATACTAGATTTAATAAGAGTATGAAGGAAATAATGAAGTTAAAAGAGAGCGAATTGTTATTGAATGACGATATAGAAATTCTCCCTCAAAACTCATATATATAATCTCCAAAACATCAACTACACACATATATTTTCTGCACCCCAATAACTTCATACTTCCATAATCCACCAAAACCTACCACAAAATCCACCAAACCCCAACTATAGAAATCTTCTTAGTTAACTCCATCATGAAAAACAAGGGTTGAAAATCATCAGTACGAGAAGCAATTTATTCCACATAACCATACATGAAAAATTGCCCGTTAATACGAATACTCAAATCCCATAAGGATTTAAGGTTCTATCTCACCCCAGCAGATTTGCTGACATCACAACCACGCTCGCCTAATTTTTTAGTCACCGTTGTACGAAGGATCAGGAGCCGGGGATTATTTTGTTAGTAAGTGGGTGTGGGTAAGCGCTTTGTTTGGGGAGGGATGTTGGGAGATTGTGATTGGATGAGAGGATGGAGGAATGGAGTGTGGATGCGAGGAATGATTTCTTTGGGATTGAGGGAGGTTGAAATAGGGGAGATGAGAGATGTGGAATTGGATGGTCTATCTTTGGGTGGGTAAGCGATGCGGGAGGAACCGTGGATGGGGAGATGATGTATATGGGTGCGTTTGGTGCGAGGGCTACGAATTGCTACGAGTTGCTAGGTGAGTTCTTGATTGGGTTAGAGTTGAGTTGTGTTGAGTTGTACATGATTGATTGGGTAATCGGGGTAGGTTTTGTGTTGCTTTTATTGAGATCAGAAGTGGTGGGAGGTGGCGGAAGATGATCGATTGAACTTACTCATCTCAAGTACCTAGGTCTGCCAATTTGTTGAATGCAGAGTGTCTTTGAAGACATGAAGGACTGATCATACATGGTCGGATGTCCAAGTTTAATGTCATGATTCCAGAAAGTTTTGGAGAACTTATATCGCCGTCAATTAAGAATTTGGAAACCGGCATTGTTGTTGTGTAAATATAAATGGAATGGCGCTTTTTTGGATAAAAATCAGAGAATGTACTCCACATATAAGTGATGACATGAATTCATCCATGAATATATTAAATGAGAGCGAGGAAGCCTCACAACTTTCAGTCTCGCAATATAGATCAAACTGTGATGTTAGTCTAGATCAGGTAAGCAGCGCCCATTCCAAGGCGAACTCACTTAACTTTGGAATGGCCAAATCGCTGAATCCGGAGAGTTGAATTCCCAATAGAATTGGAAAGTAACAGAAGTATGCCATCATACCAGGGCAAGTTACAGTTACATGCGCTTTACCGTTTATCTGCCTACAAACAGGGTCTTTGGATGATGAGCTCAAATATCCAACTCTTACTCCGTAGGCAGTTGTTATACGTATTAACCAATCTACAATCGACCTCGAACTTCTCATTCGGCTTTGTGAAGTTTGAACGCGCTTATCTGAAAAACCAACTCGGTGACAATAGGTTGAAATTCAGCCGCGGCGTTTGATTTTTTTCTCATATGGCCCATTGGGTAGTCTAGACAAAGGTCATATGATTTCGCATACATATCGCGATACTGCGCCCCCGGTTGCCTGATATTCCAACACCAACGCGTCTCCCGATATCCGTTTTCTAGGTAGTATGCTGCAATCGCGAGTTTGTCATAGATATATAAGTTTGATGAAATTTCTCTATGGTTGGATCTTTTCATAGATATATAAGTTTGATGAAACTCCTCTATGGTTGGATCTTTTCATAGATAAAGGACATAAATCGACTTACTCGACATACCAACTTAATAATACTCCAAACACACTTCATCAATATGGGGTAAGTCATAATGTATCTTCCCTCACGGCTGCTCTCTCTCTATCGACTCTGCCCTGAATGTATCACTAACACATTGCACGGCTCAGCTACACACACTACTAGGAGATCAAAGAGCAAACCACATGGTCCAAAATCTGGCCTCACTAATTTCCGACGCCAACCTCATCATCAAGACCCTCAAAAAAAGCGCCCCTCTCCTCGACGAAACAGATGGCTACCACCTCCCCACCATCGAACACGGCATTTTCATAACGGACAAGACGAGCATGAAGATTTCAAATTGACCCAATACAAAAGCGTTGGCTTCAATTTTTGTAAAACCGCAAGGAAGGAATATGATGCTGTTGTCGCGACTATTCTTATGCGTGCGAAAGTGTTGGCAGGGGATGGGTTTAGTCTATTGTGCGTTTATTTTTCAGTGAGGGCTGTGTTGTGAAGAATGCTAACGTTTAGATAGCTCTGACGGTGATTGGGATGACGAGTGGCAACGCACTTTGAAGGATTATGTCAAATTATGGCCAATTGAGGAGAAGCCTACTGGAAATATTTTTGACCCCGAATAGGAGTATTGATGAGGAAATTTACGAAGAGAAAACTGAATGATCTTAATGAAATTTCTATTACATGCTGAGATTTTAATAACAAGAGAATAATGTTAATCTTACCACGAAACAATTTTCAGGTCAACCTCGATTGACACTGTCCCGCAAGTTGAAGAAAAATTCAGGGTATGCTAGAAAAGTGTCGTCCACGATAGCAAATTCATGCAGTGACATTACGTTTACTTAGAGATTTGAGGTGAATTAGGTTATGTTTATCGGTATGGCGGAATAGATCATATCTCACCAATCAACCTAAATCCTAGGTGAAAATGGAAATTTTGGAAAGCCGCCTAGAGCCGAGAAATTGCTATTTACCGATGCAGGCAAGAATGATCATTAATTTTAATCAAATCGATACATCTCTTACGAGCGCTCAAATTTGAGACTCAAATTTTCCCACGCTGGCTAAGTACAGATCATGTTACACTGGTTCAAATTGACTCGCTAAAAGACCATCGACTCAGTTCCATGAACACGATTTCCAAAAGAGTTGCATAAAGTTTATATATTGTACTATTCAAGCGACAATGGAAAGGAAGTCCAATGATTATTATTGAACAGCCGCAACGGAATCCACCGCCATACGTATTTGATCTTCGAGGTGACTCTGGTCAGTGGTTTTCTGTCATTTTATCGCAACTAGTAGACTTGCCTCGCATTCCCTTCAAAGCTTCATTAGCTGTAGAGTAATTCTCCAAGGCATCCAGAATCATTCTGATGCCCTCGTGTAATTGAAACAACAATTTATCGGTTCTCCTTCTGAGTCCATCTTCGAAAGAACTAGCTTGCTTAATTGCAAGAGTCTTGTGGCAAAGCATAATCATTGAGTAACTTGCTTGCATACTGCAGCAGGCAAATATTGGCATCATGCGGGGTAGTTTCGTTTTTCTAGTGCTGTTCCAATAGGAAGCATTTCTCGGATCGAAAGGCCGTGGCAATGGCAAAGCACGAAAAGATTGGGCGATGTTGAATGCGGATTGCATGCATACCTTTGAGGAAAATCGTACACTGAATGGTAGGATCGGAGAGTCGAAAACAGAAATATCATCAGGTATTGGGGAGTTTAGAATACCGGGGCTGAGCGTCAAAGTGGCTGTGGCCTGCTGTAGGTTATTGCTACAACCGCAGGCGGTACCTGGATTTTGCCCAACAGAAGGGGTGGAAGACAAATCACAATGCTTCTTCGTGAAGACTGGCATATCGGAGAATGCACAATATCGATGAATCTTAATCCTCGCGCTTCATGGATGATTAGCTATTACCTCACTGAAAAGAAAACACCCAAGGACGTACCTATTCAGCTTGATACGTGTCATCATCCGCAGACTTTTTGCAACGACGCTCTCTGATGGTTCCATATCATCCACGTTTCCATAGGTCCACTTTTCTGCATTCTGAACCAGCGGCTCAATGGTTCTTTCTAACCCTGCCATTGTCTCCCAGAGTTTCAGATCATGAGATTCTGATTTCAAAGATGATTCGAGATCAATCACGAATTGTGTTGCTGTGGCAATCACTCTTTGTGCCTCAAGAAAAACATCCCAAGCCTGGATTCTATGCGCTTAGTCTGCTGTAGTTTTGGAAATCAAAATGGGCATTTGCACTTACATCCGAATCAGATCCAAAGGTTGGAAGTGGCGTCGTGAATCTCGGATCGGTGAGGAGAATAGAGGGCGCCTATATAGCCTTGGTCAAAACATGAAGGAACAAGCGCTTGAAGAGTAATAAATACCATGCAACTAAGTATAGAACCTTGACAAACGCAGACGTACTTTCCAGAAGTTAGCGTTGGAGCTGAAGGTAGATGTAAACCGCAGCTTGTAATCATACCGTCATCCACCATACTCGTCTATCTGATTCAGCATATACATAATCCTCTTTATCCTTTGAATGCAATCCCAAGTCCATGGCAGATACCAAAGCCTGTCCACACCTCTTGCGCATCTTCGAGATATTCCCTCGTTGGGAATATTCATAAGTACATAGTAGCAGCAATGCGATTGTACTCTCCGCCTCCAACCTTACTCGCGGGTGGATTTGTGTGCGATATATCTGCATCTCTTGGGCGCTTAGAGCCTCCCCAGGGTCCACTATAGACTCTATCATCTCATTCTCAATCTCAACGCTATCAATCGCCAACTGAGCGAAGACTTGCGCTTGATTTCGACGTAGTAGAACAGATTCTGTAGATGTGGGGCTTGGATCATCAGGATGTGGAATTAGTGCAAGAAGTGCGGAGATCGCAAGGCTCATCGGGGAAGCAGATTGAAATTGTGGATTGCTTCTGCTATGAAAGAGGATATCGTTTGGTCCTTGTACCCCGGTTTCCAATTTATCAACTGCTTGGTTGATCGAAGGGGGTGGAAGAACAGGGAAATACGGATGGATGTAAACATAATATGCGCTCAAACTACAGTGTCAAAATTTGGTCAGTCATGTTACTCAATGTTTCTACCTAGTGACAGAACTTACATGTCCTCATCGTTAGCATATGTTCTTACTACAGGTATACCTGTCTCCATTTGAAAGGGACCTTCTAGCACATTTTGTGGTAAGAATTCGTCGTTTAATATTGAAGGTTCTTGATTCCCTTGTATGTTTGGGTCAAATGCGAAGTCCATATCAAAGTCCAGTTGTTCGTCTCTTTGGAGAAGACCGGCACCAGGGGTGGCCAATGAAACCACCGGGGCTGGACCAGTAACTAATGACAGGTCAGAACAATGTTTGGCAAATATTCGAATACTTACGGAGCTCATTTGGTGGCGATTGTTCTATACGACCTTCGCTATTGGTGTTCTTCTTGCGTCTTCTTGCACCACCTCTCTTGCTCGGTGTATAGACGCAATCACAACCTCGATTGGCACACTGATGACATTAAAACTAGTGTATTTTCAACATTATAAAGAATCACTTACATTTGCACATGGGGTTTTACCATTGCATCGAGTGCGTGCAGCACGACTGGCATTACGTTGGTAAACATCTTCCAAAGATACCAGTGAAAAATAACGTTACCATTCTAGACATGCCACTTTTACAGGAGGTGCCAAAAATTTCCTGGTGGCGGGTTTCCTGTGCTGTGGTGGGTTTGTGGTGGTGGGTATCATATTACATGTTAGTTTCCGCAAATGCTCGCTCAAACTGCAGGGGTCTTCGGGTACGGGAAAGAGTCTGAATACTGATGAATGAGATGGATGGTGTAGAAGTCCCGGCGTGGTGGTAGTCTTGTCGTACTCCCGTCCGTATAAATTGTTCAGATGGAGAAGAAGATCTTCAAACTTTGGATGAACACAATTTGTCGACGATGATAGTGATGAAGGGGGTTTCATAAAAATTGTATCATACGATACAAATCATGGTGGATCCGTGCGCGCGTGCTTACTCATCAACAAAAATATGGGATCTTGACTCGAGCTTGACTCGAGCTTGAGTATAATTTTGAGAAAGTGACAACCTTCCTTGCCTGCGTAATCTTACTCAAAACCTTATTTCGAACCAAACCACCACCCACTTCAATGATATAGATAACTACGATACATCCGTTGGAGTATCCTTATCATCCATGGCAACGACAAAATCTTCAATATCTCCAGAACAGGGCGACCCCAAGTATGAAAAGTTCAGTGTTACTTGATGGCTCGCTATCTATATGCTCCGTATACCGCCATGCTCACTGTGTTAACGTTACATTATTCACCGACAGATACCTTCAATGATTGATCCACAATTCCGGAATTCATGACCTGAACGGAATCTTGACTGCGCATCAATGATGTGAATTTCCCGGCCCCTTGGTTTACCCCGCGCCCACCGGGCATGATACCCCCATCTATGTGTCTTAATAATGATAAGATATCCAACGTATAAATATATGCAATGGATTCTCATCAAGAAGTACCACTGTTCATGATTGTCTTCAAAATGCGTCTTTCAAAAGTTGCTACATTGCTTTTCCTCGCCCGTTCGACTGCTCAGGCTCGATCGTATGTTAGTACCCTGCCACAAAATGCTCAAGGACTCTTCAATGAATCTATGGACTATCTGGATCGGGCATACGACGACAATGCTGGCTATCTTTATGAAATGAGTGGATCTGCTGCTTTGAGACACGATACTAGAAGCTCAGCATGGTACGCCATTGGACTTTTGGCAAGGAACCAAGGTTCGGATGTATCCGAAGCCGAGAAGATAATCTCCAATGTTATTGATGGTCAGTTCAAGGACCCTGAAGCGCAGTGGTGAGTTTAGTTGTATCCAGTGGTGTGAGGCAGCGACTGAAAACTCTAGGTATGGGGACTATCAGATAGAACCAGAGGAACCAGAAGTGGGAAGCTCGTATTATGAGCCAAATATATACAATTCATGGGATCCAAACTGGCGTGGCTTCATAGGAACAGCCTTTATTGTTGGTCTTGAGGAGTTTGGTTCCCTAATCTCGCCAAATGTGACTAGTCTGATGCTGGAATCATTGTACAATTCGACCATAGGTGACAGTTATCGTGTCGGTGGAGTAGATGGCGATAATTTGTATCCTGCTTATACCAATCCTGTAAGTGCATCGCCCAGCCTATGATGCATACTCTTTATTAATCAACTACTAGTCGATAATGAGAGCTTTTGTTTCCGGATGGACCGGTCGTCGGTTGAACGACAGTAATATGACAACCGCCGGCGAGAATTATGCCCAACAAATCGTTGACTTGTTTGATCGAGCCAACACACTTTCGGAATTCAACAGTGGCACTTACACTGGCGTATCTTTGTTCGCTATGAGTTTGTGGGCTAAGTACTTGCCTGAAGATTCTGTGATGAAACAAAGAGGTGCTTCGATGATTCAGTATACTTGGGAAGCAGTATCTAATCTGTGGCATCCTCAACTTCTGAATGTTGCTGGCCCTTGGGATCGTTCATACGGTTTTGATATGACGAGATATTTGAGCCTTCTGGCACTCCACATCTGGAACGCTGTAGGGAAGTCCAAGTCTTCAATCATCGACAAGCCTTATATTATGTCACATAATGCCGATTTTGCTTACGGTCCATTATTCGCAATATTGTCCGAGTTCCACAATAGCTTAATACCAGCAAATGTGACGGATGCCCTTGTAAATTTCAAAGGGGAGCACACATTTACTTCTTCAACCTATTCACCGCCGTTCGACTACTATCCTCGCAATATTACAGCTTGGCTTGCAAACAACATTAGCATTGGCGCTGAAACATTCAACGAAAATGTTGTTGGTGGACCTGCTAAGAATCAAGGCACCTTCAACCCCGCTCTTATGCAATGGAATACTGGCAATGGAATTGGCTGGCTCACGCTCTATGCAACAGAAATGCATGTGATTGCCGAAGCTGGTAGTGGTTCGTTGAATTTGACTTATCCGGAAGGAAATGAAACCTCGATATTTACCTTTTTGGTTTCACCATTTGCCGCGAAGAGGACTATTTCAAGCATCGAAGATATACAAGGACTGGGTTTGAACGTGTCTGGTACAATTGACATGAATTATACCTTGTCTTACGCAGGAGAGTATGGCGGCACAGATGCCACTATTAATGATTTTGAGTATTGGAATGTAACCTTCTCAATGCCAACTGGCTCGACCGAAGTACCCCACATTCTTCTCGAGGTTGATCTTTGGTAAGAGAAGCATTCGAGGTGTGTATATATGTATATAGTCAGACTCAATACTTCAAGATGCGCCATCTGATCCTATTCACGAACTTTGCTCATTATTGAACATCAAAGCATGAATAATGGGTTTAAATTAAGCACGTTGGCACTTGAAAGCATAAACGAGAGAATTATGATAAATAGGAAGTCGCATGGAATATCATCATACATTGTCATCGGTTCATTGTTATTATTGCTAATCACATAGCATAGATACACTGATTCGATGTCCTATGACGAACTTCCCAGCTCCATCAGCTGAAAAGAGATACCAGGATTGTTGATATTTCAGACCCCACGATCGGAACAATGGGAAAGTGAGTACGTTCCAAAAGTCGGCATATCACCATGCATTTTACTTCCAATTATTGAATAACATGTCAGCTTTTATGCATGTTTTGTTTCATTTTACTTAGCCGTGGTTGAAACTATTGGGTCAAGATTGCGCGAGTGCTTGTAGCGCTTACCTCCAGTGATTCTCTGATAGCGTATCATCATGTGCCAGGTGGATAGCATGCAACTATCGTTGCGCGCTCAGCTTTTATATACATTGGCAGACATGGTCTCTGTAAATAGAGCACAATATCCTTTCAATAATAACAAGACATTCAAAGAGAAAGACCATTGCTGCATCATTTCAACCTCATGGAAGCTATCGGTGGCATCGCAAGTGTTACAGGGGTGGTAGGATTCATCGGACAAATCGCAGGCGGCTGTAAAGTCGTCAAAGAAATCATCGGCGACATCAAAAACGCACCTAAAGACATCATAAGGCTTGCGGGGTGTATTAAAAGCATCGAAGAGAGCTCGAATGAAGTTCTACGCCAGCATAAACAACTAAAGACTCATTATGGAATACAAGATATACCTGCGGCTGGAGCACATTTGCTTGAAGCCATTAAATCTGTCGAAAACAAGCTCTCGTCATCCGCGAAAATCTTTGGCAATTCAACGACGGGCTCCAAGAATAAGCGGAAGCAGTTCTGGCATCGACTCAAATATGCTGCGAACAAAGAAGAGATTAAAGAATTGATGCAGTGGGTGGATAGCACCACACAACAAGTTACGCTGGTTCAACAAAATTTGTCAAGGTATGTAAAGAAATCCGCACTACCTAGTAGTTATATTTACTGACCTCTTAAGAATTATTCAACTCGAACAAAGTGACTTATTGAAGGAGATAGGTACCAACATTACAACGGTTCCGCATGTCATTCATGATTCGAGAGATGCAATCATAACAGCGCAGCAAAAGCAAACAGAAACACTTCGCTCGGAGATGCAGAAAAGTCAGAGTCACTTAGTACAGATGATGTCAACGACTATAGCTACCAAAGCATTGGAGGATGTTCGTGAGGATTTGTTACTGAGTTTAAAAGGAGCCATGGAGGAATGCATCCAAGCACAACGTTTAGATGTTGGACCCCAAGTCCAGTTTCTTGTTGGCAAGTGTTTGCAGCGCGATTTGCCAGTACATTCAGCCAAACTTGCAGAACAACGAGGGAGTGATGTGTCTCTGTCTCTTTCAAGTCCATCTCCACGCAGTGTCACGCCGACATCTTACCATGCTTCATCAACACCCGATAAGATGAAGCGGAGGAAGAAAGGAAAGAACCTCATTTTGTCAACATTCTACAATTACAGGTTCCTCGGAATTGATGTCTCCATCTCGGTCTCATCATATTCCAATGATCAATATCAATTCTCAAGGTCATCTTCGGGCTCACGCGATCTATCTTCGACTTCAGTATCTATTTTCCTCAAGATACCCTGGGCCAGAAGGGGTCTCGATCTGCGATATGAGATGCCTAGCGTACCTTATTCTCGCGAAAGTTTCATTTCCCTTAGACCGTATTACATACACGCAAAGGGTAGTGAATTTCATAAAGCAGCCATAGAATTTGACGTCGAGACAGCGCGAAGCTTGATTGAACAAGGAAGAGCTTCTCCGCTGGATGAAATTGAGGGACGACGCAATTTACTAAAATTAACTGGCATACCTATAATTTATTATCGCAGAACATCTTTTTTTCAATGGATAAAATTTATTCTTGGATACCAGGTTGATAGATATATCGATACTAGGGATCTCAAATGGTTCTTTTATCTAGCTTCTCGATATAAAATAAGTCGAATGTATGAGATATTGCCTCTAATTTTGGAATGTTCGCAGGATTGCTTTCTGCAGGATCCGGACATAACGTTTTCGCTATGGCATATAGATCGTCCGTCGCCAGAATATAGCAGGTTAATGATGCCTTTCAGGAATTATGACCAATTAATTGACTGGGATTGTCACGAGTTCCCAAGCCATCCCGGTCTCTATCTTGAAAACAGTCGTCAACTTTTTGAGAATCCTCAAGGAGATGGATTAGATGATGCACTAGATAGAGGATGTCGATACCGCTTAATATCTGACCGGGAACGTAGGGAAACAATTTTTGGAGGATTTCAAAATAAGTCATCTGTGGTATCGATTCTGGAATTCATAAACCATTACAGTGGGTCAAGAACCAGGGAAGAAGTTATCTTCTGCTGCAGCAATCGGCTTGAGATACTGATTAATAAAGGTCTTAACTTAAATAGAGACGAAACTTTTCAAACGCAGCCGAGTGCCCTAAATCTCAATGTGGTTCCATATCATTACTCTACAGTTGATTATGCAATTCAAACTGGAGCTTGGAGGCATCTATTCGAAATGCTCGTCCAGACAGGGTGGAATGAAAGAAAGATTCAAGAGCTTTATGATGAAGAGATATTCTTAGGGATTCCCGCCTTGATGGAAGGTTTACAATACCACACGATAGAGAACGCACGGGAAGAATTCCTGCAGCGGCTGCTTCACGGTTGTGCTTGCTCTTGCTTTGATATCGAAAGACTGTCGATAGAACTAGCTACAGATCGATACGGTATTTCTGAGGCTATCGCAAATGCCCGTCTCCAATATTCAGAGAAAATGAACATACCGGGGTCGTGGGCAGAAGAAGAGGTTGCCAGCGAATCGATTTCCGAGAAAGACCTTATTATGCCATGGTGCTTAAGTATCCTTTCTTTCACAGAAACGCATTCGCGTTATCACACGTGCATTCACTATGGCCAATACCACACAAAATGCCACGTTCCTCGAAAGGAATGGTTATCAAATTATGATGATATGCAGCTCGTCGATATGGTGGAAGATATGGAAAGCGACGAGGATATGGAAAGCAACGAGGATATGGAAAGCAACGAGGATATGGAAAACAACGAGGATGGTGACCAGCGCTAGTTGAGAGTAATAAGAGCCTTTTCCTTTAGCTTAGAATTGCACGAAGGCCCTGTTCACACTTTCGTTTATTTGACTTCGTCAATCAATTTAAAGTAGCATCACTAGGAGCGACCGCCAATACCTCGAGTATCATTTACAAACCATAGGTTGGAGGATAGTAGGAGTGTAAAATAGATTTTTGATTCTTTTCATAGTACTAAGATGTTAGAGAGTTGTTTGAGACCATACTCTCACGAGGTTCTAATAACATTGGCATCTAACCAATCTTATACCTGTAGCTGTTTTGATCCTACGCCTGCTGCTGCTCTCATGCAATCAGCAAACAAACTGTTTTAAAGCCTGAGCTGCAGTTTGATATTTATGGATTGAAATCATACTGAGTGGATTCACTTCCAAAAATAATTGCCATGCACATTCCAACACATCCTGTGGCAGTGTAAGGATCACGTGATTGTAATTCGGTGAATGCAGCAAGCCAAATCTCACTGCGTATGGTACCTACTTAGCGTAGGATTGCGGTGATAATAATAAATAGGTGGTCTCTTCTTACCAAGTCCTCTTCTCCTTCTTCTCGTTTTACAAGCCTTTGGTACCTTTTCGTTTTTTTACTCGAGATACACTCAACCTCGGTAGTGATCAACTCCATTTTCCTAAACTGCAACACTTCGCCATGCATCGCGCACTTCTCCTCCCCGAAATTGTGGCAACAATTCTGGAGACAAATAGGTCAATCCCTGGCTTCCTTCATACTTGCCTCTTTGTCTCCAAAATCTTCTCAGAAGAAGCATCTAGAATCCTGTGGTACTCATGCGGAGCTTACTGCTTTGCTGAACAGGGGACGCCAAATATTAAACATCTCGCTCAAATAGCTATTCAAAATACCGAGAGAGCGCAATACTACGCCGATTTTGTACACGTGCTTGAATTTTCGGAAGAAGAAAGTGATGAAGAAGATGGGAAGGATGAGGGTCGTAATGAGGCGTATCTCGATGAAGCAAGATGGCATAAGGAACTCACTTCCTTGCAATTTCCTCAATTGAAAGACTTCAGCCTTCACGAATCCAGTAACGCAACTGAATTGAATACGGGAGAGTTTATCAGTCACTACGCGCAACCAAACATAGAGAGTTTCACGGTGTACCAAGGAAGCCGCATTTCCGACGCTTTGTTTGACAAACTAACACAATCTTGCCCAAGACTAAAATCTCTCCATCTCAGCAAAATAAGCTCAAGTAATCTATCCAAAGATGGACTCGTTCGATTTTTGAACAGAGCGGATAAACTTACTGCCCTCGTCATCCAAACTGGGGTCTACGATAGTTGGTCCTACGAGGCATTTGAAGCCATAGCCAAGCTTCCAAATCTGACCTACATTGAGATTCCTGATATTCAGAACAATTGGATGGACTCCGTCAGTCGCGCCAGCCCTTCTACTCCTTTGTTTCCAAAATTGGACGTCCACTTGAGTACCGGCATTTCCGAGCGTGATTTAGAATGCTTGGCTCAACATGTCCCCAAATTAGAGGATCTATCTATAACTTTACAAAATCTGCCTCCGTCACTGAGTATCCTCGCATCTGCATCGAATTTCTCATATCTTACGAATCTGAAAGTCGAATTTGGACCACGGAATCGAATCAGCGGCAGCGATCTTCTAATTCTTGCAAGAAACTGCCCTTTACTCTCTTCTCTTTCGCTTGGAGTAGTTGACGATGACGTGTTCTCTCCACCAGGTCCTGCATACCGTCCTTCCACTACCGGTATTACTGATGATGTTATTGACGAGGTCGCTCAAGCATTAGGAGACAGTATCATCTCTTTGAGTATCATTTTTGACCGCTCCGATTTGCTTACGTGGAGCTCCATTCTTTCTCTCGCTCGATATTGTTACAATCTAGGAGATTTGACAATATCCTGCAACTTTGATTGGCAAGAGGCTATGAGTGGCACGGTCGAACACACTTTTCCTGCTCTCGAACATCTGGATTTTATTTTCGATTCCTATCTAAGGGCATCGCAGGTTCAATATTTCGACCAGGCAGCGGTCCAAAGCTGCGCACAGAAAATGTTTAAATTGGCGCCAAAACTATCGTTGTTCTGGATTGATGGTGCAAATGAAGTCGACAATAGCTGGGAGACTGCTGTTCAGAAGATTTATTACGATTTAAGTACATGGCAGTGATGTAAAAAGGATTCTTTGCACAGTACATTCCTGTGGATTGCAAAGAACCCTTGCGCCGCGCTCATGTCTACAGAGATATCCGGCTAGTCATTTGAAAGACTGGCAGCCAATAGTTGCGGCTGAGTAGTGGAACCAATTTGAACAGTCGATGAGGTGACTACTCAAGTGTTGTAATGCTTGATAGCAGAAATGTTAGATCGATCATGTCCGGAGAAGAAGAAATCGCGACAACTTATGTATATGTGGTCAGATCAGATGCCAACGTAGATTTTTCAGAGCTTAGCTAGTAATACTATGAACAAAGAGGCTGATATATTTCCATCTCTTACACTTTTCTACAGGAGTTTTTATGTCAGACATGCAACAGTGAGGGTGTAAATTCGTGAGATGATGAGAGGCTTGAATTTGAGTATAGCTTTTCAACCATCGTTTCAAACTCCTTGAGACTTTGCAAATATTCATTCTATACTAAGTATTCGATTGTATATTTTATCGAACATCAATCGTCGTTCGGATTAATCATGGTCTTCTGCACTTTGAAGATTCACGGCCGTTAGATTATTTTTTCAAATAGATATCTGTGAGAACCCAGCCCCAATGGATCCCCTTAGTTCCTGTTTATCAACAAATCTCTCCATACTCGCCGTTTATAGATAGTTAGCGCTTCAAAATTACATCGAAATACCGTTGATTAAACTGCTCGAAAACAGAAGACATAAATATGAGCTTTACCAGACCCGTGGCGTAATCCCACAAGAATTTTTCAAATCCGACCAAAAGCTTCCCACAGGCGTTGAACACTTGTGGAATAGATTTATAGCAACACTTCTACTTCATACTCAGCATGACAAGGATATTAAGGGTGCAAATGAGCTCCTTTAAGTATTGATGCTATCTGTAAAAACAATTTTCTAGTAAAACCAACCCTAGCCAACCAGTATGCAATTTCTCTCCATTTAAACGAAACAACCCTCCAATGCCAAAATTCTTCCGAAGAAGACACAACAGAAACGAAATCGAATAAGACACTCCGCGAACTTCATCCCCAGCTTTGAAAGACAATCTAACTGTCAAATATGACAAATTGAACCGTTATCTAAGGATTCTTTGCCTTCCAGGTGTCAAGCGATGATTGGCAAACAGTGACGGCAGTCAAGTGACCTTGGTCAACAGTTCCTCCAAGTTGAGTGCATGCGGTATTAGCTGCCTTGCGGTTCTTGACGCATCTATTCTCACTCGTTAGTCACAAAACTTATAACATCCCTCCTAGAACCCTCGAGAAGAAAACTCGGAAATACATACGCTTGATACCCGTTAACACACTTAGTCTTGATCTGGGTTCTCTTCGTCTTATCCTTCGATTTAGTGAAATCGGTAAGCGAAGTCGAGGGACAAGCAGTTTGTCCCTTGTGGGCGGCAGTAGTGGCGTCTGCCATCTTTTTCTTGAGATCATTGTATTTCTTTGTGGCGGCATCGTCTTTGGTCTTGTCGCCTGTCATGACGGGTCTTGGCTCGTTACATGTTTGGCCATCGCGACCGAAGAGTTGGGTAGGGTCTGATTCTATGGTAGAGATCTCAGCGGGAGATGAGGTAGGGGCCGCGGAGACGATGGCGGGGAGGAAAAGGAGAAGCGCGGAGGCGACGATTGGAGAGAGCTTCATTTTGATTGTAGTTTAAGGAACGAAAGATAAACTTGATGATAGTGTTTTGAATTGAGAGTAAAGACTGAAGCGAAGAGAATGCTGTGTATGAAAGTTATGTTATAGCAAAGATATTTGAGGGTATTTATATTATCTGTGTCATAAGGAGAGCCATGGAGATCTACAGCTTAGCACTTACAAACCTCACTTAGTTGTCAGTAGGAACTTCCTTCACGAATGTGCCTCAAAGCCAAGAATGAAGGACGTATGTATGTCAATAAGCATAAAATTCGAGTGTTACATTGTTCTCCCAAAGAAATGAATCTGACTGATCCTCCGAGGAATGCCCCGCATAGCCACCAAGCCGAGATAATCACTTACGGCACTTAATGGGAGTTTCAGACTTTAAGATACGAGGTATCTGCAGGACTTCCTTGCTTTATAGTGATGAATAGATGCACGTAGATTCTCAACGACCGTGAATATTAGCAAGGGAGAACTCAGTGAGCAGGATATCCAGAGCTTCCTCCCACCCGGATCTTAACACAACCTGATAGAACTACATCAATGACATTCAAATATTGGTACAGAGGCTCAAATTTAGAATAGATGGAATAGCTTCGACTTCAAGTTTAAATCTTACTGTCGGATTAGAGACAGACTATTCGATAATATTCCTATGGCAACTTGCGCAACAATTCCGTCTCCAGTTGACAGCGGGTCTCTTTGGCTGAGTAGACGGCGAGGTAGGAGATGATCCCAATTCTATTTAAAGGTTTGTTGTAAAGATCAAGATCAAATTGAGTCATTAATGCGTTGCGATGCTGTCAGTATCGATTGGAATATGTATGTCATCGAATGAATGCAGATCTCTGCACACGTGAGCTCAATGAACATCCGATCTTCCTTCCCCTTGCAGAAGAGACTTCAAAATTTCTGCCGAGTTCCGAAATCATACTGAGATTATAAATCCTGTGTGAGAAATTAAATTTCAGAAAGCTACAACTTCACTTATGACCGTCATACCATCTGTTTTCGTTAGGTGTACAATAACAGGCTTACCGGTGATGTAACGTTCGTGTGAGAGGACCCCATAAATACGATAAGCTTATATAAATAGCCCTACAGTACAGTCAGCCCGAGCCTCAACCCTGAATTAATAAGGATCCGAAGGATTTTCATAGAATGAAAGGAGGAATGAACAAAAAAGAAAGTTTATTTAAAGGTTAAAGGTTTAAAACAATTTACCGGTCGGAGTTAGGACGTGAATGAGGGTTTCGGTTGTGTATTGAGAACGTGAGGGGCACTTTTTTTCAATGATGAAAACCAACAGAAAGATTTCGAATTGAAAGTTTCATAGAAAATCCTAAAAATCATTGTTCTATTGCTGGAATTCCTCGAAGAAGTGCTTGAAGTTTATTCGGGCCTAAATTCTAGTGTGTGTATGACCTTTTCAAACGTGTCAAAAATTCTCAACTGCGTTCGTCATTCTTCAATTTACATTTCCCCAATTTTGAATCTCGGTGCCCAAAATTCGACATCTCGTCGGAGGAAATATTAGAGTTGTTAAAGAGTATACCTGAGAAAGTCGTGCAGATATTCAATGCATGGAAAAAACCAGGGCATAGGCTCGGAGACCTTTAATGCGTCAGTGAAGATCTCATAATATATGTAGATTAGCCATTGGGATACCTAGTACCAAGACGTGTGAGCGTATTCAAATTCTTACTAATCTTGAGCCTGCCTTATATAAATCTCTTTCAGGTGTCCCTTGAGCTCAAGTATCAGATGTAATCTCAGAAGTACCAATAAGGTAGACACAGTGAGAATCATAGTGAATGATCTTGTATCAGATTCTCTGCAGTGTATTCTAGCGAGGTCGCTAAGTTAGTAGCTTTCTTTGATTTGAGAATTTCTGAACATGATTTTACCTGTGTAGATTAGATACATATGATAACAAGAACCTTTGAACACAGAGGGTATAAAGTAAGTCCCTTCTATTTCTACTCTCGACTCAAGTAAATAAAGAATTTTCCGTTTCTCTTCTCAAACACCTCACAACGTTGGATTTTATCGCTCTCAGCTATCGCTGTTTATATTTGCGTGTTTTGGATAACAGAATTTGTACTGGTTTAAGTACAAATAGTAGAAATGAAATAGATCTTCACTTTTTACCCGATAATGAGTGAATGCGCATAGAAAACTGGAAGGAATGATCAGGCTCACAGGTTCTTTGGAGACTTGTCTGTCATATAGTAACCCTGCCAGATTTTCTTGTCTAGGTCGATGTTTCCCGAGCAGAACTTACATTAAATTACTATTGGCGTATCAATATGACAAGAATTCATGCAGTCGGCGATTGGCAAATAAATTGATGGTAATAAGCTTAGCTATTTGTATCTGTAAATTACCAAATTGTAAACATGACGCGTTCTTCTTTGAACACTTCTAGACTGTTGTAACATCAGCAATATATGAAATAGACATAGTGTCACATACAGATAGTACCGTTTAGATATTTGATATCCATACCTGACGAATGCTCAGCTTATAATATGCCTTGCATCATTGTCATATTTTTGCACGATTATCAGAACCCAGGTCGACATCCACCAGATAGTCATTATAGTTCTATTTTCAAGACCGAACACACTCTCAGTTTTAGCCTGTCGCCTGCGCCACTCCTCTGATTCATCAACGCTTGTGTTACTGGCATCCGGAACTTGAAACTGTGGGCGTCGGTTCTCGCTGTTCATCCTTTCTGTTCTAAAACTTGGACTCGGAGGATTAAATCTTTGATGACAGATTGGTGAGTATTATTTACTTGTTGTTGTGTGCGCAGTTTATCTTGTAACACAGAAATCGTACGTTCATGAGCGTTGTTTTCAAGTTCCAAGCCCTCGACACGCGACTCTAATTGTTTTATTCTGTGATAAGGTGACTCATATCGATTAGAGTCTTCGAAGACGAGTCGGGGAGTAGGTGGTGTGGTGCTGGGACTGTCTGATTCGAGTCTTTGCTGATTACTGAGTCGAACTTGGCCTGGCGTAGAAGACGGTTGATATTGGATTTTGGTTCGAGGTTGCTGTGAAATTTCTTGATTCAAGGATACATTCCAAGTAGAGCCTGGATGTTGTTGTGCCGAGTGTAGCTGGGTAACAGAAGGTCTAGGAACTACGGGTCTAGGTTGTGGTTTTCGGAATCTTTGTGGGGCAGTTCTTTTTGCAGCTTCGAGGGCTTCTCGTCTGTATTTGACGCCATCTGTGAGCCTTGCTTCAACTCCTGCTTCAGCCAACCTTTCTTCCACTCTATTGGCATGTATAGTCGACTTCGCATGCCACTCAATGTTCGAAACATCACAATTTTGATAATGCACCTTGTACAGTCGTCCTTTACAGTCGTGACATCTGACCTGGAGTAGATCGTTCTCGTAAACAAGCTCGTATTGATCATCGGGATATTTTCCCCTCAATTCTTGCAGACCTTGAGTAAGCCAAGGGAGATTGGCAACCTGAAAATGTTAGTAGTTGAATCAATGGCTCTATAAGTACATACCTCCTGTGCAATCTTTTCAGCATTTGACTGAGTCTCGTTCGAAACAACAGTCTGAAGGCTTCGCGAACCTGATTCTACTCGATGGCTAATAGATGATGGAACAGCAGCCAACAATCTTGAGCTGGCCTGGTTCTCTTCACCAACATCTGATCGCTCTATGCCACGAGAACTGTCCTTGTTATTGGATGTACGCCGCCGTTTGTTACTTTGTATTGCCGTGGAAGATTCAAGAATTTTGGTATTCGTTGGGAAGAAAAAGCGCGTGGCATCTGGTTCAACTTCACTCATGGAGACAAATTCACGACTTGTTATACTGTTTGGTGCCGCGACGCTCGTTTCAAACACTACTTGATTTGCCCCGGATATACCTGAGCTCAGTAGGTCATCACATGACTCGCCCGATCTACAGCTTTCCGTCTCATAGTCCGGGATCAAAATATAACTTTGCTCTACCGTTGCCGGCAAATTTCTTCCAGAAGGCGTATTCTTTGGAGGTATCTTCACCAGAATGTTGGCCTATTTTTTTCAGAAAATGTTCAGTAAGGATCACAAGATGTGATTTTGCTAACCTCAATCATATGATTCAAAATCCTTTTGACAAGTTCTTCCTTTTGTAATTGGGCAGATGATAGTGCTTTGGGAGACCATCGGTGTCGAAGACGATAACATGAAATGATGACTTGTGGACACAAACCTTCTTTAGAAGCATTGGCTCGATGAAAGCGTATCATACTTGCAATGCATCTTGATACTCTCTTGTATAATGGAGAGTCAGTGTCCAAAGGACTAGCCATGGCTTCGGCTCTCAAAAGAAATTTTCAATGCACAGCTTTTGCACTCTTTCTGAAGAAATTGAACAGTCAGAACTTAAGAAGTATGTTCACTCGCGTAAGTCTGACTGATAGGAGAGAGCGACGATATCCGGCATTGGCATCTATGCAGTTGTTCAGGTCGCAACACGTCTAATCAGGAACGTGTCGGAGTGCGGATATGTGGAGACCTCCAGGGCTTGTCTTGTTAGTGGAAAATGAGCCACATCACGAGATTATGTAATCAAGCCACGGGAGTGGCGCGTGCTTCGAGTGCAATTTCAGCACTTTCAACTGTCGACGTTGGTTAAAAGTTGGAATTTTGGAGCCATGTCAATGAAACTATGCGTATTCAAAGCTACAATGACGAGACGATATACTATTTGAATCTTACTCATTGCTACACTGATATGTTGCATAAGTCCATCGAGGCAAAAAAGATCATTTTTGTCCATCGACACGACAAGCAGATCTAAGGGTCTTTGAGATAGTGGTGGCTACTTCGCGTCCATTCATTGACTTTATTCAAATACGGCATAACTTCATTCCTCTTTCTATTTCATCACACTCTCCATCCATGGATATACTGCTGAATTGGCCATCGGGTAACCCATGTGTAAGGCACCAGGAAAGAAACTAACAGTGTTAACGAACAACCACCGGTCTTGCAGATGAATTTATAACTTACCGAGCTTCTTTTGGTGTTCCATGTTCAAACAGCAGTTGCGAATCCTCGATCGGCATCAGTCCGTCCAAAGTACCCTATCAGATGAGCTGTCAGTCACGACGTATATAACATATATACAATCAGAAGCCTACATTTATAAGCAACAGTCTTGTCGAAGGCTTATCAATTACTCCGCTTTCAAGTAGTGAGAATTTCTTTTGGACGTTTTTCCTGAATTCTTCTATAGAGTTATACCCGTGCTTTAATGCCATAGCTGGACCAAGTCTAGGAGATGTCAGACTGCACTTCTCCAAACTCCTGGAAATAGAAAACTTACTGGAAAGGATACTCATGTCCTTCGGCTTTTTCAAGCCAATCTTTACCGAAGAAGTAATGAACAGCAGCGCCTTGTGCAACAACTCCTCTCAATTGATCTTTATGCGTATGGGCCAGTCTGACGGCATAATACCCTCCAGCACTTAGACCCCATACCATCACTTGGCTCATATCAAATCTGTCTCCTGATTTCATCCACTCCAAAATACTTGTCCACAATCTATCGGGAGCTGAAGGATCACTTGGATCAGAGGGGCAGTCAGCTGTCCCTGGAATCTCAGCAATTACACATGCCCAACCGCGACTGATAAACTCATCGCTTCGAACTGTGTTGTCCGGTCGATATCCATCGAGTCCAGTCAAGAGAAGAACCACGGGCACTCTCGAATTTTCAGTAGCTGGCGGGTATCTCACATAAATTGGTATCGAGAGTTCATCTTGCTCTTCCGCATGCTTATGTTCAACTGAAACCTCTTCTACTGGGCAGTCCCATTTCGTGGCAGCTTTCATATACACCTCTTTTTGGGCTTCCCACGCTTTCCACTTGACTTGGGAACTTATCTTCGGAAATTTGCCGATGTATGGAAATCGTGCGATTCGATATACACAAGCGGCTCGCAAATAGAGCTCTGATGCTGAAGCTTGATCGCCAGAAGCCATTAACTTATCTCCTTGAGCAGTAAGCTTTTCAGCGATTGGAAAGAAAGCTTCAGTGAACGCATCACCATATCCATCATTTATATTGTTCTGAGAATTGTCAATCATCGAAAAGTGGAAACGAGTGGGGAAAGCTCACAGTAATTAGATGCTCAAAGATGGGTTCGAAATCTTCGAATTTTCCGTCATGGAAAGGATACACACTTTTTGTGCACTATGAAATGTAAGCATTCATGCCGCAACCATACCAATCTTAGGAAGTATCTACGGGGAATTTCCATTTTGTCTCCCACAATGCCTTGACACCCTCATGATGAGGGAGCTTCGCCTCAAATTTGTCACCCAACGTCCACGTTCTTCCATTGCCAAGTTCCGTTGCTTGAGGTGGCATCTTTATCGTTTTCGAGTTTGATGTTACTTGAGTTCAAGAGCTATCAAGATTTCAGTCTGTCTACCTTTTATGTTTCAAGCAACATCAAGCCCGAATCAGTAAAGTAGTCGGCCAATAATAGGGGGAACAGTGTTCGGACCCTGTGGGGAAGTCCGTGCTCTTGTTGGCCATTCAAAATCTCCCTTGATCTGCACAAGGTTTCAGCTGAGCTAGCTGAGCCAATACATCATAAAATCCGAGATGATTTGCATGAAGAGTGGAGATGGGCTCGAGATCTCTTGCAGTTCGACATTTGCCAGATCATGGTGAGGCTGAACAACACAACAATGATAGCCATAGATATGGTTCACCGAGTTTACTTTACAACACATTGTATGCCACAACGAAATGTTTCCATTTATCGAGCTCCCTGTCCTTGCATTTTGAACCTATCTTTGTTCGTATTTAGGGACATTAGAAGTTGAAGTGTTTAGAAAAGAAGCAAAAACTTTCCAAGAAGTTGGATTGAAAGACAAGATATTAGTTTAAACACGTGACCACGAGGACGTCATATCTCCCGCATCTATACCACATCGGTGAATTGAATCATGCAAATGTTTCCACCTCTGATTCTGATGCTAATAAACCGGTGGCCAACTGTGGGAGATTACCCTAACACTGGCTTCCACGCTTTTGTGCACCCCAAGCCCCATTCAGAGCGCCCCATTCAGAGCCAGTGACTTCACAGGAGAACCAACGTGAAGTAACAATGCCCTTAATATACGCCCGGATATTCGCCTTAGAAATTCTCTATTTGGCGATTTATCAGCAAAAGTCGAAAATTGGATCATTAAGATTCGCAATTTGAGATGGACGTAACCTAATGATGCGCTGGAGATTGTGACGGGATGGTGTAACCGTCATGTTGAGAGACTCCAGATTCATTGCTACGACTGCGATTGGCTTTTAAGGTTTGATATTGCATCAAAATCAAGTACAATACGGCATCTCGATAGCAATATTCATGCTCAAAATGTTGCAGACAGGGGAATGTCTCTTGCAGAGATGATGAGTCGCGATTCGCAGCGATATATTGTCTATTTCTAGAATTTGGGAGGACTCGCAAAGTCTTGGATGGCTAGAAGCTCAATAATTTTTAGTGAAATTTTCTCATTCGCACAGGTGAATGCTCAGGTTGAGACTCCTTTTCTATTGTCATGTTTGTGCATAAACTATTGCCCAGGTAATTCTCCAAGTACTAAACGACGAAAGGCGAGGCGTCGAGGCCAATATGTTCGCCCTGCAAATCCTTGCGTACATCTGTTAAATTCATCAAAATAGCCACGAATGTGGTCTCGACTTCTTACATTGACTCCTGCCATCTGTTATCATGCATATCTCTCAAGCCATCGCATCAAATGGCCCTTTCAGCATCTCAGCATAAGCCTTATAAAAGATATCAGGATTCTTCCACATCTGTCTCATGTACTCATTTCTCTCCTCCATCGTCTCCGGTGTCACAACTCTTCGTTCTCCTTGTGCTCGAGCACCCGCTACTAACAAGGCTGTTTTGGGTTGTCGAATTCCTGTGAATTCGGCGAAAATCTTCGTTAAGGCTTCTGTGGAGAGATCGCTGCCGGCGTCGGGGATGAGCCGTTGGAGATGGTAGCAATCCTCCCTATAAAATATTAGAAAGTCACCAAAAAGCTGGGGAGGTAGTATCAACATACATAGCTTGATTAGCACCTTGACCTAAATGGGGACTTGTGGGATGTGCAGCATCACCAATGAGAACACATCTTCCATCATACCATTGTTCGGCCTTCAAGCCTGGTCGATCGAAGATTCCATATTTAAGTAATCTTCCCGCAGTTTTGATCAGTTCTGGAATTGGCTCAGCCCAATCTTCGAATTGACTCAAGAGCTCTGCTCTTCGATTCTCAAGCTCTTCGGGTGTTGAAAGACGCCATGTTTCTTTTTCTTCTTCACTTTGTCGCTGCGTAAATGCCCATGATGAGTGAGTCGGAGAGATGGGGTAATGGATCAAATGAGCGGAGGGACCGAAGATATTCAGGAGAGTGTTTTGAAGAGATGGTGGCGTGGGAGAAAATCCATTGGTCTGGGCAATGTTAGTATCAACACTATTAAAGCACGGTGTAACAAACCTGTATTAATCCCGTATATGTAGCTTCGGGCTCATTATATCCTTTACGTTTAAGCAATATCTCTCTCGAGGCAGCTTTAATACCATCACACCCAATGAGAAACGACCCTTCAATCCTCTCACCAGCTTCTGAAATCGCTGCCACGCTGGTCTCACTCTCTTCAATCTTGGCCAGTTTCCATCCCGAGTGAAACTCGATACCCGCATCCACGACGGCCTTTTCAAGAGCTAGATTGAACGTGCTTCTTTTAGTTCCACAAGCCGGCTGACCATATATTTCCTTCAGCGATCTGAGCAAATCGCCGCCCCCAAGAACTTCACCGGTATGAGTCTTATCCCATGAGTATTCTCCCCATGGCGCATTATCAGTTACTGTCGTAGCAAGACCGACCAAGTTGAGTACTTTGAGACTATGATGTGATTAGCCCTCATTCGATATAGATTGTGTATGAAAAACATACCCGTTGGGCTGTAGAAACAGAGATCCCCCCGCATCTCCCAATACTTTAACTTTTTCCACGACAATCGGAGTATATCCTTTCTTCTGAAGTAGAATTGCGATCACTGGACCTGCAATGCCACAGCCAACGATGATGACTTTTTTCGAATTTTCTTGAGACATGTTGATGTATTAATGAACACTGGGAGTATGGTACAGAATGTGAACGAACGTCTACTTCAAATTGAATGCCAATAGTCATTTATATAAACATCTTTCATTTCGAAGCCCCCTCTTCCGTTCTAGGAAATTCCAGAAGATGGAGACCGGAATGTCCACGGACCAAGGAGCACAATTGCCTGATGACTGGACCGGTCGCAACCATGATACCTATAGCCGACCAGCCAAGTCTAATTGGTCAGTCTTCGAGGCATAAAGCTGTACCTCGCATTCGAAGGAATAGTATGTTTCTTGTTATGGTATGTAATACGTTGTGCCCGCAACACTATGTTATTCACAACACGTCATTGGAGCCACAAACGCAGTCTGACATGCGAAGACTCATATTTCCATTGGTTGTTGAAAGATTTCACGTGAATGCTTTGCAAGAGATTTTTAAGGGTCCAATAGACTATTGCATACAGCTGACGTGCAATACACGGGTTTTGGGTGGTCTTCAGATGGCAAAAGTTTCGTAGTCCGAACGAAAGCGAATGCAAAGATACTCCGGTCCGGATAATAGATAATCAAAGCTTACTTTTCTCCTTTATTTAATGGAGTAGATCCACTCATGCAACTCCACATACAAACAAAAGTTCGGACGAGAATATGAAGGAACAAAAATCCAGAAAGACAGTCTAAAGTATCAAAAGTATTCTAGATGATTGCCCAGGTGACTCTTGATCGCTTCCATTGCAGTAATGGATCAGGATGCAAAAGAACAAAAGATATCGACGTCGGCATGATTCGAACATGCGCCCCCGAAAGGAATTGATTTCTAGTCAATCACGTTAACCACTCCGTCACGACGCCTTATTGATATATCATTGAGGTCCACATTCTAAACTATATTCACATTGCAAAACACAAACGAAACCACATACTCCCAGCCCCTACAATTCTCACCCACATAACAACTAGGTATTTCAACTCATAAAATCATAAAATGAACGAACTTCACAAATAAATCATCACAGAGATCCAATATCTAAACAACATTGCTTCCAATTAATCGATCCTTATCACACACTCCGTATTCGGAATCTGTAGCATACCATTCCCCAACCCCTTCATCTCATCGCCTAATAACCATTCTATAAATGCCTAATCTGATTTAACCCAATGTACACTATCTAGATACCCTTCCCCTTGTTTTCGCGAGCATAATCTCCAGAACGTCATTCCGCGATTTGTTTATCGTGTACTCGGTGTCGTTTTGAATGAATGCCGACCTCAATTTAGCGAGTGTACATTATACCAAAAACCATTAAAAATCACTTATTTCAAAATTCTATATCAATTTAAATAGAAAGAATGAAAATATAAGATTTTACAATTAGCTAGATATTTAATCAAATTCTATATTCATTTTTTCAAAAATTAAATAATCTTATTTCAATTTTGAATTATTCAAGAAATAAAAGAATCAATAGTATAGAAATAAAACTTACTAATTTTCAGGCTTTAATTCCTTAAAATTAAAACCTAAAATATCGATTTTTGAATTTGATTTTTTTGGATTATTATTTCTTCAATATTATATTTGAAGATCTGAAATCTTGATATATAATATATTCATAGATTCTGATTTTATTAAAAAAGAAATGAAAAAAAAATTATATTTATTCTTTTGATATTGAATTTTGAAAATGCTGAATAACTACGAATTTGGTAGAAAAATTCGTTTAAATTTGAGGTCGGCATTCATTCAAAACAATACCGAGTATGTTGAGCTTCTATGTAATCTTCAATTATTTATTAAACATTCAGGATTTATTCGGAAATCGAGGTTTTCCGGGCTATTTGGAAATTTACTTGGTGGTGTAGTGTAGTGTAGTGTCAATCGGTATAGATGAAGTTGGTTGACCCAGATACTCGTGCACAATGAAGCGTTGTGTCTTGTTCGAGAGAGAAATCGAGATCGTAGAAAAGGATCTTTCAATGTAAGGCACTATCTTTATTATGAATGTAATGGAGATTACGCAATATTTCACATTCCTAATTGCGTCCCGGGACATTCATTAATAGTTTTACAAATTGGCATTCAGAAGTCAGACATCCTTTAGACCAGAAAACAAGCATCACAAAGCTAGGAATTATAATCTTTCTCCGAGGAAAATCGTGGAAGATTAATTAATTGAGGATTTACTTTCGATCGCCAAAATCATTTGTTAGGTATCTATATCCGAACACAAAAATTCCAATCCGGGGGTATCAATACATGTGCTCGCAGTCCAACGCCAAAACAAACCTCTCAAAATCTCTCCTGCTTCGGCGCTATAGTCAAAACGACCCATCCAACTCTACCCATCTCATCTTTACAAGGCGTAAAATGACAGATGTATTTTTCCTCGGCCTTCTTCCACCCTTTCTCTCTGTTTGCCGCTGTGCCGCCAAAAATGCCCTGTGACTTCTTGATTTCTTCAATTCCGGTCAAGAGTGCCGTTTCGACTGATACTGCTCGCCCGACTTTGATGCCTTCTTTGACTGCGGTTTTGAAAGTGCGGGGGACAGATGACGGGGAGTGTTCTGTGAGGACTTTGAAGATGTCTTTGTCGACGATAGGAGCCACGTGCCCGTTGGGAAAGTTTAGATTAAGCATATCTACTATACCCGGAGAGAAGTATTTGACAATCAAATTTTGTGATTGTGGCTGGTAAGATAGGACGAGATACTTATTTTGATGTCAGTGAATTCAAGCAATTTTTAGATCTCGAAACACACCTTTGAATAAGCCGTATAGAATTCCTCAACTTGTGTTTTGAATTGTAGCTTTCCGATTCGATCAATCAATTCGCCTTCCATCCCAGCTTCATCCCGGATTTCTACAGCGTTTGCCTTGTATTTTTTGAAGCTCTTGAAGAACGAAGTCTTTCCACAATTACTGGGGCTGTTGGACTCCTTGCTTCGAACACTTGGGGCCTTACTACTTCCCTCTATAAAACTCCCAGTATCCTCATCGTTTAGGCTCAAAATTCGAAGAACATCGGTACGACTGTGAATCGTCGTACTGCAATTTATTTGTCCGCCGAGAAAGAATCTGACGTCCCCATTACCGTCAAGTAAGGGAGATACGTAAAGGAGATTCCAAAATGGATCACCATTTTTGCGATAATTCAGAAGCAGTTCAACTGTTTCTTCACAGTTTTCTATGGAAGTTCGTAGACGCTTTGTTGCTTGACGATCAGTGAATGATCCTTGTAGGAATCGACAGTTTCGAGGTATGATATCTGATCGGGAATATCCCGTGACAGAGACGAACCCGTCTGAAGCAAACACAATTGGGTTATCGGCTCGCCTTGATTTGGTCAGTCTGGCATCTAGATGGACAGTATTCCTTGGGAAGAACATACCTTGGATCAGTCAAACAAAAGCAGTCGCCTAGTCCTGGGTATCTTTCCTTGTCGTTTGCCAAAGCCATAGTAGCGGAAGCAGTAACCTGATGTTTTACAAATCGCGGGTACAAATCGCTAGCTAGCAATTTCTCAATTTGCTCCTGTGACGCATTGAAAATGTCTTCCAGGCCGGGAAGAATATTGTTCGTCGCGCTCTTGATATCATGTGATAATCGTCGAGCATGAGAATCAGAGATATTGATTTGCTTTGGTGCCTCTGACGAAACAAAGGTCGAGTAAATCGTGGAAAGAAGACGTGTCGCTTCATCTATCAATCGATTATACTCATCAATCTAGTTTGGCACCTTTAGTACTCGACGCCATGCAAAAGGGCATTATTAGCATACCTTTTGCAAGAATTCAAGATTTTCCGCACAAGCACGACTTTGACAAAACTTCAAGAATCGATGCGCGGTCGTTGGATTATGAAGCACGATATAAAATACTTCCGAGCTAAAGAAATCTGCAAAGTTTCCCGCGCTACTCAGTCCCATACCATTCCCACTGCTACCATTCCTGCTGCTTACACTTCCTTTGTTACTAGGACTTGTTCCCGTCGAGCCTTTGGTGCTACTTCCGGCATCTCTAGAAAAGGTGATGCGACGTGGGCTCTCGGATGTAGATTTGGCGGAATTGGGAGGTATCGGGGCATTTTTTGAACTTGGAGTTCGGGCTCTTTCAGGAAATGTTGATAGTGGAGGCAAAGGAGCGGTTTTGTTGTATGAATCGGACTCATTACTGAAAGATCTCGATGGCGGTCCATCCCTGTTCTGATAGTAGTGGTCAATTGCGTCTGTCATTTTTACGCTAAGTCTAAGGTTAACTGAAGCACTTAGACCTATAGTCAAAAAACCCGTGGGAAAGAACGCATAGAAAATGCCAAAGCCATAACGAACCACAAAGTGGCGCTTCCTTAAGGTAAAGTAGTAAATACTGAAGGGGTGGGCCAATTTCCAGCGTAGCTCTGGAATCTCGACAGCTACTGGATTTGGCAGTGTGGAGCGACCCGTGCTCAGAGATTTCCTTCTTGGCCTGTACACAATAGATCGATACTCGTGCTGCCAGAAAGTATGCAATTCCGACGCTAGATGCACATACCACAAGATGGTAAACTACAAGACGACTAACCTGGTTTTCATAGCGCCGGAGTTGCATACTTTCTGGCCGCACGAGTATACAGGCTCTACGTAAGCAAAAAAACAGGCGGGAATTGACTACCATTCGAAAAACCTTCAACAACTAGGATCTCTTTTCGATATAATATTAAATAATAACAACACTTGATCTCAATACAAAGAAGACTCAAATTTTCTTTTTCTTTTTTCAAATTTCAATATTTAGTTTGAAATGAATTTATAATCTATTAAAAAGACTTTTGAAAGAGTACTCAATTTCCGCCTGTTTTTTCGCTTACGCAGAGACAGGATACGGAAAATCATGAGCGGCAGACCCGCCTATTTAGGAGGTGGACTCCGATCTCATCTAGATATGATTGGTAAAGCCATCTCATCCACTTTGGTAGAATACAGAGGGTAAAGGAAGGTGTTCACCATGTCTCAAATGAATATGACAATGTGTATACAGTAAAACCTCTTCATAAGGATACTGGTTTTTGTAGTCTTTTTTAAGGATATATAGAGGTATCCTTGTAGAGAGGTTCCGTTTAATTCCGATATAGTAGTAATTTTTTTCCGATTAGTTCTGATCGGGTTATATTCTGTGACCATTTCAGAACTTTTTCTATTTTAATAAAATGTGACTAAATTCTTTATATAATATTATATTATAGCTTAAATCCTAATAATTTTATTAGCTCAATAAGGATACACGTGATTCTGGGACCGGAAATTATAAGGATATTCTTATAAAAAGGTTTTAAGAATATAGGTCATTTTTAGCCCTAAAAATTCTTGGGATTGAAAAATATATCCTTATAGAGAGGTTATCCTTATAGGGGGGATTCTTATGGAGAGGTTTTACTGTACTACAAAAAACGGCACAGGCTTGCTTTCACAGAAGCCAACCGCGTAATTATCAGACGAACAGCAGGTCCATGTAGCAAGGAACCTCATTCTAAACCATAACCAACCAGAACCAAAATTTGCGTCGTGCCGTTCAAAATACGAATAAACTGTGCGGCACTAAAGGTGATTGATAATCCTTGATATGCAATTTCGATTTTCATATGTGGATCCGTTATCAAATTTCTGAGTCTTTTTCCAGTTCTTATCCGCCTTCGAGTGGCCGAGGATGAAATGCAAGAAGGGGTGCTGTGCCGCAATATATTATACACCATGTAGATGAGTACGGGCAGGGAATAGGCATCGGACATCGTATACCTGGTACTTGGGAAATCTTGATTGCATCCTTGATTCGATTCGTTAAATCTCAATATATATTGAGGGAGGTCCATACATACAGTACCTACTAGGTAGTGGAGTTAGACCTCGGGCTAAGATAGTTTCCGAACAAGCGAAAAATGAAGGAGGAGTGAACCTCAAAAACAAAGAAGCTTGATTATTAAATGTCAGTGATAGATCTTGAAAAGAGAAGGGCCAAAGAAAAAAGACGCTTGGGACAAAAAATTCATTAAGGTTCACCAGTTCCGAAAGACGAATCTACAAACTCAATTTTCATCTCATCGGCGCCGCAGGTGCTGGGGAAGCCATGTCGCTAGACCCTGGAATTGCATTTAACTTCCGCAAGGACAGCTCCCACCCGAGCCACCCCACTAATGATATACCTATCTCTCACTTATCCGTTCAAAACCCTCCACAGTATCGTTCATAGAAATCTCATTTCGTGATTTTTCCCTTAAGAGGAACAGACGCCAAGAGTTGATGATAATGAATTATTTCATTTGTGTATCTGGTCGAGATTGTTGCAATCACACGAGATCCAGAATTTGCATTCGGGCAATGTAAGGGAGAACGGATGTATATATCATTTGTCTCATAATTCGTATTTATTTGCCATTTCAAATGTCATCGCAAGTGCGCTCCTTGAAAAGGTCTAATCTATTTACGGGAAGTGTAAGTTGGTTTTATTTCCTCCATGCGTCACATCTATATCGATATTCAACATCAACATCGTTATGATTTCGCTTCTTGTCTAAACACCCAAACTCCTCATAACCCTACTGCTCTTCTTACTATGCGATTGAGCAGAAACACTTTTTGCTACACTAGAGGCAGCGCATCCATTTGCACCACACTTCTGATAGAGGGTAATTGCAGCATTACCACCACATTTCTCGACACTGTTTCCTGCGCATGGCATGATACAATCACCTAGCATACCAGCCACAGGTGCCCGGTCTGCAGAAAGAAAATTGCCGCAGTAACATTGACTTTCGAATTCCATTCCTGCATATGTATGTCCTTTGGAGGTACAGAAATTCACACAAGTCTCGATAGTCATTGTATTATTTCCTTCCCAATCGGCATTCAAGGTTCTGTTTGCAGCGTCGTCGGTTCCACATCCGAGATAGGTCCAGCCTTTGGAGACACTCAAATCGACGATGCCGATTGGGAGCGAGGGAGCCTTGGAGGCGGCGGGGTTGAAGCGGGAAGGGGCAGTCTGGAGTGACTTTGCTAAAGCTATATCTTGAGGACAAGCTGGTGGGTTGTATTCCGCCGGACCTGAAGAAGGTGCATTGCAACCGGGAAGTGCCGAGAGCGTACCGCTCACAGGTTCGTTAATCAGAGGAGCAAGTTTGCATTCTTGAGTGTCGGATTGTTCGTAAAAGGTAAAGGTCTCGCTTGGACAGTCGGGTTCACCGTCAAGGCAGTTGTTAATGCCTTTTGTGAGTGTTGGGATATCCCAGCCATTGACCTTGGCCTAGTTAGCTTCACGAAATATCATAGAAAGCAATCGGTAAATACTTACAAAGTCACCGTGAAATCCATAACCAGTGGTATCACCATTAGCAAGGATAAAAGGTTGAGAATTGCCGTACCACTCATTGGCGAAAAGATCAGTACGATACGTAACTTCGAAGAACAGAGTCATCATATGATGAGGATGCGAAGCTGGGCAGCGACCGCCGTCAAAATCACCATCCGCAGGATACGACATGTGAGATTTGTAATCGGAAGAGGTTACATTAACACCATCCCAACAACTCGGCATTGTGACCTGAAGTCGAAGACCATCTGGACAGTTTACGTTTGGGAATCCGTTCGTTTGAAGATCAGTTCCTGTGCATCGAAAACTAACAGCACGGTCTGCGAAGGAAGAGTCATTGTAGCTTCGTCGATTTGTATCTCCTGCTAGCATACGAAAATTCTCAGGAAATGGAACAAGTGGATCATTATCTGGACCTGGACGTTGGCTTGGGAAAGATTAGCAAACGTATGACATGACGGCGCGTCAAGACTTCAGCGTGTCCAAGACTCACAGATAATAAATAGCCATTCCCCCAAGATTTCCATATCCGTCGTCTCCATTAATGGGTACAGAAATGAAACTACCATTCTGAGCCTTGTAGTAAAGCTTCGGGGTCCAATAATTTGACAAATCCTCCTTCACATTGCAAGTCCCACATTTGGCAGCACGAGCATCAGCGTATGTCATATTGGCGCTGAAACCACTACCGCCAGCAATCGCATGCACATGAGATGCAGGGAGAATTCCAGGACTGACGACTGGATCAACACGCTCATCGACGAGACGACTGTAGCATTGAATGACGAATGTGGTGCTTGCGGGCGAGAAGAGCGATCCTAGGAAAGCGAGACCAATTGCTTTGGCTGATTTGAACAGCATCTTGACTTCTGTTCGTCGCGGTGGCTTTTGGAGTCAAAGATGGCAGTGATCAAGTCGACTTCACGCGATAGTTGGTGGCTTTCAAAGCCAAAAGAGTGTAGGTATTGTTTATTTAAGGAGCGTGGTTTCTATTGAAGGAACGTACGATCAGGTATCCAACCCGATCAATGTAAAGGTGAGATAAAACGAATGTGTGTGAAGAAAAAAAGTAGCAGCAACTTGCCTCTGTCCAGAAGATAGAAATGAAAAGGAAAAAAGGAAGCTAATCAAGAGAGGGGAGATGTGAGAAAATTATAACAATTCCCTACGAAAATAATTTTTAAAAATCTGATATCTCATTTGCCAAGATAATCCTATTTCTGTGATACAAACGGTGAACAAACATTACATCCACTTCCAGTGAATCATGTACACGGTGTTGATTCTACATTACCGTGAATGTCACCCTCTGATAGGAGAATTTGGACGATGAGCGACGAAATTCATATGACAGGATCGCAATTATTCTCCGAAACTTCTCGCATCTGCACAATTTAGGAGATGAGATAGAGAATTGGGAAGATGGGACGGCTTGATACTACTTGGATAGTGTGCTGAGCCGTAAGGCTGTACCCCTGATGCTCTTTTTAGCTACACTACCGCCCGTACAACTTCTTGGCGATGATCCGAAACATGGTGGCGGAAGCGATAGGTGGGGAGTTGAGGAGTGTTTGGGGGGTTTTCTAGACGGCGCGAAATATTGTATATCTATCTGCATGTCCAATCTCAGAACTTGAAGCTTTAGAAGTTCAAAAGGTATGAGAATATGTAGATTAATAGGGGTCATGGGCTATAAACGGTCTTGATGGATGCGCAAACAATCATTGTTCCAATTCATGAAGTGCAATTATGAACGTGAGCTCAATGCGAGTTCAAGCGACCTTTTACTCTGATGTCTGTCGGAATGAGTTATGAGGCATTTAGAGGGGTTCACGAGAATGAAAGTGGTGCGCTATTTAATAGCTCAGTAGATAATAAGATTGAAGAAAATGCGAATCATTTCCTCATCATTGATTTTACCCGTCTTCTTAATTAAACATTATCACAAGATAAATTTGTTCCGAAGGTCCCCAGTATATATCTTAATGACTCCCCCCCCTTTTATATCAATGGTTTCCCGTGATAGGCGATATTTTCGTCGGAGCTATGACAATGGCCAGCAAAGCAACTGTCACCACTACTAACCACAGAGGAATTCCCGATTTAAGGTATCTCCAGACTACCTTGATATGATTGCTTTCTTTCTTATCAACACAAACATTTCTCCCTAGTACCAGGCATCCTCTCCCTCCTGGCTTACTATCACATTCCTGATGTTCTCTTCTCCTCTTCATCAACAAGCTGTGGATATTGTTAGTCTTCACATCTTTAGACCACAAAAGTTGTGTTAAGACTCACGCAACACTCCCTCGACAAAATCTAACATCACTCCCCAATTCACATTTACTGTCACTTGGACAATCCAAATGTAGCCGCCGTCTCTGAATCAGCCACTCTATCTTCAAATGTAAACCGGTATATACAAAAGAGTAGAAATATCGATTGGTGTGCTTTAGGGAGAGCGCATCTGGATATATCAGATGAGAAGTTATCAACAATTGAATTTCTTGTGGTAAATCTAGAAGATTGAGTTTGGGAGTAGCATATTCCGTCTGAGCATGGTGCTTCTCCATGATGTGGTGGGCAGGCAAGATAGATAGATCCTGTAATCGCGAAAAACTTACAAACTGATCACTGCAAGAAGGACGAAAGATACTGATATATATTTCGTGCTGCCTATACCAGGTACAGGTTCAATTGAATGAGTGGATCATCGAGTCACTCTCATGTTGAATACGATTATTTGAAACGTGGTATCTTTGACCAGGCTGCCACTTTTGCGCTTTTGGAAAGATGTGATTCGTTCCAGAGTCATAACTAATGACGGGAATATATTGAAGTGACGAATACTTAAGACTTTCCCTGGGCGGAAGGCTGTGTTTCTGTGGTATGGGAGATCTTGAAGGGAAATGCTGATTCACTAAAGTCAGAACTTAAAAGGCTGGTAATACCTAGTAGGCTTCACAAGAAAGGCGACACAGTTGCTATGGCTGAAACATATGTGTGGAATTTGAATAATGACATTTGTCTGAATATCTATTCAAAATCCTTGAGACTGTAACGATATTCAAGAATCCCTCAGTCGATACAGTCTTCCAGAAATTGGCATTCTTGAGTGTAGCCAATCGTAAGAGATTGATTGCGAACTATCCCATAAAGAGGCTGCACGTGATCACGCCTCAATCGCGTCGATTGAGTGGCAACGACCGTGAACGTGTCATGGATTGTCCCCAAACTACCAGAACACACTGATGTATCGCACTAAGTACATATATCGGCATGGCTGGTTCTGCCGTAGAAGGGACAGGACTGCCTCCCAATTTCGCAGATAGTGAAAGTGATTATGGTTCCGATTTCTCACCCGAAGAAGTTGAGATAGTAGAGAAATTATTATCGCCGATCCACCAATTCAAGGAACCAACGGAGATCGAAGACAATCCCATTGTCACCGAAATCGAGCATCATGAGCCAGAACGTGCTCTTCGCCTCCCTCGAGTCGTTGGGAAGCAACAGATCTCACCTCTGCTCCAGGCTATTCGTGATGCAGAGAGGGTTGCTGATCAAATCAATGCTTCAGTCTCGAAACGCGAGTACTATCCAGACTGTGAGTAGACTTTTTAATCGCTCAAATCATGTCTCTGACTTACACGGCAGGACTTAGTGAAAGATCAGATACCTGAAGTTGTGCCAGCGGCGACTCCTGCCATACAAGTAAATGAAGTCTTTTCAGAGCCCAGAGAGTCTGCAACCTCCACCCTCCCAGACACACGATCGCCCCTCGAACGATTTCGTACCGCGCCGAAGAAACCTCTCTCAGTGACAGACCTTGTGTCTCCTGCATGGTGTGAGCTGCAATACTGGTACACATTGACGAAACTTGGGAGGAGGACGCGAACAACCGCCATGAAGCAGGGTAGTGCTGTACACAAAGTCTTGGAAGATCAGGTACATAGGTCTGTTCAGATTGAAATCCGAACGAAAGAAGACGCATGGGGCCTACGAATATGGAATGTGATACAAGGGTTACGAACATTACGAGAAACGGGACAAACGAGGGAACTGGAGATATGGGGTACTATTGATGGATTGGTTGTTAATGGGGTCATTGATGAGTTGAGCTACATATGTCCAGATGTTGAAATGGAGGTATCGCTTCTGGGAAAGACGGAGGAAAAGGGCCAGAAGAAGAGCAAGAAGAAGAAGAAGAAATCGCCAACCACGGACCAAGTTTCTATATCTAATTTTTTCAAAGGAATGGAAGGTTCGTCCATTTCAGAGGCGACACGGATAAAAATAAGGAAGCAGTCGAACAAAGTATATATTTGCGATGTCAAGACCAGGGGTGTTCGCACGCTACCAAACGATGCAGCGTTTCGTCCTACTCGAGTACAACTTATGTTATACCATCACTTACTTGGCAATCTTGCCACAAACTCAGTCGATTTTAGCGTTTTGGCAGTCCATTATGGGTTAGATACAAGGAAGGCATTTTCAGATACATTCATCGCTCAGGTCGGTAGCATGAATGAAGATGACGACGGGATATACCAAGATGCACTTGAGGAGCAGGATGATTTAGCGCCAAGTTCTAGTCAAGATTCTATGAGTGTTCTCCTTGCTCACAACAATCTTAATGCACTGTGGTCCGTGATGATATCTGAATTTCAAATCACTTTCCCCGATGGTGCCGGGTCATTAGGCAGGGTGTTAAAAACAGAATATCGATCGCGAGATGATGGAGAGATAGTTGGAATCAAGACCATCCCCATGGATAATGAAGGACTGAGTTCATACTTGGAGGAAGAACTGCGTTGGTGGAAAGGAGAAAGAGAGGCAAAGGGTGTTCAATTGGATGAGGCATTCAAATGCAGGAGTTGTGATTTTGCCGAAGAATGTGAATGGAGGTTACAGAAGGTTGTAGAAGCAACCGAAAAGGCTCGGATGAAGAAGAAGAAGGGGAAGAAAAGTGTTGTATAGTTATTTTTGGCGTCTTTAAGGCGTTGCGTTGCGACCATTTAGATCACATCCAACATCATATATGATATAGATCCATTCTTGATACCAGATAATGTTTATCGTTTTTTCGATTCGAAGCTTGCGCGAAATGACTTTCTTTGCTGTCAATTGGGGAATAAATCTTCATTTGATGATGGACTAAAGCTAGATCTATCGTTCTACTCTTCCCGGTCTACCATCGACGGCTAGGCTGTATCTCTGGAACCATGTTTGTGTATCTAGCAATCCGTTCATCTATCTGACTCATTGACATCGCTCAACAACATGAATTTGTACAACATTGATTACCAGCATGATGAGTCTGCAAAAACGGGCTCTTCCAGCGCATCACAGATATCGGCATCCAGCAGATCATTATTCACTGAATGGAATGTGAATGATGGGAGACATATAAACACCGAAGTTTTCCACAACCTTCCTTTAATCATTTCTTCACCTTTCCAAGGTCCTTCTTTTCTTCCACCCCATAATCCCATCAACAGCCTACTACACACCACCCACAATGTCCTCCCTACAACTGCAAGAGCCCACCCCAACAATAACCAGCTTTGCGCTGCACACCATGGGCCCCTCTCTACAAGGCTACCTCGACATAAAAGTGCACCACCTCGTGCCTTCCCAACCTTGGACCGAAATAGAAGTTGTAGGCCACCATACCCGTTCCGCGCCAGCCATCATCTACAACCTCGAAAAGACCGACAAATCTTTCAACTTTCAACGACCCACCGCCACGATCCTGGGAGAGGGAAAACTACGCATCAATTGTTTTCCAGGGAGAGACTATGTAAAACACTATGCCAATATCGTAGCGACGCATTTAGCAATCGAGGGGAAAGACCCGGGCATCGTAAAGATTACACTACCCCAAGAAAACGCAGGGTATGAAGAATTCATGAACTCGAATCTGAGGGGTTTAGCAGGGGACAAAACAAATCTGGTAATTGTAGGATCGATTCCGAGAGATACATTGAGATCAACAGAACCGTGGAAAGATGAAGAAGATGAGAATGAGTTATTTTCATGGCAGACGGTTACGAAGAAGAATGGATTCAAAGTCACGATATTGAAATGTCGAACGAGTTTCTGGGGGGATTTGGCGGGGAATCTCGTGAGATGTGTGAAGGAAATCTGTGGGGATTCTTTGCAATGCGTGATCTATGTTGGGAAACTAGGCGCGTTGGCGCAGGAATATACGCCTAATAGGACGTTGGCGACGGGCTCGAAGAGTTTCGTTAATGGGGAGTTGGTCGAGTGGGAAAATCCGATGAGTGGGGAGATTCTGGGGAAGGTGGCCAGAGGTGTGCATTATACGTCGGCTTCGGTGCTGGATGAAGATCATGCGTGGTTGGAAAAGGTGAGGAAGGAGTTTTGTTGGGTGGATCCGGAGATTGGTCATATGGCTGTGGCGGCGAGGGAAAAGGGGGTAGGGTTTGGGTTTTTGCATGTGGTGTCGAATAATTTGGCCGGGGGGTTTGAGTTTGATTTGGCGAATGAAAGGGAGAGGGTGGTGGTTGATGATAGGGTGGTAATGAATAAGTGGATTGAGAGAATTTTGAATGGCTTTGTGGAAGAGTTGGATGAGAAAGTAGGGGGAAAAGCCTAAGACTTGTGGTTATTGATGGTTCATGGAAGTTAGAGTATAATGTAATTCGAGCATCGGTCGTAACAGACTTGGGAAATGCAGTGCAGTGCCAAAAAGTCACCATGATACACCAGAGGTAGCTCATCTTCTCTAAACTGGAACCATGGCTTCATCTATGCATGTGATATTTATTGGTCTAAGAGATCATACGGTCCATGCTGATTGCTCGACTCCAAGTTCCAGCCCATAAAACCCATACACCCTATCTAAATTATCCCACGATTCATCTTGGTATAATATAATCAACGCCCACCCCACAATAACAAATACAGCCCATCCAGTACATCTCTCCAATTCCCACAAACAATCGCCAGAAGCAGTTCACCAAGGATGTCTCAACCCATTCCAAGTCCATAACGTCGCTGCTTCCAGATCTTCCATCACACCCATCGCCCAAGCAGACGCTTTCCCACCCTCATCAATTCCATATTTTCCCTTTTCCCTTATAACTTTCAAACATCCTCTCACGCTTATTTGCGTCTCCGTCAACTCCGCGGGATTAGGTCCCAGATCAGCGCCTATTTCAGCTGTATGAAGAGCCAATATAACCGGAGCTTCGGAGTCTAAATGTCTGTGTATTTCGACGGCTAGAAGCTATGTGAAAGAATGTGAGAAGAATGTGACAAGAATAGACATGACAATGAATTGCCAGGTGATGAGAAGTAGAAAAGTAACATACACGCAAACCCATATTAAGCGCGGCTTTAGAAGCAGAATATGCGGCTAGACCCCATATGCATGATTGAATGCCAGAGGACCCACAACTGTCGGAAATGAATGCAATGTTGGAGATTTGAACACTAGGTATACGAAGAAGGTATTTGGCGGCAAGAAGTGGTCCAAACGTATTGTTTTGGAAGTGGTGATAGTAAGACTGAGAGGTTCTATTGGAAAGAAAGGATTGATCGTTAGTATTACATGCTCGTCAGCGCAATGCAGAAGTGAAAAACAAATCATAATTTTTTGTCCAAAGTGTATCTGCCAAGCCATGAGCTCGCTATACAATCTTGTAGAGAATATCAAACTGGTACTGTGAAGCAGACCCAGCGAAAGCCTTCTCGATCCCGCTTACTAACAAGTGGCGGCACCCAGAAGCTCCTAAATAAAAAACACTATTCATCACGGCGACGACTCACCCTTCAATCACTGTACCTCAATCCATGCCCCCATCATTAATAACTACAGTTTCGATAGTCTGTCCCATCAACTGAGGTATATTACAGAGATCCTTGATAGTCTGCTCATTCGTAAAATCACACTTTAATATCCGCAACTTCGACGGATCCTTAAGTGCCTTGGCGAGATTGCACAAGGCCTGTGGCGTTTCACAAGATCTATAAGTTGCGAAAACGATAATCTGAGGATGAGCCAAGACTTAAATGCCGTGTGAATTCGTATCCAATCCCTGGACTGGCACCTATGACTACATAGTACTGTGGAAAACTAATCATGTTGAATTTATACTGTAGAGACTATAAAATGCGTGGAAAGTGGGAGTTTGAGAATATTCTTAGCTGTAATGAAGAGGGTTGGATCATAACCAGAGCCATAATATCAAAATTATACAGAATCATCGTCGCACTTGCTTCATTCGACGTTAGCGATTGTGCCTGATAAATGTGGGATGTGAATATAATTTGAGATGCTGCTTTAATGCGCAAGCGAACATCCTGTATTGCTGATTTCAAGTATAAGAAATATGAATAGTGTACCTCAGAATGCTCAATTTCTGTGGAATGATTTTTTTGTTCTTTTACCTTGTCAATATGCGTTTCAAATTTATAGCTCCCTAGAGGTCACAAGTCATGAGACCAAGAATTCAATTTATATATCTTACATTCTGCCTCTACGGGTTTGTCGGTCCGAGCAAGATATTACTATAAAATTGCTGAATATAAGAATCCGTTTTTCTATCGCTTTTTCTGCATGCATTACATGAAATTGAGATTGAAAATTTTCTTTTTATCAATATGTATTTAAATAGTCAGTTTCAAGCAACTCTGCTCATAATTGCAGGAATTCAAAATGTGTATGCACAGCAAGCTGCATGGGGCCAGTGTAAGTAAGAGTTTTGAAAGGAGAGATCTCCTAAACATCGCTAATAAATTCCGAATGGTAGGTGGAGGAACAGGCTGGACCGGCGCAACGACTTGTGCATCGGGCTATGTGTGTACTTATTCTAAGTAAGATTATACCCACTCTTCACTTTTCATACCCGCTATAGAGTTTTCAATCAAACCATTTCGCTTCTTGGCATTCACTAACTATGCAATCAGTCCATGTAATCCATCACCTTCCCGCCTAAGGTATAGCTACTGACCACCGTATTGAAAAGACTATTCCCAATGCCTTCCCGGCAGCGCATCATCATCAACAACGATTGCGACAACGCCGGCTACAACCACTTCCGGCACACCAACTACCACGTTCTCCACAGCTACCACACCTTCCACAACGACTACACCTTCCAAAACCACTACCACCGGTGTAGCCTCATACCCAGGAGCGACTCTCCAAAGTGGCTACTATTGGATTCGTGCCGTTGAAACCCCAAACTTTCAGTCAGTATTCTCGCTCTTACAACTTAGAGATAGGCTTGAAAGCGTTGGTCCCAGAAATCATCTCAACTCAGGAGATGGATAGAGAAATCAAAAATACCATCTGTGGGCAAGTTCTAATTCATCATCAACTTGTAGTTCCTACCTCCAAGCCTCACCAACTGCCAAGCCCGGCGCTGCTCTCCTAGCCGATAGATCCACCGCCGGCCAGTACCAAATCGTATCTGGTCAGCTAGTTGAGTTAATCGCACCCAACACGTTCCTCTACGCAAATGTCCAACCGCCCTCGAATTCATCTGCTGTTAGATTATCCGTGACATTCAACACCACCCAAAATACGTTTGGTACGTTTGCATTCAGTGGAGATGCGGTAACATGGAGTGTAGCTAGCATTAGTAGGCCAAATTTAAGTGCGTGGTTGGTTTGTGGCGCTCAGGAGTTGTGGATCAATCTGGGAAATTATGCGTATTTGACGCCAACGGGATGTGTAGATGAGACGATTCATTATTTCAATGGAGCAACTGTTGATTAGGAGATTGATGACGCACAAGCAAGAAACTAGGAAGGAGATGTCTATGAAACCTAGGCTCTTATTGTGATTGTACATACCTTGATAGGATATTGTAAATACAGACACCAAATTGAAATCCAAAACATAAACTTTTGATATATAAGAAATTTTATACAGAGCTGGCAACTGCCTTCTTTGGTGCTCGTTTTAATAAGCAGTGACTTCCCCAGTTCCTGCGAAATCTCTCTGGAATAAATGGTAAATCTGGTAACCATATGGTTCGTGCCAGAATGTGAGTTCTAGATGCATCGAGGAATGGTTCACATTTTACGGACTCCCAGTTCTCGGAATCCATGATGTAGTGAGGCTCAAGCTCGGAGGCCACAGAGCCAGGATAGTAGGTATCAACCAGAAAGTTACAGGTCTTGAGGTCAACCTGATTGAAATGTTAGATTCTTTTACAAAGTATGAGAAAGAATATTTGCGAAGAGAATTCCTTACATATTTGCTCATGTCTTCGATGTTTCGGTCATTCATACCCGACGGGATGAGCCATGTTGACCAGATTCCGAATCCCGTACTAGCTTCGGAAAACTCACCGGGAAGGAGACCATCGAATTCGCTCTTTACAAATTTTGCTTTCATGCCGTTCGGCAAATGATAAGAGCTGGGAAATCTGTACCACTCTTTGGAAAAGCAGACGGAATCCCCTCGTGTCCCAAGGGTACCATTTTGGAGAGGACTATAGATTTTCAAAGGCGCCGAGTACGCTGTATAGATCCCATAAATTCTTGCTACGCCAATATCCACGGATCCGATAATGAAGAAGCTTACAAACAATAGCTTCAATTTGGCTGGAATCTTACCTACTAAGGTCCTGGGATCCGAATGGCCGAAAGCTGCCAAGAGGATGTGAAGTGACATGGCCGCATTAAGTGCAAGGCATGGGTAGGCTGGATACATAAATCGTTCTTCCTTATGTGGCTGGAAGCTGAATATTGCAAGCCAGATGTAAAATGGTGCCATAAAAACAACGCTACGAAGAGCTGTTGTGGTACCGCCTTCTCGCGACCCAAAAAGCTTCTGGAGTATGAAAAGCGGGAGAGCTAAAATTGCAAGCACAAACCAGATGTTGAAGTTGAGAATCAAATTGCGAATGTAAAAATGCCATGGCTCAGTACCATAGATCTCAGGACCTCTTCCCTCGCCACTGAAGATGTTATAAAGAACAATGTTCAGAGGAACAATCACTAATTTTCTATAGAAAAAGCCAGAAACGACAAATTCAAAGAACTTGTCACGATGTTAGCGATTGTAGGAAGGCGAACCTGGGGAAAGCTTACCAAAACAATCAATCCTCCAACAATCCCCCTAACGAATCGCATTACGGTATCGACGACGGCATCTCTATCGCTTAAGCTAGCGAAAATTACCTCCTCGATTAAGAAAGGGGCAGACAAAGCCATAGAGAATGGCCAGCCGAGAATTCCACCGACAGCGAACCAAAAGATACCCTGCGCAGTCTTCAAGCCCCCTCTCCAGTTCATGAAAGCGGCCATTCCAAGCATAGTTGTGTACATAGCGAAGCTCGATGGTAAAAAGGAGGCCGAGGCATGAAAGAATCCAGGGCTGAAGATATTGGCCATCATGAAGAACATGGCGACTCGTGGGTTCAAGGTTCCGTTGATGACTCGAAACATTTGCGTCTGACACAGAGCGCATATGAATGCGAGACAATATCGAATGAAATAGAATTCGCCAACCTGTACCTCGATTAGAATATTACCCGTCTATAACTATTTGATTTGTCTTTACCTTCGTGGGGAATGGGAGTAGCCTTCTGAAATTCCCCATCAGGGCATGGACAGTAACATAGAGCCAACTCCGAATCGCAAATTCCGGAGAATATTCCCAAGTTTGTAATCCATAGCTATGACTGAGATAATGTGTAGGTTCCCAGTAATTAAAGGTCTCGTCACAATCCTGTATAGGAGCATACAAAGCTGCCAATATATTTGCTCCTAGAAAGACATAGAACGCGCTGATCGGTTGAACTGCGAAAGGAGTGGCAGGTCTATTGAAGCTTGGTTAGAATATCCTATACACAACTTTTCTGAAATACTGACTTTTTCTTTTTTGGATGTGAAGCTGTAGACGCATCTACTCCTTTAGGTGAGCCCAGATTTATTGGCTGCGGAGGGGCCATTGTTGCAATTGACTTGCTTTTTTGATCGATTTCCCAAATTCAAATCAATGCACGCAGACTTTAACGATGACATCGTGTTCTAGTGCACTTTAGCTCGAGCCGGCGTGGGTAGGTATTTACATAAAGCTTACATAAAATCGAGAGCTTGAATTGTGCATACTGATAAGAATCCATAAAAGCTTATCGCCATACGCTAAGATTACGAAGATTAGATGACCCCGGTCAATTTGGACCTTTAGCGTCGGGGAATATTTGGAAATTTTGAAGTTCAAAAACTTTCTGGTCAATAATTCGTAAAACATTGAAGTATTGCATTGCATCAAATTTTTGTTAGATTTTCTTTGGAATACCCATATTCATATTGTACTCTTATAATATTCTATTGGCACTGGTATCACGTATTTAAATTCGAGTCAATTGATAAAGTCTACCACGGAAATCACTCGGGCGCAATATACCGTCACCAAGTCCTTTCACAGATTGTTTTCGATTTCAACTGGAAGCATGAGTAATTCTGACTCCATTCCGTCAATTCCTCCGCAAGAGGAGAAGTTCCATCTCAAAGGGGAGAGTGAAGAATCTGCCTCATCTCCATCCACTCTCTCCAATATACCTGGGCTGGGACGACTTGGAAATGCGCCAAAGTCTGAGAATCCAACTCCAACAGCGGAGACCGACCTCGCAGAGATTCACTTAAAAGCATCGGTCACATCACAAGATAAATTGCCGGAGAGCAGTCATGATCAACCCCTGGAAGATTTCAAGATGGCGGATGCTGAACCTCTACTTCAAGAATCTGCGACTTCTGTGACCACTGATGCGACTTCAGAAAACCTTCCAGAAATCAAGAGTGAAATTTCACAGAAGACGGGGGTTATCATCGAGCAAAAAGAAGGTCAAAATAGTTTGGAGATTGAACAAGCGCCTCTAGAACAAGCCAAAATGAACACGCAAGACGCCAACAACGACGCGATGGACATTGCGCCGTCACAACCTACCGCAGACCTTCATGTTGAACAAGGGAAAGAGATGCCGCTGAAAGATTCATTAGGACAATCTAGCACTATTGATATTCAAGTACCGGAGACCCATGCCAATCAACCAGATTTGACCCATGCTTTGGAGGCGATGCTAGGAGGCCTGCTACAACCTGCGACTGTGACTGCAGATGTTGCAACGAACAATGCATCCGCAGCACTAGCGACAGAAGAGGAACACCCAGAATGGGAGGTTGACTCATCTCCATATGAGTCTTCGTCCGATTCCTCAAGTGATAGTTCATCCGAGGATGATAGCGAGGAGGAGGATGGAGAAAATGCCTACAAATTATTAAGTCCCGAAGAACAAGCAAGAATCTTAATGACGGAGAATGATGGGGGTTCAGATGATGAGGGAGTGGCACGTGGGGAAAAGCGCACCGGAGGCCACCTACGTACGAAGAACGAAGTTCCGGAAGAGGTGATACCCAAACCAGATGTCACGATAACGCCTGAGATGCCTATCACAAAATTGGGAGATGTGGAAGGAGTGGTGGACAATATCATTCTCATCAAAGCTTTCACAAGTGGAGAATATCAAGTACTGAGAGAAGAATCTGTGCTATGTTTACAGGATCGCAGCGTTATAGGTGTAGTGTCGGAAACGTTGGGCAGAGTGGAACAACCATTGTATTGTGTAAGATTCACGAATGCAGCTGCAATTGCCGAAGCAGGACTGTCTGTTGGAACTACGGTGTATTATTCTGAACAGCATTCAACGTACGTCTTTACACAAGCTTTGAAAGCATACAAAGGTACAGATGCTTCAAACTTGTTTGACGAAGAAGTTGGCGACGAGGAAATGGAATTCTCTGACGATGAAAAAGAGGCTGAGCATAAGCGAATGATAAGGCAAAAGAGGGCAGAGAAAAGAGGTATTAAGACTCAGCAGAATGGCAGTAATACACGTGGTGGGCATGCTTCGCAAAATACATATACCCCTGTTAACAACAACGCCGTGTTGAACTACGACGAAGCCGAGGATGGCCCTTACAAAACCCTTACTAGACCAGTTGGATTTACTGGGGGGGCAAGTGGTAGTGAAGCTCCTCAAGAGGGTTCGCATTACAACAGATCAAGTCAACGTGGCGATCATGGAGGTAGGGGCAGAGGAAGAGGTCGTGGAGACAGAGGCAGAGGAGATTGGGGAAGAGGCCGAGGAAGAGGGGGCGGACGTAATGATCGAAACACCAGTTCTCATGATAATTCATTGCAAGCAAGCCATGCATTGCCCCCTTCTATTCCAAGTCCGGGGGCATTCAACTCTCAATCAGCTTCATTACCCCCAAAGCCTAACTTTCCACCTCCGCCACCTTCGAATATTTACAGCAATCAAAATCAGCCACAGCAATATCAACCCCAGCCATCACCACAATACCCATCTCAACAACCTCCAGTATGGCCAATGTACCCGCAAGGTTATCAACAACCGTATCAGCAACCATACCAACAGCCTCAACAACCCCAACAACCTTTTGCTCAAGCACCGAACCCTTGGGCGGGTATGCCTCCTCCTCCTCCCTTGCCAGCAGGTGCATTCATAAATCCGGCATTCTTCGCTCAGCAGAATGGGGCAAACCAAAACGGAGCAAATCAATGGACTCATCCTGGCCAGCAAAATGGGAACGGAGGTGGTAGATAATTCATGAGGGGACTATGTATGATCATTGTAGCAAAGAATAAAATCATGACCAATAAACTTTTGGTCTTTCTCGACCTTGAACAAAACTCACATTGATGATACTTCAATTGACGACGCTCGTGGTTACAAAACTGGGTGTTCTCTCTCCTTCATTTCCAGATTCATTGGTTGAATGGTACGTAGCAAATGATTTTAGCAGGTTTGCATTGTTCTAATACCTCCAATACGACCAAGTGGTTCTGTACTGCGGGTATCATAAAGATTGTACCTAAATTCCCCCCCAGTTCGTGATCAAAGTCGTATCATTTCAATCAATTATCATCAAGTGATTCAAGATCAAAAATATTTTCTATGCCTGATGAGGTGTTCATACGCCGTCGTGATGTTTGACAGTGATAACCCATACCCGAAACGGAAAAAAAGTCCCTGGCGATAAGAACGAATTTGGCGGGGTTCTGCCGCGCGATAGATCTTATCATTCATCCCAATTCATGATACATACATAAATATATGATTGTATTGAAAGATCAATATGTTTGATTCCGAGTCAGTTCAAAAATTCACATCTAGATTCCCTTCGCTTTCATTTTCAAGACTGAATTATCGCGAAAATGGGTGAGACGAATTGGGATGGCTTCAAGCTATGGACCAAATCTACCTGCGAGCGACTCAGCACCTCAGAAGCCGCTCGAGTTGTCAACGACAAGTCTAAGATTTTGTTTTATGGTGCGGGATTAGTCTGCCTTGCAGTATGGTTATTGATACGAGCTGCAACGATGTTCAAGAAACCGAGATATGCCAGGCCGAGAACACCTGATCTGGAGAAGCCGACTTTCAAGAACGGTAAAGCACAGAGACCTTTAGGAGGTTAGTATGATGAAGTGGTTGATGAATAGCAGCTGATTTTTTGATAGTGTGGGAGCCTATGCAGTTCAAACGCCCAACAGCAGTTCCTTTTCCTGATTGGGATGTGCAGCAAACGAAGCCAAATCCATACCGTCCATTTCGCTATGGAGCATATCACATTACTATGGGTTTACGCAACATGGACTGGAATGAATGGATAGGTACATAAATCATACCTCAAATGATAGGCTGACTGGCTAATGTTTCAAAGAATTGGATAACCAATATATGAAATTCCATGACGACAAAGCTAAACGTATTATTGAACGTGGCGCTAGATCTTGCTATACCGATCCCTCAGCGTTTGATGGTGCTGTTGAGCTGCTTGAAGAGCTTTGCGCGTATCTTCCAGAACGTTACCCCACACTTTACAAACGCACTCCAGTTGGCATGGACAATCTTCTCACTAACGAATCATTCAATATTGTTGAAAGGCCACTTGCAGAGGATCCAATGCAGATGGCAGCCCGCTTCACGCAAGATGATTTGGCAATCATGTTTGAGAAGGAAGATGGACAGTACTATCTTCTTGCTGGCGCGATTTTACTCGCCGGATTTTGGCGTTTGGAGGATAAATTAGGCATGCCGTTGAGCGAAATACACACTTCTGGTGACGTTCCAGGGTACCAAGCGAAGTTAGAGAAGGGAATGATGAACTTTTTCCGCAGAGTTCAGCCCAATGGACCCGTGCAGCGTGTAAGCCTCTACTTGCGCGATTGTGCCTGCCCACATGTACTAACCGGTGTTTCAGAACAACTATTTCATTCAAGTAGATGATCAACTTGCATGGTCATCAAGCATTGGTCCGGAAACTGGAGCGCCCGGTACTGTAAGTTGGGACACTGCGGAGAAAAATAAAGCCGTTGAGCATCATTGGTTTCGTTCCGAACGGCAGTCATTAAGGAGACTACCGAGATCTGGCGGTGTGGTGTTTACTATCAGAACATACTTCCATCCAATTACGGAGATATGCGAAGAGCCGTATGTACCGGGCAGATTGGCAAGTGCTGTGAGGAGCTGGGGTGAAGATGTTAGTAAGTACAAGGGAAAGGAGAAGTATGGTGAGGTACTATTGGAGTATTTGGATAAGAAACATAAGGAGCAAGTCGAAGCGGGCCTTGATTTGGAGAAAGAGGAAGAAGTCAGAGCGTATCCTTATTAACGTACGTTTTTGGACACTAGATGCTTGAAATTATGCACGGTTTTGGAGGCTGCGTGTTGAGCCTTGCTTTCTCATTCTGTTGAGTCAGAGTCAGCCTAGTAGCGTTTGATATAATATTACGATTTTACGAATTTCACAAGAGAAAAGTTGTCACTACACCCGAAAACATGGCTGCTAGTACAAACGAATATACTTCACCACTGGATCATGCATATCTCACATATTCTCGCGCATATTCTTTTGCGACCTTCTTGTATGTCGAAACATGCAAGTAAAATTTGTCTCGGAAAGTAACGCACCGCTCATTGCTCAAGGCTGCACTGGTCATCAGTATCAACATCATGTGAATGTAGTAGAATGAGTCGGCAGAGAATTTGATATTCTGATATAGACTTTCCAACATTCTTCAAATATTCTTCTGTCTTTACTTCTTCACGCTGGTCGTGATTTCTCTTCTTATTTTGGTGCTGGTCGCCCTTTTCAACACTACATTTCGATGCCAACGTTGGTATAATTACATAGTTTTCGTTTTATCTTCCTTTCTCGTCATTATCTCGCATATTCTTTTTACACTGCTACCGGTCACATATCAAATTTGGGCTTCAATTGCATCGAGACCATCGCTATATGGTTCAACCTTACCACCCGAACTCCTTTCAAGATATAAGGAATGGTGCTTATCCCAGGTCTCTTCTAGTTTTACAGTCCGTGGTAAGGTGTCCTGTGTTTCTGGCATGTTCAATATCACGGCTCGTTGCGAAAGTCTTAAGATATAGTTGTTACAGCCTCTGCGAACTGTCAAGCCGCGCAATACGCCTAGCAGACCCAACTTCAACGCCGGCGCCATCAATCCCAACTTCAACACCGGCGCCATTAATTCCAACATCCGCTACAGCTCTTGCTGGAGAAATTTTAACGCCCTTGATATTTTCACACAAGAAGTGACATTGATGTAAGTCACTAGTCACATGTGTGTTTTGGGACTTGTCACTAACATTGACGCAGTTGGGGCGAAGAAAGAAAGGCGAGCAGCTCAAAGATGCATACTCTAGTGGGTTAAGTCATCAAGCTGGCGGAAGTTGATTGTTGATCTTCTCGAGTTGAATACGGTAGACTAAAAGCAACCTAAACCATGTTATATACTCCAGAAATCTTTAAACCTTCGACTGGTACCCCGCACATCTCCACACCATTCGTCAAAAGTTACTCTGCCCCATCAAACACAATTCTAAGTGCTATCTCGGTAACAGCGATCAAAGAAATGAACCAACCAAACGCTTTTCGGTCACACTTGCAGAGTCACAAGTCAAAAATAATATGTTCGGGATTGACTACAAATATTCTGTTTTCTATCTGAATGGACGGCGCGTTCTAAACAGACCACCGACTTCCTCCATGAGCTTATTAGTCACTACCTAGTCGCTACTACCCTCTCAACTTGACTATGTCTTCTAAATCTTATCAAAATGGTCAAGAAGTTTAAATCCCTGTGGAATTTATTCGCCAGCACAGAGGTCCAATCTTATACTAAGCGCCGACACGGTACAGAAAGGAGCAAAAGCAATGTTAAAAATCATGACCTGGTGGACATTCGAAATGAAAGAGTCTCAGCCCTTGATACCTGCTATTAAACAGGGTGTCGGTGGCTCAATGCGCAAAATCAAAGCATCCTAGAGGAAAGCAATGAGAGAAAAATGGGAAGAGAATGCCAAACATCGCTCAAATGCGTTCCAGAAGCAGCAGCCATGTCATCTGGATGGGCATTACCAACATACAACTGGCTGAGTCTTCCTGGAACGAAAACGAACGCCAAAAAGACCACGACAACGTTTGAAAAAATCCTAGGAGTGAAGTGTCATCCACTGTCACGTATCAATCAGGAACCACGAAGATTACAATACACTTTGCTGGCCTTGCTTGTCGACGGACATCCAGATTTCGAAGACCCTGACTAATCCAACTGAATTGTGGCGACACGCTTTAGATAGATGATAGGCAGGCCATCAATTGGTTCCAGACTAAGTTGCGACTTTATGCTGCGACCACTGGATTCAAGTTCTTCTCTTCAATGAATATCTACAGGGAGTCCTTAAATATCCAAATAATGGTAATACACATCTACAGATGGAGATGCCATTCATCTGCATAGGACAGTGGGTATCAAAGAAAATTATTCTTGATGTGCAAAACCATGGGTGTGGTCCTCAGTCTTCATCTTTCGCAGTATTGTCGCGAGAGTTTGTCGACTGATCATGCCACACCAGAGGAAAACAAACCAAACAATAGGTACTGTAATAGTTCCGCAGAATGTGGTCATCGACCAACCGATTCACGAGATCATGCAGAAATTGATTAACGAGGTCGCTAGAGAGCTCTACCATTCTGATACTCGGGCCAGCTTTCTCGGTCCCGTACAACGCCAGGAGATGTCAGAAAACAGGTTCCAAGAGCCTACATGCTTGTTGCTGCACTGGATTAACTGATTCTATTCGCAAATTCATGCAGGCAAACACTCTTCAGTTCCAGAAATTAGAAGAATGCCAGGACTGAAAGTTTGAATGTCGTTCCTGCTCTTCACGGAGGCTAGTGTATCATTGAAACAGGGCTTGAACACCGTCTATGCCGTTTTATCTAAGCTATCGATGCAATTTACACTAGAAACAGAGGTTTCAGGTGACATATCTCGGGAGATATCTCGCATCTGGGAGTACGACACCAGCGGATCTTCAACCAAGCAGAAGACCTGTGGTATTTGTGGCTGGTGGTAGCGTTGGTGCCAGGTGTGGAGGCATGCCAGGCTGTGAGCGAATGAATGTTAAATGTGATATATTCGAGAGTGAGAGGGGCATCTGGTCTGAAATGTTCACTTGAAGATGATGAATCGGTAGAGAAGGAATGGCATGGTTTCAATCGCCACTTTTTGGGTGAGAAGATAGTTGCCCGGTATGGGAAAATAGGTTGATTGCTTTGGAATTCCCAGCAACAGACTGACCTTCCACCCGAAATATAGCATCACATTGGTTAGTATCTACACGGAACATCATGCGGGGAACACGTGTTGCGCAGGCTATGTTGGAGTATAATAGGTCGATTGATGCAGGAATACCAGCCGGCATAATCCGCCATGTCCTCCTCATCCCCGAGGGCGTGGAAATAGAGAGAACAAGAATATCGCAACAATGCGAATCATCATCTCGCCGCAAGTTATCAATTCATGGATTTGCTGCGTGTTCATTATACGATCAATAGGTTTCTCAGTGAGAATTTTGCGTTCACACAATGACATTAACGTATAGAGATGTCTGGCTGGCAGAGTTTCCAAGTGATTGATAATCTCAGATTACCAAGGCTAGTAATCATTGCAAAGATTCCCGTCATCTCATTTATGAAACGGGTTCAACGGTGGTTATAGGTACGAGGTGCTCATTCGATATCTCCAACAATATCTCCAGTGATGGATTGTGTGTGTTAAATGTACCAGAATTATCACATGGGAAAGAGAGTAAAGGCGATTTCGCTTGTCGGGTGATCTGAGAGCAGGGATATGCCGAAAGAATGAGAATACATTCGAGCTGTCCAACAAGCGACGAACAACACTGGATATCTCGCCGTTCGGTCCTAAGAGCAGAATTGCAGCAAAGAAATGTCAAAGATTACCCTGCACATGCAAATTCGAAGAAAAAGAATTGGAAACGAATCATGTGCGATTATATGACTGTTTTACAACCCACCAGCCCGTCATACGAGCCTGGCTCTCTTACTGAGTCGACTATCCTATGAGGCTATCAGTCCGAGGAGTTTCTGGTTTGATCTTGGAAAGGATGATGGCTATAATCTTCGGTTGGCCATCTATCTAATCCCACTCGATATAGATAGAGACATTTGTCTCCAGTCATAAATTGACAGGTGATGCCTGTGGTTTGGAGCGGTATTTTGAAGATGAAAGAAACTCAATAATGAGTAAATCGGGGTGATGTGATGAAGCATGGAATTGCCTCAATCCACGGTTCTTTCCGCAAACTCGTCGTCTCGAAAGTACCTGATCAGACATTGAGATGACCGATGTATGGTCGATAATCATAACTATTTCAAACCGGAACATCCAGACCGATAGCCTACCCGGCACCCCATCCAGCAGCAGAGTAAAGACTTATGAACCGGACGATCAACGGTTCGGCGAGGCCATGGATCATCCTCGATTTACAATAACTAAACTAATAATCTCGGCTTCTGAATGAAAGAAAGCCGGATGCGACAAGCAGAAGCGTCTATAAAGATCCAACTCGAATCTTTCGCCATCCTTTTATCAGGCCAAGGTCTTGGAGAGCTAGTGCCGCTTAAAGCCTAGCAACATGTTTCTCGATAGGTTCGAGAGTTTCATCGCGCAGAATTATTGCAATCATCCAACATTCACTCAAAATGACGACATCTCGTTTGGGAGAAAGTGACTCGGGAACGTTCGATTGCGCTACCACCTCGGCAATGCAACATACAGGTTGCATAGTCTCAGCTTTTGATCCCTTAACAAATATCACAGCAGTATGAACCATAGTACTATATTGACTTCACCATCCTCATCGTGATAACAATACTACACCTAGCTAGAACAATCATGGATATAGGTGGAAGGTAGTGAGAAATGGATTCGTTGGAGGAAGACAAAGCACTGACGATTGCTTAAATCTGACCCCGAAAACCAAGACAAATCAACCCAATTTCTCACCCAAGATTGATACTAGACTGAAACTAGCACCCTCGATCAATCCGATGCGAAAAGTCTCACAGCAGATATAAGTGGCTCAAGCGACTCAGTAGCATCCATTGTGATGAATGGATGGCAGTGCGACTCATCTGGTTCATGAGCATAAAAGCCGACAATGAGTACTTGTGAGAAGACTGTTACCACAATTCTATGGAACAGATGCAGGGAAGGCAAAGATGTTGGAGCAATAGCTCACAAGATGTCAATATCCACTATGACGGACCGAGCAACTGCATCGTCTATCGATTCAAAGAACCAGGAGTTAATGTTCTCTCCGCGGCTTGGAAATATCCAGCTTGAAGATAGATCGGTGGAAAGCTATTAGGGTATCATACTGGGAAGCGAACTGCGCCAGCTATGAGAAGATCGAGAGACTCTTAAGTCCACGGCAAATGCTGGAACGAAAGTCAAGAAAATTCGGATCGAAGACCGAGACCCGGTTGGGAATGTAGCAGATGCTGAGCTACGAGCCCACGAGAAACCCAGTTATCCATGTGGATGGGAATGAAGTCAATGATGCTCACAAACTTGCATTGTCATTTATAAACGATGTTTAGAGGCATGTAAAGCATGAACAAAATATGTTCGACCCGAGCAATGATTGTTCGGGACAAGGTTAGGGGAAAGGATTCATTCGAATGAACCAGTCACTTTGTTTCGCCCGATACCTCCACAAGCATGAACGCACATGCTGGGTAGCTAGAGGTATCTTTCGAACTATCTTTCGAACTATCTTTCGAACTATCTTTCGAACTATCTTTCGAACTATCTTTCGAACTATCATCCACGAGCAAGCACACCATCAGAAAGCATCTCTAATTATCGGTCTCTATCTTCATCTTGTGCTGCATCCGGTGAATACCCCTCTCGCCGACGCAGAAATCGGATTCTGAAGTCAATAGCTTCTGAAACAATTTCGAAAATAAGATGAACTCATTCCCATACCATCCCACATTCCGCAAACTTTCTCAAATCATTGACAAACATCGTCTGAAGGATTCTGAAATTGAATAGTTCATTGTATGCTTTCAAAAGTTTAGAAATCTCGGAGAGTCGAGATATACCTACGTATCTGAGTATGTTTCAACAGATCTTTTCGAGTTCGAAAATACCAAGCACTTGATCATGTAAAAGAGACAAAATTAGCAATCAACACAATTTTCAAGAAGTGGTAATACAAATAAATGAAACTATTAATTCCCATGTAAATAATAATCCCAAATCTAGAATCTCTCGCTAAGGGGACATGCTCCCCAAGTCAAGTCTATAAGAACGCCGTGCCTTCTATTTTTATCCCTTTACCCAATGCCCATTGCGCCGGTGGCCCGCTGACCCAAAAATCTGGTATAATGTCTATACCATGCCCATATATGTCAATAAAATACACCGCGAATAAATAACAACACATTCTGATCAAGCCTCGGCCTTCTGCTCCTGGGCCTCTTTGGTGGACTCCTTTCTAATTGCGATATCCTTTGATAATTTCGACGTAGGAGCCTTGACAACTTCTTTCTGTGTATTTTCGATACCTCCGGCCATCTCACCCTCTACTCGTCTGTTCAAAAAACTTAAATAAGTTTGCCATCCAATCGCAATTACCCCAGCGAATATGCTTCTATGTTCTTGTGGAATCCATGCGAAACTGATTGCTGTGACCGCGGGCCATAGTTTAATACTGTTCATCATACTGGTTGGAACAGTCCTCTTCACACGCTCGACGACATCCGGTAAACTGTCTCCAGACAAAAGTGATTGCATGCCGAAGAAATACGTATTAAATATAGGAGTAAAGAACATTTGATTGACACCGACTTTCGTAGCGAGGGAAATGGCTTTCGAGGAGTAGTTAAAGTTGTTGGAGAGAAACATAAACCTTTGAATAGTTAGATACTTTCCTCACGCCTTCTCCATTGCAGAGGGATTGAACAAGGAGACAAACCATTTGTAAGACGGAATACTGCTTCCCATGCTGATAAACAATGCCCTCAACGTACGCTTCCAATCATAATCATCTCCGCAGATGCTTTGCGCCGACAGGTCCCCAAGGAAATATATTACCAACGAACTGCAGAATTGTGTAGTATAAGGACGCTTCCGTTGCGATCGACCGTATGCCTGAAATGATCGAGTCAAAGGACCAAGTCGTTGCCATATTGGCACATTCGCGATAGTCGCAGGAATAGGAATCGCAGTGCCATTCGGAGAGCTCTCTGGGGAGGGATTCGAATGAGGTACAGGGGTAGAGTTGTTGGAGTTGTGTCTCTTCGAAGTGAAGTTTATTTGTTTCCGATGACTTGGAAAATATGGACGTCGCAGCACAGCGCGACCAGTTGTTTGAATAGCAAAGAGTGTCATGATTAATATTAGTTTTTATCGCGTTAACATGTTTCGAATAAAATATGTTGTGCAAAGCAAGATTTTGGAGATTAGATGAATTGTTTTGTATCGTGAACGTCGGGAAATGACAACGGTAATAAAACGGAAACGGGTAAGGCTAGATTTTTTGTGCACGCGACGAATCATATCAATGAATGTTGCAGATCTCAGAGCACGCAATGACCAGGGGTCATTTCTATTTTAGGAAATGATCATTCTTGGCATTTTAAGGGAGACGAGACGAGACGACATCCATTTGATTTGATAAAGCAAGCAATTCACAATTTCACCTATAAACTCCATACAAATTCGTTTAGAAAGGGTCTTTGATAACTTAAGCGACTCTCTTTTAATCCGGTTTTGCTTCGTTAGATAAGACTTGAAATAGTCAAGTATTCGAAACAGTATAATGTGGTTATGTCCTCCTGATAAGGTCAGCTGGAAAGATTTTCGCTCATGATGATGGAATGATTCCTCAGTGTAAGCTCAATGCTCTAGCCAATGGCACTACTGGGCCTTGGCCACTTAGCACATGCCGATCTTGATGCAAGTCATTGGTCTCACAGAAGAATACATGTCTGTATTTCATGTCAAGCTGAATGGTCATTCTTTTCGATTGGCGAAAGACTGAACAAAATGCTACGCAGCTTTGGATTGTTCTTCATGTGAGTGATCTTGTGTATCCATTTTGGGTCTATACAGATTCTGGTAATGACGTATCCAACTATTCATTTATTGAGATATCTCCACAGATAGTGAACTAGGATATAAAGATAACATACTCCATGCTCATACTTCTCTAGACTCCAACCGAGATCGCTTACTACATAACGCTACTAGATGTAAGCGATTTATTAACGACTGTGCTCTTTATGGGGAGAATTCGTTCTACGATAGACGAACCCCGCAAATTAGTCTCAAAATTCTGAAAAGACTTTAAGCTATTTGTTTGAACAAACCCTAAGCCGGTTAGTCGTCGCATGTATTAATGTTCTTCATCATAAACTACTCTCAATCCTTCTTAGATCATGAAAGAAAAACTATCTGAATTATTAAAGTCCATCTGTTATCAAGCAATTTCTTCTTGCAGGTGAATTCGTCAGTCATGGAATCATTTCCTAAAAAAAAAAAAAAAAAAAAAAAAAAAGTGGCCGTGACACATACAAATGGAATAAGCATGTAGATTGGGGAAATCCTGATGGTTTGGTATTAACTAGGAAGGATTTCTTCAGTAATCTACGGGTTAAATCTTCTCCCCACAAAATTTGACGGTTAAAATGCATGATTGGAATTTGGAAAAATGTCGAAAGAAAATGTGCACACGGAGAAAGGAATTTACAGCCTGAAAAAATAATATTCAGTTAGCAAGATCACCCGTCGATATATGAATGTAAATGTACACATAACAATAATAAGAAAAGCTTCAAGTTAGATTATCGTTGTCGTATTGTTGCAATTGAAGGAAGGACTAATGCTATTGAGATGAGTCTTTGGGGTGACGAAGTTTGTCGAGTGAATGAGTAGTTATTGTATAAATCTATTGAGGGGAGGAATGGATCTTGCAAAGCTTATCATACTCAGGTTCATTTCTGGGTTCACTTGCATGTGAGGAGTCCCATGAATATGAACACAGATATCAATTAAGTCCATTTTAAATACCAGGATTACGAATTTGAATGTTGGGCGATAGACGTTTTGGTTCTATCATTTGAAGAGCTGAAAGCTCATTAATACACACTGTAATGCTAGAGATTGAGCTGAAGTAAGCGATATTCATACATCTGGAAAATATTTTACAGGTTCAGAAGAGATAAGACGTGAGAAATTTCGAGGAGGTGAAGAATCAACTAGTGGGATCACTCGCTCTTGCAAAAGGCTAACTTCATTTCAATCATTAAAAGAGGTTTCGCGAAGACTATTGGTCAATCGTTAACGAGACTAAGGGGGGATTTCCAGATCACCAAGCTAGCACTAGCGCATGCCAAAGTCTATAAGTATCTCCATTCCCCCCCCCTTTCAAAATTTTCTCAAGGTCCAAGGATAGAGGAGGAGAAGGAGATGGGAATGAAGATGAAGGACGACAATACCAACGATCGATCGGATATCTAGGTTGCAGGGCACAGCAGGTAGTCGTATCTGTGCAGGTCAAATGCAACTTGGTGGAGGGCGATACTACGAGCGACGAATGACGAACGACCGAAGAATAACGAACGATCGAAGAATAACGAACGACCGAAGAACGAGCGAACGATCGAGCATCTAGGTTGCAAGGCAGCAGGTAGTCGTACTTGTGCAGGTCAAATGCAATTTGGTGTAGGACGATACGAAGAATAGCGAGCGAACGAACGAACGAACGAACGGGCAAACGAACGAACGAAAGAACGAACAAACGAACGAGAAAACGAGCGAACAATCGAACGAACCGGATGTGGGGATCGTAGGCTATCGCCAGGGGGTTGACCTCCCCCGGCAAGTTTTATGAATGCCGAGCGTTTTAATTAACATCGGATGATGAAACTTGGAACCCCTCAGTATTACACTGTCTCTGAGGTGGGTCTCATTGTACTCCTGGGCTTGACCTGGGATATGAAGAGGCTATATTTAAACTTCTTGATCTAAAAAAAATTGTCTCGAGTTGTGATTTTGGTGATGCGATGTGTCTAAAGTGTGATTCGTTTCAATTCGAATAATTTCTAATCGCTTAGATCTCGCCTAGAAGATGATCATCATGTACTAGATATATCTAGGTATCAATAGTACAAACTTAAAATCGACCACTGAATTTGTCCTATCGCTTCTTATTCTCTCTTTAATGTTAAGCCATGTCATTTCACTAATCATTGACGTTGGAATTTTTAGTACCAGCTCTGCATCTCCACTAAACACTTGATCATTTTGACTTTCCAGTGAATCGATGGAATCGAAAATTCATAGATTCGAGATTTAGATCAGTCATGAAACTCTTCACAACGCAATTCTTGATGTGGAAACCCATAAAAGAAGGCCATCAGTTCTCTTCGCGCAATGATACTTTATGTGATCATTAATACATAATATTACTTGTTTAGTGATGGAGAGAAGAAGATATTTTTCCCGAATCACATCTGTCTTTTCATCTGGTCCCGAAAAGTCAATTTCCAAGTCTATCGCCACTTGCGTGTTCCGATTACCATGAGTATAACGCCGCTTTCTCCGCGATTTCCAATAGCTGTTCTTATCGAGAATGCTGTCTGCCAAGTATTAGCTCAAACTAAAAAAGCTTGTATGGGTGACGTGGATCGGCAATGCCACGCTAAATTAGGGATTCTCGCGTAAATCTTGTGGACTAGATTGGAACATCAGATTTGGGAAAGCGTAATCGAAAGAGCCTGTTGAATTATTTCATTAGTTCTGTCTGGGAATCAGGGTTTCTTTACTGAATGCTTCTCTGATATCTGTTCATGCTCTAAAATCAGCGATTGGACCAACAATAATGTTGGGGGTGAGGGGAAAAACTACAAACTAAGTTATCAAAACTGGCATCCCTCACTAACAGTTGGGTGACTTCTTTTAAACTTTCAAGACGGATCTCATCTTCCCTATTCGGATGAGGACACAAAGTTAGTTATTGGATAGAAAACCACACAGCGTCCGGAAAGCAAAGAACGACCTGTCCGTTTGCCCCGCGTCTTGAAAATACAATTGAACTGGGGCGCATAACATTGGTTACATCTTTCGTTGAAAGTCGACAGTCCAGATGCAATCTCCACTGAGATGAAGGCACTAGTCCAGATGCTTTTAGTGCACCACTGAAGCGATAAGTTCACCTGGAGATTCCATCATTTCCACGAACTGAAGTGGCAATAACTTCACACTACTATACTTGTATAATTAAAATCGGGCGCCTGCTTCTTCTTCGCAATCAATGAAGTTGGTCAGCTCAGGATAAAATGCCGATTTTTCAAGATCGGAGCTCTAGCTTAATTCTGTAATACACTGAAGTTCTTACATCCCACGCCATCGCAAGTTCGTCAAAGTTCTTCCGAGTCATGGAGTAACTTTTGTTTGTCATGTATCCATCTTTTTCCCAATTGCTCTTCTTAAACTGGAACTTTACGAAGATTTGTAAACAAGGATAATTATAAGGGCAGAGACTCTTGAAATATTTATCCAATATCGGGAGCATAGCTGAAGCAACAAAAAGGATGAAAGAGACAACTATAGCAGCAGACAGAGAAGTACGATGAGAGAGACTTTAATTCACGGAAGCTGTTTTAAAGTACTCCGGCGATTGCAATGTCTATCATTCTCATGAAATATGATCTTCAAGAATTCCAAAATAGGATCAGGGTGAAGATGCCACCTTTATTCTACACAGAGGTACGGCAAGATCTGTACTAGATTCACTAGACATAGTACCTCAAGATTCGAGGAACGGAGGGAGATTCTCAGAACACTAATGGGTAGAAAATACACAACGGATATAGTGATATGTAGTATGATATTTGACAAAATAGCCGGAGATGGAAGCCGTATGCGTCGGTAAGGTTAATGATTTTTATTGGCATAGAATTCAGGCTTGGAGTGAGCACGGGTACGACACAGGGGTGTGTGAACGCCTAAGCTCGTTTTAGCGCTGCTTACACAATTGATTTCACATCATTACCAATCTATCTCCACCCCGCATTGCGTTCCCAGTAATCAGATCGGGTCATTCACCAGATCCAAAAAAGACCCTGAACACATTATATATAATTTTTGCTGTATACCCTTTTGCTACCTACTAACATCTGCTGAGTCTAACTTTAAGAATTCTGTTGATCTGCTACTTTCTGGGTATTTCTTTCTGCACCTTATGCGCGTTCTTTATCGAGCTACAACTCTACTAAAAGTCTGCCACCAATATAGCAACATATTTCAACCTACCTGTCCAGCTTCAATCTCTTCAACCTCAAGTATGTCGACTTCAAGCTCCACTCTTGCACCGGTGATATCCGTTTGCCATGGTGGTGGTCCTATGCCCGTTATGAACGACCCTGGCCATGCCGAACTCATAAAGTCCATGAGCACTCGCGTTCCAGAAATACTTGGCATTTCACCCAACTCCTCTACTTCGAATCCTCCAAAGGCTATTGTATTAGTTACTGCGCATTGGACCGAGACACGTCCTCATATAAGCAGCGCTCAGCATCATGATTTATATTATGATTACTCTGGATTTCCATCGGAAACATATAAATTAAAGTACCCTGCACCCGGAAGTCCAGAAGTAGCGAAGGGGGTTTTTGAGCTATTGGATGGGGCAGGACTAAAACCAGTATTGGATGAGAAAAGAGGTTTGATTACTGAATGCCATCATTTTGATTCATGTTACTGACCACCAATCTCCAAAAAGGCTGGGACCACGGCGTATTCATTCCCCTCCTCCTGATTGCTCCCAAAGCGCAGATCCCCATCGTGCAAGTCTCCGTTCTACGATCGAATTCTCCTGCACAACACTATGCTATGGGCCAGGCTTTGGCACCTTTGCGCTCTCGCGGAATCGCCATTCTTGGTAGTGGCATGCCGACATTTCACAACCTTCGTCTCATGTTCTCTGGTGTCATGAATACTCCTGCATACAAAGCACGTAATGAAGAATGGTCATATCGGTTGACAGAAACACTGAAAATAGCCGATGCTGAAGAACGCGGTAAAAAGCTAGAAGATTGGAGGCAATGGACCGGTGCTGAGGATGCGCATCCTGAAAGAGGACAAGAACATTTTCTGCCATTGATTGTATGCGCGGGCGCTGGAGGCAATGAACCGGGAAAGGGATGGGCAGATCAAGCTATGGGTTCTCCGCAGTGGACATATTATTGGGATTGAGGATATCTGTCATGTAGCGTTCTTGTGAACATGACCGGGTAATTGAGGCGTGAGGCGATATTTTATACCATGTGGATAATTTAGGAGATTAATAGGATGAATGGCGCATGACATCCGCATATCATAACTTTCAAGACGATTCTGTCAACCCAAACTTTTAAGAACATATATTGTTTATGATGAACATCACAAAACTGGTATACCACACAAGTAACAGTCCCATCAGACTATTATCTCTTCAAGTTTATAACTCGCTTACCCTAAACGTTATCAAGCAGGCTTCAAAAAGGAATCACAGCACATGAGCTCCAGGAACCTTATGCTTGAAAAATGCTTTAATTCTAGCACTAAGAAAATAAAAAATTAAAGTGAGCAGAATGAGATAAGTTGGAAGTCGCACGGTACATGAGGCCAAGATCTGAAAGCAAGAAAGCAAGAACAGCGCTGCCGGAAATCAAGAGCATAAATATGGAATTGACGACAGTTCAAACGAGACTAAGACAGCTATGCAATCAGATCAAGGGATCATTCAAGCTCAATCCATCATCGGGTACTACTACACGACCCCGCAGGTGCGCCAGCAGAGACAATCGCATATTCAATACAGCCCTTTTGCCAAATTATCGTTTGTCGCGAAGCATGCCATTCATACGGATTACTCGCGTCCACTGTCATATTTTCAAACTTCCATTTGGAAATAGTCCCACATCCGCCAAGTTGGTTCAAGAGTCCGTTGGCGTGAAGATAATCACAGCCATTGTCAAGCTTGCTTGCATCCCATTATAGTCCCGGATGTTGAATTCGTCTAAGATTAACCTTGTATTGTGTGTAACAGGCGAAAGTCTCTGCCATTTCATCGCCAAAATAGAGATAGAAGTCCTAAAGCTAGGGAGAATAAAGTTCACTCTGAGTACGAGCGTATTGTTCAGCTAAAGAGTGTGAATAATTGATAGAATTGGAGAATTGTTTCAATTCGATAATGAAAGGCAAATCAATCAAGTTGAATACACGTACCTGATATCTAAACTATTCTGACACCGTGTCTATTCTCCATTTCAACTACGACGGCCAATACACAGTACTCATAGCTTTTGTCTCAGTACACGAGTGAGTATCATAGCTCTACCAATACGCTAGATTTCTCATCCTCATTCCTTGGCTGTTGAAGTATTGAAACAGACGACAACATATTAACATAACAATATGGAGAGATTTGGCAATGAGACATAATAGGCATTCATCGTCGACTCGAGAGCTCACAATAGCACTGGTACAGTGAATCTTCAGGTAGAATTTGTGTGAGCAGGAAGAAGTTCTGTTCGAGGAATGCCATTCCCGTAACAGTGAAAATGGGCGTACCCCGACAGTGGCGATGTAGAGCGTGTGAGATGAGTGAGATAAATGAAGAAAGGGATTTGAAGGAACGCAGACAGCATCATTATGGTATGATATTGAATTGTGTTATAAGTCACCTTTTATACTGCAAAAGTTTCCCTTCCCCTTGCTTTCAGTTTTGCTGTCACGATTTTTGAGAATCAAATGGCATGAAAATCAACGAATCTAACATTGGCAGGCTGGCTCAGTAGTTCGCCCCGGAGTTGCAATTTTTCACATCATCGTTTCGATCTAGTTGACTCAAATGCCTTACCGAAACGTGTGTATGCTATGCGTATGTAGTATCCTTACCATACGCCCCCCAAAACAACCATACAAGCTATATCAATACTAGCTTTTCATGTGATCGAGAAACTAACCCATATTTTCTCTTTTGCTTACGGCTCTGCATCACTCGAATCCCTCATAAGGAAAAGCCGAGACAAAAATTTCCTTTTCCCTCACCCCATAATAGTCGGCTCTCTGAGCGGCCGACTATTACTCCAATTCGATGCTAATCATCTTCATGGTCACATCCCACAGTAGCAGTCGCACCATCTCGAACGCAGGTCAAGCAAAGTCCAAATTTTTCACACAAAAATTTCAATTGCCGAACCGGCCCTGCTTTGTATGGCCATGAAGGTGTATGAAAGTTCGAATGACAACATCTACCGCTTGCCGTCTCATGGATTGGATCAGGCATACTCTCCACCAAATTTATCGCTTTGGAGAGGGAGACATCATGTAGCTTTTTTGGCCAAATTTTATATTTCTCCAGTGATTTCAGGTATGGATATGTATATCGGTAAGTGAAATCACAGCCGTGATCACATTTCCCTGAATCCATTTCTTCTAAGAGCACTTGACAAAATTCCGACCTTGCGTAGCTCCTCTGTGCTTCGAGTAGACCTTTACATTAAAGAATCAGTCAAGGACCCAAAATCATCGGTGAGATACTTACAAAATACCCTCCAGCTCATTGCAGATTCAACTTCATCGCACGCAAGATCGAGGTAAGAACCGTGATAGTTGAGTACCAAAGCTTTTGTAATTTCCTTGAACGCTCGTGTATCTCGAAAAAGATACGCCGCCGCAACAAGACGCATTTGATCACTCGGATCTTTGGCACCAATCCGGAGCAAAACCTCGCTGGCAAATTTCACGGCACCGAGAAAATCGTATTTGTCCGCTACAATAGCAACCTCCAGAACTTGACTCGCAGTAATGCTTCTAGCAATCTCATTATGTTGGTGATGAATAATGGCAAGTATGGTTTCCAAAGCAGCTGCATTATCTGCAGGAAGTTCTATCTCTTTGGGACCATCCCGATGGAGCAAATCTTGGCCTTCCTGCCATTCCCATTTGAACATGGCGTAGAAAGGCTTCGAAGCTACCTTGAGAAATAATGAATGAACGCGAAATCTCTTCATCTCTGGCCCAACAACTAAAATTATGTCGTCATCGGGAGCAAAGTTGACAATCGCGCTTGTAGTTCCGTCTCCTTGGTGCTCCATGATTGTTTCAATTCAGCTGTATCAATTTTGATTAAATCACAACCAGTTTTCTGCTTCGTCTTTGGTTGTTTCCGCACGATAACATGTGAAGAAGTTCAAGCTTGAAGTAAGGTTACTGTGTGAACAAGGATATTCACTTCAAAGGAATGACTTCACTTCAATGGCTGCTGTATTAAAGGGATTAAGCGAATGCAAAAGAGACTAGCTCTTTCAGTAGTGCCTATATAAGGCCTATTACTTTTCTACATAGCTAGTTCTTTAGATAGAATACAATTAGATGTTTAGGACCTACGAATACGTGGGTCGTCTTCCGTATCCTTCTCGAACCAACAGTTACAATGGATGTTATCTTTTGAATGTTTGATTAGATAGTATAATACATAATAGTCATTTATAGTAACAAATGAAAACCCGAGAAACAAATCTCCATGACTGTCTCTACTTGGGAGAAAAAAGAGGCCAAAACTAATCACCTTAATAAATTCTATAATAAATCTATTGATAATAAAAGTATACAAGTTATTGAGATTGAAAAAATTCTTGAATAATCTTCATTCTATGAAATTATTTAAAAGGCTTTGCTAGTGGTCAATTGTGGCCTGTTCTTTCTCCTACAAAGAGGCTGTCAGTCAGCATATTGGATTTTCAGATGTCTGGTATCACAGAATCACCTCCGCTAATTAACAAAAATAAGAGCAACATACTTTTACCTTCTCCTTTGGAAAAATCATAGTATCCCCAGTGCTCCCAATGGGTACATTTCATACTTTTCTTTTTTCAAGACTCATCCCAACTCGCTATTCCGGAAAGGTCATTAGATTCTCCATCATCTAGTCCATCAATAGACTGCAAAGTACCAATCAACACCAACGAAGCTTTGAAATTTAAAACCAATCCAAACTATCCCATCACAAATCTTTATTTTATATCACCCAATCTAATCAATCTACATTCTACTCAATCATATCTATATCACTCCACCCACCCATTAGAAGCACTGCCGAGATCACAGACCCATAACATATTTGCGATATCTAGCGAACTCAATGATATCTTCCTGAAAGCTAACCCTCGATATTCCACTGCAAAATGCATAGGCGGGTCCTCGAGCGCTCAAATGCGAATCACGCTGTGTCTTTTACAAATCGATACATGAATTCCTGATAGATTCGCTTCTGCGTATCCAGAGTACTCCTCGCACTGTTAAGTATTTCGCTTACCTACATATAACATCACTAGGACTTTCTCTTATTCTACTCAACCTAATCTAGTTTAACAATTTAAACATCACCATATCCTAGTCGAGCTCCGGTCATTGTGATTCTCCCAATCTCGCAGCATCTTCCTACCCCTTTTCACAATGCCACAATTTACACTACCGACAATCTTCGAATCTATCCACAAGCATCTTCATGTCTCCTAACCTTCTCCATCATCATCACAGCAAAAAGCGAATGTCAAGTTAATAACTCTTCTCTAGATACCTACTCGAGAATTATTATTCACTCACCACACCTTCTCCCCTCTCAATTCATACACCACCATCACACCATTCAAGTAAACAATATCAAAAACCCTCAAACATAAATGACCCCCAACCCCCAACAAACACCACGACACACATATCAACATCTAAAAGCATACCTTCCCCAACCCAACCCAACCCCAAACCCAAACCCAAACCCAAACCCAAACAACTCGTGAACCTAACAAATACCAGAAAAGCACAATATACAACCTATCCACACAAACGATAATCAAATCACACCTCATCTCATCTCATCTCATCTCATATCAACAAACCCTCTACATCCCATCCTAAAAACAATTATCAATACCTACCCAGTAATCTAGTAACCTAGATATATAAACAATCAACCCCAACAATCACAAACTATCAACCCCAACACTCACAAACAACCCCCTACAAACCCCTACAAACATCCGTGAAAATAACTCAACTCAGATATATACACCAATTCCATTTTTCACCAAGCTATAATACAATACAATACATTACAATACAAATAGCTAGATAGATAGGTAGGTAATGATGAATATTTTAGCACTACCCACCCTACTCAGCTTGAGCACTAAGCATCTTGTGCGGCTTGAGGAAATACGGTTGGTTTACTTTAGTTCAGTTTGCCATGCCATGCCATGCTATGCCATGCCATGCTGCTATGTAACCCATCTATCTCAAAGATGAAAATTTATGTCAAATCATTTGTTGATATTTCGCTTTTTTACCCCTCATTCTTTCGGGTAGTATCGTAGCATCGTATGAGCGGTTGAAGAAGAATACAAATATCAGTATCGACATATATCTTAGACCTCCGCACAACGCACTTGCGTTGATCAAATGACCTATCTCTTCTATTCACATCCCTCTAGTAGAAGCAAAATTAGCACATGAATATAATTTCATATCATATCGTATCATTCATCTAATCTGATCTAATCTAAACCATCCTATTTTTGTATCAGTAATGGTATGACCAGTTTGTCAGTATCCTCCCTATCTACCGTTCCTCCACCACAACTTGCAATATCATAGCACTTCTCTCCATCCTAAGCCCTCTCCCTCCACAACTATTAGTACATCCTCAAACACCCATCTAAGCACCGTAAACCTTGAATCTGTCCTCGATAGGCTTGAAGGTCTTCTCTCCAGCTTCGGCAACAGGAGTACCGAAAACAAGTTGGGCGTTGAGTTCCCAGTCAGCTGGAATGTTCCATCTAGAAGATTCAATGTTAGTCATGTATTCATTTCAATCCCTCTTTATAGCGTCTTCATCTTCATCTTCATCTCCATGTTACTCTTCCTCCACCCCCACACCCGAATTACCCCAGAGAGAAATAAAAGAAAAAACTTACTCAGAAGCAACCTTGGAATCAATCAATGGAGAATAATGTTGCAAGTTTGCGCCCAATCCCTCGGCTTCCAAAGCAACCCAGATGGCATATTGAGTCATAGCATCACTTTGACTAGCCCAAATGGGGAATTTGTCTGCGTAGGTAGCGAATGCGGATTGCATTTCAGAGACCACCTTTCTATCATCGAAGAAAAGGACCTATTGATTCTCGTATTAGTTTGTGTTTTCTTTCCTATACCAAGATGACAGATCAAAGATTCAAAGATGAAATTCTCCAATAATGGAATGACAGAATGACAAAAAAAAAACAAAAAAAAAAAAACATACAGTTCCATAACCAGCTCTAAATCCATCAATTCTCTTGGCCGTTCCCTCAAACTGATCCGCAGGAACAACACCCTTCAAAACCTCCTTGGTAATATCCCAAAGCTTCTCATGCTCAGCCTTGAGCAACAAAACAGCTCTCGTGCTTTGCGAGTTGAACGAGGAAGGAACGTGCAGGATTGATTGCTCGACGATCTCTTGGATCTTGCTATCTGGGATGGTAGATTTGTTGCTGAGAGCGTAGATGGTACGACGAGCCTTGAGGAGATTGAGGAATTGGGTTGATGGAGACATGGTTGGTGATTTGTGTGGTGTGGTGTAGGTAGTAGATACGTGTATGTGTATGTGTATGTGTATGTGTATAAAAATCGAGAACTGGTTGCGAGATACAAGTTGTCAAGTGCGAATAGAGAAAGTGAAAAACAAAAAGCCTCCAGAACGGAGAAATCAAGCCTCTTATACCTCCAACATTCGACCCAAACCGACGTTGCGAAAGTTAAAACCCGGCCCGCTCTGGGCCCCGCTCACTGAAAAGAGACACACTGACAGAACACCATTCACGCCCGCTCCACTCTTTCCCATCCCATCAAGAATCGCGATCCCCAATCTCATGTCGCCATTGCAAATCCCACATCCAGATCCAAAATCCCACCAATAAAACCCCCCCCAAAGGGAGATGTCTAATAACCATGTTTTATTTTCCAATGCTTATCTTAGCCAGTATCAATCAATCGATCAATCCCGTGATTCACCTATCTACCTAGTAGTTATTGCTTCTTCCACTGACACACACAGTAAACACGTACCTACCTAGCATCCCACCTAATAAACTCAATCCACATACCTGCTTCCCCCCTTCCTCTCGGCTCCCTTCCCCATCAAATTCGCATGATATCTAATCTCTCACCAAGCTTCGACCCTCCCGGCTCCACAAAATAGTCAAGATTTCTAAGGATTCCATAATTGATGAACCGCTGACATATCCATTATAAACTTTGTAGTGGGGCGGATCTGAGTGCGGCGCGCTTCTTTCTGCTATTGATGGAATTGCTGCGGATAAGCGGGGTACGGTACTGATTGCGGATGCTCGTACGTACAGGCGCATGGTGTCGATGAATGCACGAAAAATATTGAGACAATTGTTACATTCACGATTCATCACACTCGAAGAATATGATTATGATTATGATTTTTATATCTTTTCATTTATAAGCTATCTGTATGGCATAGTATCCCATACACTTCTTTTCACAGAAGTATCTACTTGCTGTCTTGCATTCACTATCCCATCATGTAGCTCCCAACAAGGTAATCCCAATTGCTTGGATTGTTCCTTTGCTGTTGTTCTCATTTCCCATTTCGCCATTCTGAACGCCGCTCAACACCCTATTGACAACCAAAATTTACCCAGTCAATATCCTATATGCAAAATGTGTAGCCAAAGAATCCCCCCATTCATTGCATAAAAGCAAGACAGCTCTCCACCCATTGAACATGCGTATAATACAGTCCAAATATGGCAAACGATATCGAAAGTCCACTGCGTATTTACAATCCTTGTTTCATTCGCATCGTAATCCCATCTTTGGTAATTGAAGACCCCAGACTCAAGGAAGAAAGGAAGGAACAATAAAGTGAAATCAATCACCAAGTCTCGGCAATATATTGCCCAGCTTCATTCTTCAACTTCCAGAAATTCTTTGCTTCTTCCCTATCCAAATTGCCCTTCTCCATGGCAACATCTACAAGAGCTTCTTCAACACCTTCACCCATTCCTTTACTGCTACCACAAACGAAAACTCGACCATCTAAAGCATTGATGATGAACCAGACCAAATCTCCTTGATGTCTAACTTCGTCTTGAACATATTTGCCCTTTTGCTTACTACCTGGTCTTCGACTCTGAACAACTTTCTTGACTTCTGATTCATGAACACCCCATTCACCCGAATACAGTTCATCCAGAAGAGAATCTCTGACTCCTTGAAGAACCCAAACTTTGTTGGCGCAATTAGCATTCTTGAGACGGCGTTGGACAAATCCTCGGAAAGGTGCAACTCCTACACCTGCACCAATCAAAAGCATAGGTCCGTCTGAAACGAATTCTCTAGCCAAAGGATTTGCCATTAATCCTTTGAACATTGGGATTCGGATGTTAACCTTTTCTCCTCTCTTTTCAGCTTCAATGAATTTTCTTGCTTGTCGCTCAAAGAATCCTGATCCCAGACCAATTCGATTTCCATCTTTCCAGTGATTAGTTTCGTGGACAGTGACTGCAATTTCGATGAGTCGGCTACATCCTTCAACTGGTACACAATTCTCTTGGGGATCATTGGACATTGAATAGAATCGAGGTCTCAATGTTTCGAGTTCCGAGAGAAGATGATCGAGAGGTGGTTTACTGGAAGGGAAAGCGTGAAGAAGTTGAGGGATGGTGATGTGTGGACCAGTTCTAAAATCGCAGAATGCACCTTGTCCTTCTCCAGAACACAAATATAACAAAACCTTCTTCTCTTCTGGATCGGTAGCATATTCGGCAAGGATTCGTAAGATCTTTTTGTTTGGAGGATATGATTGAATGTCAGAACACCAGGTCAATAAATCGCGTCTGGTTGTGATTAATTCTCTTGGCTTATCGTCTCCCCAAATTGTAGGCCATCTGCCAGAATGTGTCTTCAATAGAATCTTTCGGTCGCGAAGATGTCTTGGAATAGATAACAAATCCATCATTTCTTCCACCATTGATTCTTCATTTGGTGCCATGACACCAATTGCACCACCAACCTTGAAATCAACGCCACCTTCCTCAGGATAATCGGTAACATCCAAATCGAAGTGATATGTTCTCTTTTCAGCACCAGGCTTAGTCAATTCTCTAGCGTTGAAAATTCTCGCGGAATAGACCTCGTAAGGTGGATGTGGTTGAACGAACGAGGGTGGTTGAACTTTGGTGTCGACATCTAACTTGGCATGATGTGGTGTGAAGTCAATTGAATCATTTTCCATACCAATTCCTGAATTCTTGTGGGAGATAGCATTTTGGATGTATGCCGCATCTGCGACGTCCATAGAAGGCTCGACGGTAATTGCTCCTCTGTTCTCATTGACATCCAAGGATTGCATACCCTTGACAATATCCAAGGCCTTTTCCTTGTCCAAAGGGAGAATCTCCATGTTTTTCTTTGGCAGATCTGGCAGACTTGTCAATCGTGTAGGAATGGTTTCGATCTTCAATGCCAAACTCCTGTAGGCATCGTTGTCTGGTAATCTTGGTCTTTCGTAGGTAAGGCCATCAGTTTTGGTAATGGCCATACAGCAGCCTCCACCACAACATTTTTCCACCAATTTCGTACCCGCATTTCCGATAATTCTTTGCATATCGGTAGCATTTTGTGAAATAAGTACCGTCGAAGCCCGACGACGGCGGGGTTCAATTTCTTCGGGTTCGAGGTCTGAAGAGGAAGAGGACGAGTAGGTGAGAGCTGGAACCTGGGATACCTGGGAGCGGGGTGATTCAGGCTGTGGCTCTTGTGGTATACAATGAGATGTAGTGGCCATTCTGACAACTTGAGGACGCGACATTATTCGAAGTAGAATCGATGAACGACGGATCATATACTAATTGTACGAGTATGAGTGCCGAAAAATCGTTGAAAATCCGGAGGGGGAAGGCAAAGCCAAACTTGTTGATTGTGTGTCAATCCAACTTTTGAGTTTGATAAGTGATTCCACAATGGAATGGTATGATGTAAGAAGTGATCTAATAGATTGTTGATGTTCTTTAAATAATAAGTATTGGCGTAATGCTTGTGTGCTGAGAACTTGAGTGATTATATTATTGCTGCAGTAGATTTCCTGTTTATTCGACTTGATCAAATATTATGGTGAATATATCAAATGAAAGAATTATGGTGAATTCTGGGTGATGTGGATAGAATTCCCTTTTTAATAAAGTTTTTCTCCGAAGAGACAAATGGAATCTTTGGTGGCGGAATGACTTGGAACTTTATTTTGTATTCTTGACTTGAAGCCTCGGCCGACACCGGGATTGAGATGGAGATGGAGATTGATCAACCGTAACAAGCGTAATATAAACTATATAAATTATATAAATACGGAGTATTGAGATCAAGCTTTTGGATATATACCTAGTAGACTGTAGTATATAAATGTGGAGGAACAATATTTAACAGACAAGCACACCAGCACAAGGAATTTGATTGTGTAAGATTCGAAATGATGACGGATCTGATATCAAATGATTACTACAGTACTGACTAGGAGGTATGTATCATCATCATCATCATCATCATCATCATCAAGCATCAAGCATCAAGCATCAAAGCAATATATTACTATCCACGAGTAGGTCACGAGTAGGTCACGAGTAGGTCACGAGTAGCTACAACTCAATCTGGTTTGAATCTCCTTTTTATTGATTCTATCGTGTGCTCTGTACAATACATACATCATCATTGAACATGTCTGTCTCGCCAAGAAAACACACAAGCAATGGCCTCAGGATGATCAAACATTGAGCTCATCTTCCTTCCCTGGCCACATCTGTACGTCGATTTTCTGTTGTACTTTATCATCTTATATCCATATATAGTCAATATCTCCCTCACCCACTCCTACTCCCACTCTTCACATCAATACCTGCCTAGGTAGGTACTTGCATCAGATGTACTAGGTCTTTCCCTTCACAACGATACTCACTTGCTTTAGCATCACGAGAAACCCAACATCGTCAATCAATCATTCAGAGAAGAAGAAATAAACCATCTCTCAGCTGGCACATGCTTTGCCTACCTACATAACCGTTCTTCAATCCCGACAAACATCGTAAAGATCGACTCTCTTGTTACTAAAAACTATGATTCGGGTCCTGTTCAAACTCAATTGAAGTCAGGAACCAACCGTTTTAGGAACTGCTAGGATAAGAGAATACCCGCTTTTCGTAATCTACTTGCCATTCGAAGTTAGGATATCCAGACAAGGGAAATCGTCCCTGTCATAGACCTTGTCATAGACTTGTCATGGACCCCAGTCGATTCACTTATCTGATCCGAAAGGTCGAGGGCTACGAGGGCTAGAATGGTGAGACTCGGTAAATGCTCTGGGTAGATGGAAGAATGACCTGACGGTAAGGTGATACGGCAAGAAAGGAGGTAAAGAACAGTATTCAGCGCGGGTATAGAAGGGCTTGGACTACAGAGACTAGGAATTTAACGGTACTGATACTGATAATAGGGAAGTTATGAGACTGCCAACAAGCACGATGGCATCTCGATCCGAATAGCCTTTCGCCCTTCGTTTTCGCATTCGGGTTAGCCGGTTCCAAAGCCGGACTATTTCCACGGAGAAATACACTATCCCTTGACATTGTTTCCTGATTAACCCATGGTCTTCTTGTACAATCCACTTATCACATTCAGAATTTCACAAAATCACAAGCAAATCATTTTGAGGAGTCTGGTCTACTTCGATCTATCCCAAAGCCAAA